ACTTAAATCCTGTATCCGCCCCTGTTGTTACACCTATACCAAACTAAACCTGTTATACATAGAGCAAACCAAACCTGTTAAACCTAGCCCAAACCAAACATGTTACAATTAGACCAACCTGATACTCATACACCTAGACCAAACCAAACCTGTTATTTATAGAGCAAACCAAACCTTTATATCTTGACCAAACCAAACATGTTACATCTAGACCAAACCAAACCTTTTACACCTAGACCAAAACAAACATGTGACATGTAGATCAAACCAAACCTGTTGTAGTAAATGCCCTAATCCATGGGTTTCTCAGACTCGTATCTATCAATGTACAACTCGTCAGCTATCAATGTCAATACGAACACAAGCTCAGCTATCAATGTCAAAGCGAACACAAGCTCTTAATCGATCAATGCCAAACGAGTAGGCACAATCTCAGCTCGTATGTTTCAACAAGGACCAGCTTTCAATGTCAACAGGGACACAAGCTCTTAATCTATCAATGCCAAACCAAAATTACTTTCTCACAGTAATCAGTACGGAGTCTCTATATCAACTAATGTATTTTAGGTTTCTACAGGTTAAAGTTAATAGAGGTAATTACAATTCCTATGTCGTTATCTATATCACTGCATGATTAAGATAATCATGCTACGTATTTACAGCACAATTAAAATAGACGCATAAAAATGTGCGTTATTATATATCACATGATTAAGCTAATCATGCTACGTTTTTACGGCACAGTTAAAATAGTCGCAATTAAGATATTTATCACATGATTAATCTAATCATGATACATATTCATTTGAAGTGCAGTTCAAATGAATAATGGGTTTTACGTTTATAAATGTAGATAATTAATAATGTACAACGTAGTTCAGGTTTACAGATATCATGTTACACAATATGTATTACACTGTTACACCTAGACCAAACCAAACCTGTTAAACCTAGACCAAACCAAACCTGTTACACTTAAAACAAACCAAAACTGTTAGACCTAGACCAAACAAAACTTGTTACACCAAGACCAAACAAAACCTTTTAAACCTAGACAAAACTGAACATGTTAAACTTAGACCAAACCAAACCTGTTAAACTTAGATCAAACCTGATACTCATACGCCAAGACCAAACCAAACCTGTTACACCTAGACCAAAGCAAACCTGTTAAACTGAGACCAAACCAAACCTGTTAAACCTTGACTGAACCAAACCTTCAAAACATATTATAGATGAACCAAGCCAAACATATTACATCAGGACCACCCAAATATATGACATCAAGACCAAACCAAACACATAACATCAAGACCAAACCATAAATATTACATTATGACCAAACTAAACCGTTTAACCTCGACCAAACCAAACATATTAAATCAGGACCAACCAAATATATTACATCAAGACCAAACCAAACATATAACATCAGAACCAAACCAAACCTATTAAATCTTAGCCAAACCAAACCTGTCTTCAGCATCCATTAAAAGTTTGGTTTGGATAGATCTCAGTGAGAGTCTGATAAAAAGTTTCCGGAAATTCCTAAAACAGACACAGTTGCGGAAAATAAATCTTTTTGGCGGGAAATTCAATATTGAATCTTCAGATATTGGGGTAGGTCAATAACTTTATTACAGGGTTACTCAAAAATACTTTAATTACAACCTAAACTTAGAAAACAAGTTTATAATTGCAAGGAACCAAGAATATAAGATATACGACGGGAATGTATTTCGATCGTTCTGTTCTTTTTTGTAACCCTGTACGCAGTGCACTACAGACTGTACACTGTAAACTAGAGACATCTATGAATGTGAATTAAAATCTCTTTTTGATTTAGTGTGACAAGGACATCTATACTCTGTATTCCAAACTAAAAACTATCAAGCTTCAAAACAGTTCTTTAGTTAAACTTGATCTCAGGAACTTTTCAAAATCAGAATAATAAAACTAAAAAACTTAGATGAATGTATTTCATTTTATTAAAGCTTACAGAATCCGAATTTAATGAATTTGAGCCGCGTCTCAAACCCTCCAAAAACCGGTTTCAATTGAGCGCTGGCTTAAATCTTGAAAAATTCAATACAATATAAGCGGAACCAGCCATATTTGATCTGCGGCTTAAATTTAACCCGCGGCTCTAATTCTTTAAATTCGGTCTCAGGTCATGGTACTTGTCTGCATGTTGGTTGTTAATAATAATAATGAAAATAATAATGTCACACTTTTGTGCGTCCTCAATGTGTGTTTACACACAAATTTCCCTGGAATGAGAAAGTTTATTTAGTGTCCGGTCCCGTTTTGCCTTATGAAGTCGGAGCAAGTTTTCAGATAAAATGTCGTTAAATTTTGTCAGCCATAAGTCTTAGAAACTCAATTTTCTAGTTGAATTCAGTTTTTAGAAAAGGTTGAAATTTTTAAGATTTTGACTCATTTTTTAATGTTTTTGAACTGATCGACTTTAGTCATGTTGAAATTATTCTGGATAATAATCTGCGCTTGAAGGCAAGAGAGTTCATTCATATGGTTCAGTTTACCAACCTTAGGAACACATTAATCTATATATTTATTATATTCATTTATATTCATTTATATACATTTATAATCAATTATATTCATTTATATTCATTTATATACATTTATAATCATTTATATTCATTTATATTCATTTATATTCATTTAGATTCATTTATATTCATTTATATTCATTATATTCATTAAATTCATTTAAAGTTATTTAATTCATAGATATTCATTTTATTACGTATAACTTTTTCCTAAAACAATTTCTAAAAAAAATATAAATGATGTTAGAAAACTGCTGATTAGTGAAAACTGGGTTCCATCACAGCAAGTTCCTGTAAAAGATTTCAGGTTGGAACATTTCACAGAAAAAGCTGATTTTTAACAATTAATTTTTTTTTTTGATTTTTATTGGGACAAACATAATGTTTTGTCATTTAATGATATCCAGAAAATTCTGGAATAGGAACTATCGAATTTTAAACTCAAACTAGGACTTTTAATAGTCCCATGGAAAATGCCATCTCCTTAGCATAGATAGATAGAATCCGCACATGACGTCACTGATTAAAGAGGCGAGCATGACGGCAAATGCGAATTCTATCTATCTATGTATGCTACAACATTTTCCGTACATTGGAGTGCATCCATGGAGTAACCAACCTTATTATACAACCTTAAACACACCATTTCTAAAATAAAAGGTCGCTGAAAAAAACAACGTTTACAGTCCCTTTACAGAGCACTATTATTATTTCGAAGAAAATTGTTACTCTTAATTGTTTGTTTAACTCAAGGTTGTGTAATAAATCGGGTTCTCTCGCTGCGCTCCAATGTACGGAAAATTTCGTCTTCTAAAATAGTTTGTTTAGTTTGTGCACATTCTTTGATGGTGTTCGGTTAAACCTGGGGAAACTGGAGAATTTAAATTTATCTGACTGGGTGTTAGATATATCTAACCCTGTGGATACGATCAATAAACTCAAACGCATATTCTCATCTCTACCAAGGTGCGTTTTAATGTACACCCTGTATACTGTACTGTTTAATTACAGTAAGTTTTGTTTGAACTTGAAGGGTTTGAGTAAAAATTCTAGCACGTTTATGGTTGAATCATATTACAATATATATGGTTGAAATAAAGGACGTTATGGTTTATAGAACGTTACGGGTTAATTAAAGGACGTTCTGTTTTAACCATAGAAAGTTATGGTTAAACCATAGAACGTTTGTCATTTCGTAAATTGAAAGAAGTTTTATGTTTCATAGAACGCGTTTGGTCATATTCTACGAGGTTTGCCGTATCTTCAATTCCTGGCGTTTTTTTAAGAAATCTACTTTTTTGAAATTTCATATTGAGAACGCAGAAATTTGTTTAGTAATTAAATAATTATATCTCTTTATGTCAATCTAATGGGCATTATTAAGAGCGAAAAAAAATTTTCCAGGATTTTATTTTTTTCTAGTTTGCTTAAGATCAAAATGAAAGTATTTTCACACCAAACGTACAATAATATATGTGGTTTTATTCAATTTTGAGGGAATTTTTATTTATCTCACCTAATATTTCCGTTGTAGGGCGAAAAGGTATCTTTATTGTCCTAATATGAAAATTTTAAATTGCACATTAAATATTTCCCGTTGTAGGGTGATAAAGTTACTTTATTTATAACCCTACAACAGGGTAATAAAGTAACTTTATCGACCTGCTATCAAATAAGATGATAAAAATTGAATAAAATATTTTCAATTAAGGTTGGTTTCTCTGGTTCTAGACAACTACCAGGAGAAAGTTGAATCTACTGACTCGGAGAAGGAGTACTCAGAGACCCGTCCTGCTCCCTTCTTTATACTAAAACCTTGTCTGAAATCTCTACCTAACCTGGCCAGGCTCAGTATAAGAAAGTAAGCAAATAAATCCAAATTTACAAAGGACAGAGTGGCATTTAAGATTCACAACGGTACCCACAAAATCTTTGTTCAAACAGAAACATATCATCTTTTTTCCATCTGAAAGTTTCTGCTTTAAAAGAGAAACCACAACTAGAAATTATCAATTATCAATTATTAGAAAACAAGGATATTTTTGCTTTGACAAAACTTTAAACGTTGTGGATCAGAAATGACCTTTTTGAAATAACGTCTACAATCTTTTTTATGCTATTTGTCCTTCGGGTTAATGTATCCCGGGAGGATGTCTATTTAAACTGTATACTTCAGGGTTAATGTATCCCGGGAGGATGTCTCTTTAAACTGTATACTTCAGGGTTAATGTATCCCGGGAGGATGTCTCTTTAAACTGTATACTTCAGGGTTAATGTATCCCGGGAGGCTGTCCCAATGCTGGCGAAAGCCTTGAAGTACAGAGCTTTAAAGAACCCGGTGGAGGTGAACGTACAGTTTATAAATTCAGAGATTATCGAATACATCAGGAACTAAATAAATTCGTCAGGGTTTCCAAACACTTATAGAAATTGATTTTTGTTTTTTAATTGATTTTTTTGCAGTTTGAGTGTTTGTTTACAGCTTGATTTTTGTTTCCAAATTAAGTTTTTGTTGTCAAATTTATTTTTTGTTTATAAATTGTAATTTTGTTTTGATGCAACTTGATTTTTTGTTTTCAAATTAAGTTTTTCTTTAAAAATTGATTTTTTATTTGTCAATTGAGATTTTGCATGGTCCTTGATTTTTTTTTGTCTACAAATTAAGTTTGACAATTGATGTTATTGTTACAAATTGATTCTTTAATGAATGGTTTAGTTTTGATTACAAATCGAGTTTTAATTCCCAATTGAATTTTTTGTTACAAATTGATGTTTTTTTCAAACTCTATTTACGATCAGTTAAGTTTTTGTTTACAAATTTATTTTTGTCCACATTGATTATTGGTTGACAATTGATTTTTTGGTTAATAACTGATTATTTTGTTGACAATTGATTATTTGGTTGACAATTGATTATTGGGTTAACAATTGATTATTTGGTTGACAAATAATTATTTGGTTAACAATTGATTATTTGGTTGACAAATGATTATTTGGCTGACAATTGATTTTTTGGTTGACAATTGATTATTTGGTTGACAATTGATTATTGGGTTAACAATTGATTATTTGGTTGACAAATAATTATTTGGTTAACAATTGATTATTTGGTTGACAAATGATTATTTGGCTGACAATTGATTTTTTGGTTGACAATTGATTATTTGGTTGACAATTGATTATTTGGTTGACAATTGATTATTTGGTTGACAATTGATTATTTGGTTACCCAGTGAACGGTTGGATTCCTATAGAAGTGTTGCTTACTCTTACAATAAACAAACAGGTGACAGTTCACATAAAAATATTTTCAGCTTTAATAAAAAATTATTTTTACAATAAATATAAGTTTTAGGGATAAGAAACTTTATTTACATACGTCATACAGGATGTCCCATGAAACATGAAAGTGAAGAGAAAAAAGCTTAAATATCGTCTTCGATCTCAGAAATAAATTGCGGCATTTATTTTTCAACCTACTTTTCAATTATTACATATGACCCCTCCTTCAACTCTCGTGTTTCGTGGGTCACCATTTAGTTTTTAAAACTTCTGTACAATCTTTTAACTGAAACTTTAAAATGCAATTTTTAAAAAAATCAAGTTTTTATAGGGATATTACGAATAGAGCAGGGTGACGACACGAGGCCGAACTTTGTTCAGTTTTCAATGCGAGGGGGTCAGATGAGGCTAAAGATGGGAGGAGAACTTGTATTCTCGAAATCCATCCGATCAACAAACTTATAATCATGGCTGAGTGTACTTTAACCATGCATACAGGGTTACCCACAAAGGATGAACCTGTAAAGACGACTTAAGAATCTGATGATTACAAGGTCAAATTAAGGCTTCTGCATTGAATAAAGTTTTTTACCAGTTTATCGCCTATTTATTGGCATGGAAACCAGTTTACAGTTGCAGAGAATCCTAAATATAAGTAAATTGACAGTTTGAATTCTTTACAGTCGTCTCTGAAGTCTCATCATTTGTGGGTAACCCTGTATAATTAACAATGTGATACACAATTATGACCTTGTTCAAAATATTAAAATACAGAGCATAGAATTTTCCTAAATCAATTTTTTTACATGAACTAATTTTCACCCCGCTAGTCTTTTTAACTTTCTAGTAATTTGAATAATGAATTTTTCTTTACCTCCACAGGTTTCTAATGGTTTAAAACTCAACTTTTGACAATTAAACTTTCAATTGGGCTCAGTCTCCATTTTGGCGGATTCCCTCCTGAAAATCCTAGTTTTGACCTGTCTAGGGTAGGGGCTTAGCCCTCATAGCCCCCCCCCCCTCAGCATACGCGTCTGATCCAGGTTATGAACGTTTTTTTCCAAATTTAATGAAGATTGTAAAAATACAAAGTTTTCAACATTTTTTCTTTCTTTTTATTATTTTACTGCTAAAACTTGATGAACAATTCAGTGATACGAGAGATTTTGATAATTTCTATTTAGTTAAATTCGAACGTTGAGGTTTGTATTTTTGGAATAAAAGGATCGGATCCAGGTCATCCAGGAATCCAAAATGTTGCAGATCCAATGGATCTGGACCAGGATTCTAAACAGTTATGTAGGAGCCATTACTAACGTCTAACACGAGCTTTCCGCGCACTCCTCCCTGAATAATTTTTCCCCCAAAAGAACTGTTTAAATACAGTTTAAGTTATGTTTCCAACAGGGGAAGAAATTATTCCAGAAAATACATTAAAAATCAAAGATTGACATTTGGAAATTTTGAAAATACGACATATATTGTTCTATCTGTATTGTTATTAATCCATGGTTATAACCTTAAAACTTTTTGGAGGCTTCGCAAGCATCTGAGATGGTTCTTACTAGTTTAAAATTTTTTTGAGTTATGAAAAAACAAATGCGGGGTCAGTAGAATAAAGAAACTACCCAAATCTTGGCCATTATTTTTTATGATCTGATAGTTACTTTTGAAAACATTTATTCCTGTTTCGAGGATTTTTGATAATGAAGACGACATTTTCATATTTTCCAGGAATGTTCGAAAATCCAGTGCACGCGAAATATGATTTAAAAAAATTAAAAATATGATGAAATATCAATTATATACGAATGCCCTTATTTTTCACCTTAAGCTTATACCCCCTTTCGTTTTTCGCGAACACTCCCTGTAGATACTGGTACTTTAAACGTGGAATGTCAAAGTCTTCACCATTTCTTAGCATATAATGGGGGTCTGTATCCCTGTTCAAGCTCCATGAACTGAGAAAGGTTAGATGATGATGGCAGACGATTTAACCTATATTTGTACATTAAACAGAGTGTTTTTACTTGACTTCGATCTTGGAAAGGGACTATGGCAGTTTTTAAAAAAGTGGGGCAGTGTGAGTAATGTATTATAACTCTTTTTGCAGACTAGACGTACAGCTTTTTTTGTAGGGTCTGAACTCTAATAAGATCCTTTTTAGAAAGAGGAGAGAATATCTTACTGCAATAATTATGATAAGAGTGAATGTGCACAAAATAAATAAGCTTAAGACAACTCATGACAAGAAATTTTTTACCTGGCTTAGACAATAAATAGACCTTAAGATTTTTGAACAGATAGAGTTAACATGGGAGCGTAGTTTAAGATTTTCGTCTAAAAGAACCCCTAGAACCCGTACAGACTTTTCTTCAGAAGTGTCAGAGATTCGCTGGATTTTTGAAATTTTAGAGGAATCTGTTTCACCAGGATCGTTGTTGTTATCCTAAGATTGAACCCTGGATTACGCCAATATATTTAAATAAGAAGTATTTTCTGATAACTTGCTGTACTGTACTGTACACTTACAACTGTTTACTTAAAATGATATACTATAGGTTAGGCCGGAATCTCCTTATAATAATCAAAAATGCAGTGCTATCGGTATAGTTTCTGGTCTATAAAATTAGTAAAGGATTAGCCTACATCATCACTCTATACACTATAACCTCTGTCAAATGCCAATGGCAGTGCAGTATCGTTGTCAGGTGATACAGACGGAAATCATGTGACCAGTATACTGCACTGCCATTTGCTAAAGTTCTGGTGACGTAATAAGGACTATACAGACTATATGTAATAAAATTATCAGTTATATCTATTAAAAATGCAAAATAAAATATAGAAAATTATATTAGGAGTAAACCTGAGATTCTCAGGCTCCTGTGGGATATCGTCGTTTTCAGATTGGTTGCGTATTTGTTGAATATGATCTGTTTAATACTACAACTTTTATACAAAATTGAATTTATATGAATTTTCCTATAAATTTGACACAGTTTTATATCAATTTCTCGAAACAGGAACATCTGATAGATGTCTGATAGGTTTGGTTCTACTCCTGAGATTCTCAGGTTTCATCCTATACCCCCTTTCATTTTTCCTTTACAGTCCCTTTAACGAATGTGTTTTTTGCGTATTTTTGAACTACGTAATAACTCGACGAGAATGAAAAAAGTTCAATTAACGCATATTGATCGGATTAACAAAGGATGAAGAGACTAAAATATAATAACCGTGAAAGTTGAATATTGAATTGCTAATTGCTTTAGCTAACTCGGACGCTTTAAAATGATAGAGTTACTTGGTGAAAATAAAAAAAATACAATTGCAAAGAAAATGCATAAAACTTTTGAAAACTTTTCAAAAAAACGTCAAAAACTTTGTGGAACTGAATACGTTTCTATTTCTTTGTACATCCTAATTCTACATTCAAATGTTGTAGCTTTAAAATTGAATAAATTTTAATCAAGAGTTTCCTTCTGACAGGGGCGCAACATGTATATTCCTGAAAAGGGGGGTTTAAACAGACATAGTTTGGCTATCCAGTTTAATTTTCAATAGTAGAGGTCGGAAAAAGATCTTCTAATTACTAGGAATTGTTTTTGTTACTCCTGAAATGTTTCAGTTAGATTTATCAATTAATATATATATCGACAGTGCAGTTGATATTCAGTGTTTTCTAGCTGAACAGGTAAAATTCTATAATTAACTTTATATCTTACAGCTGACACGGTTATTATATAAAATATATAAATAATTGTACAATTGGGCTTTAACACAAACATTTACAGCATTCAAGATTGCATATAGCGTATCAATGATACGTCTCACTATAGAATTAAGCATCAATAATGCATCAGTGATACATCAAAAAGAAAGCTTCAGTTTTGGTGATGCTTGACACGATGCTTTAGAGTATCCATGATACTTTACTAGATTATTATTGAAATTTAGCATTTCAGCATCAGTGATACATTTGACATATCTTCAGCATCAATAATACAACAAACAAAATATTTCAGCATCCGTTATACGTCACATATAAACATTGAGAATCAGTAATACATGGCATATTAGCATTGAGCATCAGTGATACGTAATATAGTAGCATTGAGCATCAGTGATACATGACATATTAGCATTAAGCATCGGTGATACGTGACATAAGCATTAAGCCTCAGTGATACACGACATGTTAGCATTAAGCATCAGTGATACATGACATATTAGCATTAAGCATCAGTGATACAGCACATAGTAGCATTGAGCATCAGTGATACATGACATATTAGCATTGAGCATCAGTGATACATGACATATTAGCATTGAGCATCAGTGATACATGACATATTAGCATTAAGCATCAGTGATACATGATAGCATTGAGCATCAGTGATACATGACATATTAGCATTGAGCATCAGTGATACATGACATATTAGCATTAAGCATCAGTGATACATGAAATATTAGCATTAAGCATCAGTGATACATGACATATTAGCATTTGGCATCAGTGATACATGACATAGTAGCATTTGGCATTAGTGATATATGACATATTATCATTGAGCATTAGTAATACATAACATATTAGCATTGATCATTAGTGATACATGACATATCAACATTGAGCATTAGTGATACATAACATATTAGCATTGAGCATTAGTGATACATGACATATTAGCATTCAGCATTAGTGATACATGACATATTGGCATTGAGCATTAGGGATACATGACATATTAGCATTGAGCATTAGTAATACGTGACATATTAGCATTGAGCATTAGTGATACGTGACATATTAGCATTGAGCATCAGTGATACATGACATATTAGCATTGAGCATTAGTGATACGTGACATATTAGCATTGAGCATCAGTGATACATCACATAGTAGCATTTGGCATCAGTGATACAACACAATATTAGCATTTAGCATCAATGATACATTACATAATAGCATTTAGCATCAGTGATACATCACATAGTAGCATTTTGCATCAGTGATACAAAACATAGTAGCATTTGGCATCAGTGATACATCACATAGTAGCATTTGGCATTAGTGATACATCAAATAGAAGCATTGAACATTAGTGATACGTCACATACTAGCATTGGGCATCACTATTAAGTCACATAGTTTAGCATTGGGCATCAGTGATACGTGACATATTAGCATTGAGCATCAGTGATACGTAAGAAAGTAGCATTGAGTATTAGTGATACGTAACATAGTAGCATTGAGCATCAGTGATACATAACATATTAGCGTTGAGCATCAGTGATACATCACATATTAGCATTGAGCATCAGTGATACGTAACATATTAGCATCGAGCATCAGTGGCACATGACAAATTAGCATTGAGAATTAGTGATGCTTCACATATTATCATTGAGCATCAGTGATACGTAACTTATTAGCATCGAGCATCAGTGGCACATGACAAATTAGCATTGAGAATTAGTGATGCTTCACATATTATCATTTAGCATCAGTGATACATTACATAGTTAGTAGCATTGAACATAAATGATACGTCACATAGTAGCGTTGAGCGTTATTGATACGTCTCATACTAACTTGAGCATCAGTGATACGTCACATAATAGCAATAAGCGTTATTGATACATCACATTATAGTATTTGGCATCAATGATACATCATAAAGTAGTATTGAGCTATGATACGTCACATATTAGCATTGAGCAATAGTAATAAGTCAAATAGTATTGCATTGAGCATCAGTGATATGTCACTGATGCTCAATACATTGCATAGTAGCATTGAGCATTAGTGATACGTCACTGATGCTCAAAACATTACATAGTAGCATTGAGCGTTAGTGATACGTCACAAAGTATAGCCTTGAACACCAAAAAGAACTTTTGTGCTTTAGTGATGCGTCACATAGTAACATTGAACATTAGTGATTCATTACATAGTAGCATTGAGCCTAATTGATACGTCACTAAGTATTGAACATCAAAAAGAACTTTTCAGCAGCAGTGATAAACCACTCATAGAGTTGAACATTAGTGAAACGTCCTACTTTCCATTTAATAGGTCACACATCAAATTAAGCCTCAGTGATAAATCTTGCGTTACATTGGGCAAAGACTTTGCTAATTAAAGATAGCGCATCAGAAAATCCACGCAAATTTGACGCATTTTCAGGGGTAGTTTTTCTATCTTGAAATATTTAATTTGTCCATACTTCATAAAAGTGACTAGTTGAAAGACAATGAACATAATTTACAGAATTCATCACTTTTTAAGTTGAAATAACGACGATATCTTCCTCATTGTTACCCAGTTAAATGTTTAAATGGTAGCGTTGTTAATAGGACCTTTAATGTGTTGGTAACTTGAACATTAGAACAGTTACTTTTGGTTTGAAGTATTTGAAGTGTTTATAAGAAGAAAATTAAGGTTACAAATCTTTTATGCAATTCCTTGCACTTTTTAACAGTAATCAATTATCTCATTACTTTTTCATTTCAGATTGAATTTGATTTAAATGAATTATTGAAAAATATAACGTCATAATATTTATTTAACAATGTAGTTTTTACACACTCGACATGGATCTTTCAGCTTTAGGAATTCATATGATCCAATTAATGATCCTTCATCCAAACTTTATTCTTTTTGGATCTGCTGGTATTGTAAACGCAGACTTTCCATTCTTGGTTGGCTTGGCAGTTGGGTATCATACATGTTACTTTGCTTGGCAGTGGCATCGACGAACCTGAATTTATCAGAATTATTCATTGAATTTGTATACATAAAACAAAATCAAAAATTGAGTCTAAAAGTCGTTTTTACATTCCCCAGTTTTATTTTCACCAATATATTTCTTTAGTCCGCGTTTTTAAAATCCTCCAATAATGCATGCCTCAAACCTTTTGTAATCAACTTTAATTCGCATCTTTAACGAAGCTTTCTCTGATATTTTTGTTCTTTAAATTAATTGAAGAGTAAGGTTAATACATTAATTTATGCGAGATTATTTCTTTGCCTAAGATTAAACAGAAGACGACATTTACACACAAATTATTTACCGTTTATAATATTGGAAATTTCTGGTCCCCTCTCTTCTTCATCGCCTAAAATCCCATTCCATAGAACCTCATAAAAAAGTATATGACGACATCAGAAAATTTTTACGAACATTATTGGCTGTTTTTGATACAAAAGAGATGCGTAACTTTTATCACAAATTCAGCTTTAATTCATCAGACGATCTTCATATCCAAAAAATGATTAAATAAATTTTAAAATACAAATTAATCTTTAATTTTAGTTACTTTTTAGTACAAAACATTCACAATTTTGGTAAATATCTAATGTCTTAATGTCAATCGTTAGACTCTCAAAAAACCAAAAAACCAATGACGTTAAAATACAGCTGTACATGGGGACACAATATGTCGGCTAAATTTCCAACGCCTCGTCTTTATAATAGGCAAAGTCTTTGGCATTGAGTATTGGTGATACGTCATATGGCAGCATATAAAATTATATAAAAAATCGAATTTAGCATTAGTATTGAACTACTGTTTAAATAATAATTGAATTGTACATTGGTGAGAAGTCATACGTAGCATTGAGCAGGGATTCATCAGACGTAGCATTAAGCATCTATGATACATCACACAGAGCATTAGTAATCATTGATATGTCATAGTACTTTAGCATCTCTGTTACAGTGAAACCCTTAATAACGAATACATCGGAAGAATTTATCAAATGTCGTCTTGACAATTTTTCAATGAGTTTTATACTATTTTCTGTAAATGTCAGTATTTGCGAAAATAAATAAATATCAATGAATATGCGGGAACAGTTTTTAAGAGTTCCATATAATCATAATTAAAAAACTAAATATCTGCAACATTCCATGATCAGAAAGTGAAGAATACGACATTTGATGAATTCTTTCGATGTATTCGTTATTAAGGGTTTCACTGTATGTCAGACATAACATTTCAGCATCAGTAATACGTTACACATAGCATTTAGCACTATTTATACATCATGAGGGTGAAACTATAGGTGTTAGGTACTTTTCCAAAGGCATTTCCCTAAGGGCGACTTCCCAAGGGATTAATTACCCGAGCGGCAACTTCCCATAGGCTCTCGGAGGCGCTGCAGGCTGCAATGGGGACGGGCCGGGCGCTACTGCTAGGACGGGCTAGGGGGCAAAGCGCCGTGGCTAGAACATGCGGGCCGGGTGGGGCGAACGCTGCGGCAAGGACAAACTTGGGAAGTTGCCACTTGGGAAAAATCCTTTGGGTAAGTACGTAACATCAAACTATAGGATGAAACTATAGGATAAAAATAAAAATGATCCCGTCCACCTTAAACCGTTTAAAAAAATGTTTTTATAAAGTCCAAAAGAGGTTAGAGATTTTTTTATTATATTCATGCAAACTTATTCAGGTATTTGCTTTTTTGTGTAAATTAAATCACTAATTTAAGCCAGAAAAAAATTCGTGAAAATAAATCAAGATAGCTGATAGATACAAAAATATCCGTCTGGAGAAACTGAAATCGTAAAAATCCCTTAAAAATCAATTAAAACTAGGCTTTTAGGGCGCTTTTTGCCACCTTTCCTGTAAATATTTTAAACTTTTAACTGTTGCTATAAAAGTCGGACATTTTAAATAATTTTCAAACTTTGGCGGATTTTTCATTTTGCTTTCGCGCATTTACACAGGAATTTGTATCTCCAATTTTTATGTTCACTCGGCTTTTAGGGCGCTTCGCGCCCATCTTCTATTTAAATTGTGAACATGTTCTTTTTGTTTACATTTTAAAACAAAGAAAAAAAAATGTTGCGGATTTTTTAAAAAAAATCGCGGATTTTCAAGAATTTATTTTTTTTTACAAAATTAAAAACCTTTAAAACACATTTTTAAAAAAATTTTATCATTCATAAACCTTCCCTTTTGTCACGTGATGTCCCACAAAAAATTTGGGCCCGATCGGTTCAGCCGTTTTGACGTTTATTGGATACAAACAAACAGACAAACAGACAAGCCAAATGTATATATAGATGGGCCCAATCAAAGCAAAAAAATATTTTATTATATGATTACATATTTTATAAAAACGTTAATTATTGAATGATTTCTGATTTTTTAAATTGTTTTCTTTTTTTAAAATGGCCTATTGCTCTTGTAAACATTTTTGTGGTGCAAAAAGGATTGACTTTTTTTGCTAAAATGGTACATCCCTAAATATTATTAACACATTTCAGCAATACTTTGCTAGCAAAATTGAATTAGTAATACGTCTTATACTATTATTTCTAGAGAATATGCAGATGTGTCTGCTAATATTATTATATATAGAGAATATGCAGATGTGTCTGCTAATATTATTATATAGAGAATATGCAGATGTGTCTGCTAAAATTATTATATATAGAGAATATGCAGATTTATCTGCTATTATTATTATATATAGAGAATATGCAGATGTATCTGCTCATATTATTATATATAGAGAAAATGCAGATGTGTCTGCTAATATTATTATATATAGAGAATATGCAGATGTGTCTGCTAATATTATTATATATAGAGAATATGCAGATGTGTCTGTTATATATAGAGAATATGCAGGTGTATCTGCTAATATTATAATATATAGAGAATATGCAGATGTGTCTGCTAAAATTATTATATATAGAGAATATGCAGATTTATCTGCTATTATTATTATATATAGAGAATATGCAGATGTATCTGCTCATATTATTATATATAGAGAAAATGCAGATGTGTCTGCTAATATTATTATATATAGAGAATATGCAGATGTGTCTGCTAATAGTATTATGTATTGAGAATATGCAGATGTATCTGCTAATATTATCATATATAGAGAATATGCAGATGTGTCTGCTAATATTATTATATATAGAGAATATGCAGATGTGTCTGCTAATATTATTATATATATAGAGAATAAGCAGATGTGTCTGCTAATATTATTATATATAGAGAATATGCAGATGTGTCTGCTAATGGTGCTGCTACTGTTCGTGTTTGAACCCTTGTCTGCTCGTCCTAAAACTTACTTGATAATTACCAAGGATAGTCTAGAGGTAAAATTTGATGAAAAAGTTAAATAAAACCTGTTAAAGTTTGACTGGTGCATACAGTGAGAACTAGATTACAATGGAATACATGTGACTCATTATCATATGCTGTTTATTCTTCCTTTCACTTTAAGGGAGTGACCGGCAATGTATGGTTCTTGAACTAAGAATGCAGTTTTGTAAAGAATTTTGTTAGGATTCATTTGAGACCTATCATACGTTTTAACGGTGCATATTTGTTCAGCAAGAGTGAAAATTCAGTTTTTAAAATCCTCCTTCATTGTCCATTTTGAAGAGATGATTTTGAGAATCGTTTTTTTTAATTTATTCAATAACAACGACGAAAAATGTAACAAAAATTCTAAATATGTTTGGGAACATATTTCTCAATAGTAATTTGACCAAAAAAAACAATGCTAGAATAAATTATTTCCTTTTTAAATTATATTTAATTTCTTATTCTAATAACTGAATAAGATTAGTTATTTTCCATGAAAAGAATAAATATTATTTTCTCAATCTGTTTCTAATCAATTTTTTTTTACATATTTAGTGGTCGTCATTGTATATTGTTAAAAAACCGATTCTCCAAATCATCCCTCCAAAATGGACATTCTATGAGAATTTCAAAGATTGAATTTGCGCTCTTTCTGAACAAATGTGCACCTCGAAAACGTCTGATAGGTTTTAAATGATTCCTAAAAAATTCAGGCCAAAAGTAACTACATTCTCAGTTCAACTACCATACATTGCCGGTCACTCCCTTTCAGAATAGTCGATAACAATTTTAAATTTTAAATTGTTGCAATAGATTTATCTCTAAAAATGACTCAGTTCCATATATTGCGCAAAGTAAACGACTAGAAATTCACTGTTATCAGGTTTTCAGTGTACAATACTTTATAAATCTTGGAAAACTTTAATAAAATCTTGGTAAACTTTAATAAAAACTTGGTAAACTTTAATAAAAACTTGGTAAACTTTAATAAAATCTTGGTAAACTTTANAAACTTTAATAAAAACTCAAAAAAAACTTGGAAAAGTAGTTTTTGTCACAAGTTCTGTTTTTCTATTCTCTATATATCTTTGCAACCAAATGTCGTATAGCTTTGATATATCAAGCCATGAATTCTGTTAGATAATATGATAAAGTTTAAAATATAAAAAATTTACACCATCATCAGGTTGCAAAGATAAAGGGATTAGAAAATTGTAAAAGTGGCCAAAACTTAATTCCTTTATTAAACATTTGGCAAAATTTGATCAGACCTGATGAAGTCTTAGTAAACTTTAATAAAAATAAACTCACAATCACAGGCTGTTCCAAACAGAAAAAATGTAAAATCGTCTTCGATCTACGCGGCACATCTTTCATATTTTTTAACTTACTTTACTCAAAACATTTAACTGGTTGTTTTGTGCCCTCAATATTGACTTTTAAACCACACTTTAAATCAGAAGATAAATCTTTGTTTCATGTTTTTTCTGATTTATAAATTATCATCAAACATAATGTTGATATCGTCACTGAAAATTTATGTTTATTGGGTTACGCTGAATACCAACTACATTTCTTTAACTTTGAATCGGTGATTCAAATTTGAATAAGCAGTAGGTAGTTCAACGTCTTAGCTCAATTTCTTTTTATTTGTTGCCAGGTGTCTATGCCAGGATCTGATTACAACGGACCAACAGCTTCTGCTGAAGCTGCTTTTGCAGCGAAAAGAGAAAAATGCAAAGCGGACGGAAACATTGATTGTGTGTTTGCCTGATCATGGAGCTGTGCTGTGTCCGGTACCTGGAGCTGTGTTGTGTCAGGTACCTGGAGTAGAGGATGCTTCATCAACCCTCGAAAAATATTCTTGCAATTTTAGAACTTTAATAAATATTTGATTCACGTTTCAAAACTTTTTAAAGATGAAACTGAAGTCTGTGGAATCTATAATAATCCAATGGAGGCAATTTCAAATTTGAAATACTTGATTCCTCAATTAAACCTTCCTTGGTATAATCACCAATGTGAATCGTAGAGTAATTAAATTAAATACGAGATTTACAACACAAAGGTCTGACTCAAGGTATGCACGTAGAACTCATGGTATGCACGTAGAACTCATGGTATGCACGTAGAACTCATGGTATGCACGTAGAACTCATGGTATGCACGTAGAACTCATTGTATGCACGTAGAAATCATGGTATGCACGTAGAACTCATGGTATGCACTTAGAACTCATGGTATGCACGTAGAACTCAAGGTATGCACGTAGAACTCATGGTATGCACGTAGAACTCATGGTATGCACGTAGAACTAATACACGTAGAACTCATGGTATGCACTTAGAACTCATGGTATGCACGTAGAACTCAAGGTATGCACGTAGAACTCAAGGTATGCACGTAGAACTCATGGCATGCACGTAAAATTCATGGTACACACGTAGAACTCATGGTATGCACGTAACCTCTGGTTTACCATGACCTCTGGTCTACCGTGACCTCTGGTTTTCTGTGACCACTGGTTTACCGTGACCTCTGGTTTACCGTGACCAATGGTGTTGAACACGTAAGGGTCTTTTTTAATGGGATCGACCAAAATAAATATCATCGATCAGAACAACGGACGTATGTACATTATAAAGCGGCTTATGAGACGTACATTTGATTAAAATAATTTTTTTTGAGAATTTCTCAGTTTATTCATTTTGACAGCAGCGTCCTGCATGGAGACTGGAGAGCCTACCCCTTAGGTGTTTTAACCATTTCAAAGCAATGTTAGACATACGCTCTAAAATGTATCTAGGGGGGAAAACGCAAATAAAGTCCTCGCAAATGTCGCATTTCTTTCAAATTATTAAACTATCATTAATTCTTCGAAACCTAGAAAATGTTGAATGCCTAATCAAATAATACATATGCTTTTAATGTCTAAAATTGTGTTGAAATGGTGTACACACTCTATGAAACTGGTCTTAAAACCTTCACCATGGGTCTGAGGGTTTCCAGCGAACAAAAATTCACGTAAACGAATTTTGCGGGTAAAAAAATTCCGCGAAAACCATAAATGTTGTTGCTGCAACAATTAATTGAGCAAGAACTTGTGGAATTCTCTGCTCTGAGAGCTCAACATTAGAAGTTTCGTTATATCCTAATTATTAATTTTTCTTCCTTTACCTTAATATATAATAAATGTTTAATGAAAAGAATTTTTTTCGCGAAATTTTTGCATTTCTTATTTCGTGAAAATTTCTCATTTTTTCGCGGAACAGATTAAAGCGAAATTTCGCGAGTGAACGAAATGCAAAAAAATGCAAAATTTTCACAAAACGATTTTCCCTTTACGACAACAACAACAACAACAACAACTGGAAACAATTATACCACAAAAAAAATTGAGCTTAATCAATTCCCCCGTTTTTCGACGTTCATTGGATACAAAAGACATAGGCCAAGGCCATACACATAAATAAAATGTGTATATATATACACATTAACCTGAGTGTTATGTATCAGTTTAACGAATAATTATATTAATGAAAACATAAAATTTAAGTAAATTTGTAAAGCATTATTATCATGATTTATTTAAGTTAAAATGTTTATTTGAACTTTGCCGCATTCTGCATTCTAATCATTTAATGTTTTATGAACACGTAAAAGTATTGAATAGCAATCTTGGTCATGGTTAGTATAAAGGGTGTTCCAATAAACATGGTTAGTATAAAGGGTGTTCAAATAAACAACCCCATTTTTTTGTGGCAACTCACATTTTATCCCAGGTCAAAAAAAATGTTGTCCCAAAAAAATTTCGACTATTAAGAACCTGCACATTGAATTTTTCTTAATTGTGGAAAGATAGATGATTATATAAAAATAAATTGATTTTTTACTTATTTGTGACAAAAAATCATAAAATAATGATTTTTTAAAGGTGAAAATTTTATTTTTGATTATCAGAAATTATCTTTTTGATAATTCATAAATAATATGGTCTCCTCATGACCTAATCTGAGATGAAAACTTTAGAATATGTGGATATCGAGATCAATGCTTGATCTTCTATTTTTGTTATCTTCAAGATTAATTTAATCTTAAGTTTTTATCAACAGAATTGTGTTTATAACTTAACCAATCAAGTGAGGGAAAAAGCAGAACAGCTGATCATGGAAGCCGGGAAATTTGAAATTTTGAGCGCCATTTTATGAGAAAACTCTTATTGGTCGGAAACTGACAGAGAGAAAAAGAGCGGATTAAGAAGGAAATTAAAAGTGTCCACATTGGATATTTAGACTAAGCGATTAGGATTAAAAAGTTTTCAGGTCGAAACATTCTATTAAACCAGATCTAGTCGAGATTAAATGCACTTTTAAAATTCCTAAAATATAACTGAAATTAATCTGCTCTACATAAAAAAACTTTATGACTAGGTTACCTATTAGACTGCCCCCAAATCCTCGAAAAAAGATGATAATTAATTGAAGTTAAAAAAAAAATTAAACTGTAAAAAAAGTGACCAAACATTGTTGCCTTTATAGCATAAAGGGCTTCATCTAATGAACAAATAATTGTTTTGTTTTAAATTTAATGACATATCATGATATAAGTGAGATACAGGGTTACCCTCAATGGACTTCAGAGAAGATTTTACGGAATTTATTCTGTCTTTATTCATTGTTTCCTGCAGCTGTATACACTTGTTTCTTTCTTGCCAAACCAATTAACACGACTGTATTGATGGGAGTAACCTATATTCAACCATCAGGGCGCTATATTTTAAGCGTTTAGGTCATTTTTGAAGTTTCATATTAAAGTAGTTTTTAAACATCCCCGATACCTAATACCTATAGACTTAAATCTAAAGATCACAATGTCTCTTCCTGAATTCTCGAAACATTAAATTTTGGATTTCAATATATTTTTCTTAAAAAAATATAGATTGACAATAATGCTTGCTTGGTCATGGAATTTGTACTTTTCTCCAATTCTTTTTCCTATTTTTTCTAAAACAATCTATTTCTCAATTTCTTAATGTTCATCTTATTTTCTCCTACTTTTCCTAATTCATTCTTCCCCCTTATTTTCTGTAGCTTTTCTAAAATCATTCAATCTAATTTTCATTTTTCTTTTTGCTGTTCTTTCCCATTTTCCATATTCGATTGCATGACTTCTCCAAATTCATAAAACGATTCCTATGATTTGCTGCAAACTATTGTTAAGGTATAGATGTTCACTGTGCACTTTTCATTTCTCGTGGTTAACTGTATAGAATATATATAATTACATATTTACATAAACTTTTGTCATAGTCTTGATCACAGTCGTGTATTGTTCATGTTTTCCCGCCATTTTTAAACTGGGTTTGGTTTGGATTCGTCTTCAACAGTTTCAAGAACCGGGACCTCTGTCACCTCTTTAGCCCCAAGGACCGCCTGAAAATAGATTGTTTTAAATATTGATTAATTTTATCTTGGCCATTAAAACATTATTTGTGTGTTCAAGAAAAAAAAATGTATTAAATGCTTTTGTTGGAAAAGGAACCCGAAACTTTAACAATTTTTAATCATTTTCCTATCTGAATTTACATTGTTAGATAGTAAAATTCTTCTGTCAATGCCGTTGAAGACTTAATGTAAACTTTAAATATAGGAGTTAAACTGTTGAGTTTTGAAAATATGATCTATAATCTCTCATTCCTCTCATTAGTGGATGTGGAAGATTCCTGATCTGTTATTGGTTCTAACGTTGACCAATAAGAGACGGAATGAGTTAAACTCATTCTTTTTATTTAAAAGTCTCGAGTTAAGATTTTTATTTTTACCTCTGAGTATGAGGGTAGATGGAGATCCTCCTCCTTCTCCTGATCCTTGAGAACAGTATCATAATCAGGGGGTGGAGCAGGGGTTCCAACCTCAGGGAAGGAGTTTAGGATCCGTCTGATATGACTGGAAGAACGAGCCTGAAATTATCAATCAATCAATAAATAAAAAAAGAACTCAATCATCATTTTTTGGAAGATATAACGAGTTAATGAATTATTGAATTAATAAATTAATTCAATAATGAATTAATGAAATAATAAATTAATGAATCAATGAATAAATGAACTAATGAATAAATAAATTAATGAATTAATAAATTAATGAATTAATAAGTTAATCAATTAATGAATTAATGAATTAACGAATTGATAAATTGACGAATTGATGAATCAATGAATTAATGAATTAATGAATAAATTAACTAATGAATAAATGAACTAAAGAATAAATGAACTAATTAATAAATGAATTATTGAATGAATTAATTAATGAATTAATGAATTAATGAATCAATTAATAAATGAACTAATGAATAAATGAACTAATGAATAAATTAACTAATGAATAAATGAATAAATGAATAAATGAATAAATGAATAAATGAATAATTGAATAAATGAATAAATGAATCAATGAATGAATGAATAAATGAATCAATGAATCAATGAATCAATGAATCAATGAATCAATGAATAAATGAATCAATGAATCAATGAATAAATGAATAAATGAATCAATGAATAAATGAATCAATGAATAAATGAATCAATAATTAATAAATAAATGAATCAATAAATAAATAAACTAATGTATAAATGAACTTTTGATTTATTAACTTGTCGTATCAAAAAATAAATGAACTGTTTAAAATGAATTTATGAAAACATTTTCAAAAAAAGTTTAGTTTTCAGGATTTCAAAAGGCTCAACAAAAATCTGAAAAACTTCGAAATTGTTTGCTCTGAAAGTTTGCTTCTAATAAAGCAAACAAGATTAAAGCACGAAACATTTTTCAATGTTTTGCTTTGTTTAGGCAGACTGGTTCTGCCAATGTCAACATTTTATATAGAATGAGTTACTTTAATGCAAGCATGGATAAGATATTTCAGACTTCAAACAGAATTTTCAAAATATAGATATAATATAAATAAAACAGAAATTATAGCCATCAATAAACTAAAATTAATTTATATTATATAATGATGAGTAAGAAATATATAAAAAGATAATTTATCATCCAAAATTCTAGAAAAAACATGAAACTCAGTTATTAGATTAGACGTAAGGTTTAAAAATTAACTTATTTTAAAGGGACTGTTGGCATAGTTTCAAGTGATCCTTTAATTAATGAGTCCGTTTCACTAGGTAGGATATATTTGAACCTAGACAGATGTAGCCGTTTTACTCTTTCCTTAAATGTGTAAAAATATGGCAATTTACTTTCTAAATCAATCTTTAGCTAGAATATTCAGGATATCTCAACCAGACAATGATTTAAAGGATACCGTTTCAAATTGGGGATGTATCTCTTTAAATAGATGGCCCTTGATATTCTGTAAACGGTCCCTTTTATTTTAGTTTTATCAGGCGTTCTTATCAAATAAGAATTAATTAAGGGTGTAAAATAAAAGACAGGTGGCATGAAACTTGTAAAACATTACATCGACAAAAAAAGTGTGCGACAGGTGCCATCTTTATACATTTTACAATATACATGATATATATATATATATCATGTATATATATACATATATATATACATATATATATATATATATATATATACTCTTTTTAATGTTGCTGATTATTGTACTACAAGAACTATTAAAAGCAGATGCGTTTGACTAAAGATAGATAAATAGATAGATTACAGTAATACAGTGATACCCAAAAAAACAATAATATTTAAGTGTATTTGATGTTGTTACAAAGCAAATAGTTTTACTATACACTTATTAAATCATTAATTTAGTGCAATAGGTATGTTTACACTGTTTGACCCTTTAAAGGTAAAACTTGATTCTAAAAGTCGTCTTCCTATTTCCGAGTTTTCTGCTTATCCCCGTAGCTTAGATAGGTAAATAGATAAATAGACAGATAGAAAATTTAATGGTGGAATAAAAAATATCTTTTGAATTACAAGATAAATGATATTCAAATCATTGGAAAAGAAACCAATTTATGATCAAATAGCTAAATAAGTAATTTCCTATTTATAAATTATACCCATAACAACGTGGTTCGATCACATAATAAATCGACTCCCTTCGTGATCTATGATGGTAAAAAATGATTGCACATGATCCATTTAAAAAATAAAATTTAGATTTTTTTAACATTGTTCCAGGTTTAAATAGGTGGTAACATAGAAATGGGTCAATTATACTCGACGTCACAAGTGTCAAATATAACAAGGAAAACGAAATTTTCTCACATTAGTTGACATGTTTTCCAAGATTAAATAAAAAAGTGTAAAAACAGAAAAAAATAACACAAATAAAATTGCACCTTTTTCACTGAAAGATAAGCTCTTTATTCTAAAAATATCACTATTATTAATAATTTTGTCGGACACAAAACTGAGTTGACACTTGTGATGTAAAATACAGCTGTTCTGAGAGTGTACAAATACTACGTAGCCATCTTTTGTACTTAACAATCTATTTGGTTTAAACTATGTAATTATATATTAAATACCTGATTAAGCTGTCTGAGTTGAGAGCTGAACAAATCGAAGTTTAATCCTTCAGTATCCATCTCCTGTACAATACAGAAAATACAATTAGTAATAGCACATTAGCAATTGTACATACATAGTACATACAGTTAACACAGTTAGTAATAGTACATAATGTTACCGATATAACATACATATTACATACAGTACATACAATTAGTAATAGTACATACGGTTAGCGATAGTACATACATAGTAGTACATACAGTACTTACAATTAGTAATAGTACATAAAATTAGCGATAGTACATACAAAGTTCATACAGTACATACAATTAGTAATAACACATAAAGTTAGCAATAGTACATACATAGTACATAAAGTAAATACAATTAGCAATATATATACAGATTAAAGGGTGTCTTAAAAAAACAAGGTCTACAGACTTGTTTGTATTTGGATTTTCAAGATTGAGACATTTATAGAATTTACGTACAATTTCCGATTTAATAAGCCCCATTTTAGGCTTGTAGATCTAAAAATTACTATTTTATAGGCTCCTGAAGTTTCCAACTGGGGTGAGTAATTTGGTAAAAATAAGATAATCTCCGTTTGCACACTTTTATATTTAATGTTAGGTTACAGTTTATTATAGTACAATCGTTATTTTTATATCTACAAGCCAAAAGTTGGGCTCATTGACTCGGAAATTGTTCGTAGATATTTAAAATGGTCTCAATCTTGAAAATCCTATTCTGCAATCTGCATAGACCCTTATGTGCAATCGGAGATTATCTTTATTTTTACCAATTTACTTACTCCAGTTAGAAACTTTAGGAGCCTTTAAAATTGTCACTTTTAGATCTAAAACTGATCTCATTGAATCGGAAATCGTACGTCGATTCTAAAAATGGTCTCTTGAAAAACCGATTACAAACATGTGTAGACCCTTATTCCCCGTTTTTTTTGAGACACACAATTAGCTGTTGTGCATAAATAGAACATGCAAATCCACACAATAAGCTGTTGTTCATAAATATAACATGCAAATTGTAATAGTACATAGATAGTACATGCAATTAGTAATATTACATAAGTAGTAAACACAATTAGCAATAGTACATAGAAAGTACAGCATTGGTATACAAAGAACAAATCCATTTCCGGGACAGGTCCATTCGTATTCTGTCCATCACAATATATTCAGATTTTTACTGTCGCCCTGTTTTTCAGAATAAGTTTTTTTTTGCAAAAAAAGAGTTTTTTTCTTTATTTTTTTCTTGCACTCCTTTTTGTTACTTCTGTTTGTTCTAGTACATTGATCTTTCATCCATTAAACTATTCGATCATCCGAGTCATGACAATACGACAATCAAATATAAAGTAGTTAAAATAAAAATCTATAATAATAGAATCTGCATTTTTTCTTTGAAATAGAATTCTATCCTTTTTATCCTTCCTTCTTTAATTCTAGAAACATAAACCTCTGTATAGTTTAAACTGCAAGATTACACAAAAATGTTCATTGCAGAATTAGTTTAGAAGCAATGCATGCAATAGCCCAAAACTTGCTATTTTCGTATACTTTGTGATCTTAAATTGTGTACTCTGCGTTATTGCGTTTTCTTAAATTTTAGATTGCGTACTCTGTGATTTTAGATTGCTTAATTTGTGATTTTAGATTGCGTACTCTGTGATTCTAGATTGGGTACTTTGTTATTCTAAATTGGGTATTCTGTGATTCTAGATAGGGTACTTTGTGATTTTTGAAGTATGTGCACTTTTATTTAGTTTAAATACTTTTTTTAGATTTTGGATTGCGTACTCTGTGGTTTTAATAAAAAGAATCTATTTATTCTATCTAAAGATGTCTGACAGAAGGATTGGGCGTGAACTAATGAGTTATTCAAACCGAAAATTTCCAGTTCTCTTTCGTCATGGTCTAGTCTTTTTTTCAGCTAGTGTAGACTGTAAATGTATTTCAGAAGATAAATAGCAGTTTGTGCAGGGTTGTTCATTAAGGATGAGCCTCTATAATTACAACCGGTATAAAACTCTGTACTTCTTAAGTTCTGGGGTATTCACTACATCTTTAGTCTTAAATATTATCTTTTTATGTCAAAAAATAATTTGTCAAAAAAAATGCACAAGTTTAAGAGAACCAAAAAAGACTGAACAAAATTCGTAAAGTCTCATCCTTTCTGGGTAACCTTGTATTAATCAACAAAATGATGTCAACAACAACAAGAAATGTCCTCAAAGATTTGAACTTTAATTTTGAATTTTACGGTTTTTATGATTTGTTAAACATTGCGGTATTTAAGTGAAGATAATTCTTGAAATTTTAAATGTTTTTTGTCCCAATTCTACAGGGTTCTCCACAAAGAATTGGAGACTAACGACGACCCAAAAATACTTTTATACAACGATCAAATTAAATTCAGAATTTGGCAAAAAAAATAAACCAGTTTTAAGTATCAGCTAAGAATGTCAGATAAAAGAAAGATTAAAGTCCGCACAGTCGTCTCCAAAGACTCATCCTTTATGGGGATCATTATATAAATATAAATATATATATATATATATATATATATATGTATGTATATATATATATATATATATATACATACATACAGGGTTACCACCAAAGAATGACACTTTAAAGACGACCTGAAACTCGTAAATATGACGATTACAATGTTAAATTAAGTCTTTTGCTTCGAGTATTGTCTTTTAATTGCTTATTTGTTGACACGGCAACGAAAGAAACCAGTTTCAAGTTCCTAAATATAAGAAATATAGCTATGTACAATATAAGTTAAGTACAGTCGTCTATGAAGTCTCATCCTTTGTGGTTAACACTGTATATTAAATGAGAAATCATAGTTTGCGTAATAGCATTTAGCAAAACTTTAAAACATAATGCAAAATCACCGCTAAACGTTGCGAACTATACTTGCGAACAACTGAGACACTGTCACAACAATAAAAACTTTAAAAGTTTTGCAGAAATTGATAATTTTCCGCGGCATAGAATTTTCGGATTTGACGTCAGTTCCGTCTAGAGATCAGAACGTGAAAGGATTAAATTGCGTGTTTTGACAGTTTTAAAATATTTTCAAGAATTGCGGTTATACTAGGCTTATATTTCTAAAGTGAAAAATCAGGGTTCTACGAATATTTTTTATTGATTATTATTCATATCTAAATATTATCAGGGCAACAAGGGGGTTTTTATATCCAAAATCAAACGGAAAGCAGTATGGGGTACTGATGAATTCTGGAATGGCTTGCTTTATGATGTTTTTTTGGTTTGGGTTGTGCGTCAGACTGAGTTTTAACGATCAGCTACGTATGGCAGTTTAGATTTTCTTCAAAAATATGATTTAAGATTTACAAACCCGATATATGTTAAACTCCTGTCATATACTGTTCAGGTTGACGGATTAGACGTAACAATTCTAGAATTCATAGAGCGAAAAATAAATTTTTTTCTAAACGCCACCAAAGACCAAAAAGTAAAGAAAAAATCATAAATTCTGTTAGATCTAGTTGTCAAGGTTTAAAATATCAAAGGTTTATACATGCATGATGGTGCAAAGATATAGGGAATAGAAAATTATACTTAGAGAGAGTAACCAGTTCCTTTTATTAGATTAACCATTTTTATTTTAATTCATATATGCTACATGTATATATATATATATATACTTAGAGAGAGTAACCAGTTCCTTTTATTAGATTAACCATTTTTATTTTAATTCATATATGCTACATGTATATATATATGTATACTTAGAGAGAGTAACACCAGTTCCTTTTATTAGATTAACCATTTTTATTTTAATTCATATATGCTACATATATATAAATATATACTTAGAGAGAGTAACCAGTTCCTTTTATTAGATTAACCATTTTTATTTTAATTCATATATGCTACAGTTATACAATACGTTATACAGTGTATGCATGGTATTTATTTATATATATATATGTATTCTCTTAAAGGGACCGTTCACTTATTTGGGTAATTTGATGGTAAACTAAACAGCTTTTTGGCTATTCATCGGTATTAGTCTTACTTTTCAAAGACAACTGTGGCCGGAGAAAAAGCCGATTTATCGTTTAGAATTCTAGCGCAAAGGTATGATACCTTTGCATTTACACTATTTGATGCTTTCTGTCAAAGTCATGGATTTTAAAAAATTTTCAGATATAAATTGTAGCATCTAATAGTTAATTGTAAATATCTTAAATTTTTTTCAAAAGTATTTTCAAATTGTCTTTTTTCAAAGCATAACTTATTTTAACATTTTACGGTTTGATACGTTTTTCCTAATTCCCCAATCCCCAGGAATCCCTGTGATTTATTGAAGAGTTGGAATCAAGGAACCGGTTTGTCTGAAAGAGAAAGTCGTCTTTATATACACGTGTTAATTTGTTAAATCATGTTTGAGCACGAAAAACGTTAATTTCTTGTAATTATAAAATCAAAAGTTTATATATTTTATTATATAATAGCTGACTCATGATGTCATTGATATATGATAATTTTAGATTTTATTGGGCTGTGGTTACTGAAAAAACGTCTAAATAGTGTAAATGCAAAGGTATCATAACTTTCCGCTGGAATTCTAAACGATAAATCGGCTTTTTCTCCGGCCATAGATATCTTTGAGAAGTAAAACTAATACCAATGAATAGCTAATGGGCTAATTAGTTTACCATGAAATTACCCAAATAAGTGAACGGTCCCTATAAAATCAAGTGATCTTGTGACCATTGTTAAAGTGGCATGCCATTTTGACAATGGTACCCCTTAATCCATGATCAGGCACCATTGTAAATCAGGCATTTCCATCTTGATTGGAAGGTCACTTACAGTCCATTTAAAAGTAAAAAAAAGCTCATTGAAATTTCCAAGGTTTAATTTTAAGTTTAAAACAAGTTTTCTTTAATTTATTTTAATAACATTTTTATCTTACCCTTACACGCTTCCTGTGCCTGAAGAAGGTTACGCAGGCAATCATAACAAGGATCAATAGTACTCCACCAAGTACTCCAATCAAACTAAATATATAAATATAGTACTCCACCTAGTACTCCAGTCAAACAAAATATATATAAATAGTACTCCAACAAGTATTCCAATCAAACTAAATATATATAAATATAGTACTCCACCAAGTACTCCCATCAAACAAAATATGTAAATAGGACTCCACCTAGCACTCAAATCAAACTAAATATATATAAATAGTACTTCACCTAGTACTCCAGTCAAACAAAATATGTAAATAGTACTCCACCAAGTACTCCAATAAAACTAAATATACAAATATTACTCCACCAAGTACTCTAATGAAACTTAATATATAAATAGTACTCCACCAAGTACTCCAATGAAACTAAATGTATAAATAGTACTCCACCAAGTACTCCAATGAAACTAAATATATAAATTGTACTCCATCAACTACTCCGATCAAACTAAATATTAAAAAAGTACTCCACCTAGTACTCAAATTAAAAACTTCACCCACCGATTTAAATAACCAAAACATATATTTTTTAAGAAAAGAATTTATTACATTTAAAAATGATTAAAGCAAATGGTTTGGTTTAAATTGGCCTAGCTTAGAGCTATTAAAGCCTGCGGCTGAAAATGGGTTTAAAATTCATAAAAATATGAGATTCAAGTTTAACAAAGCGGACTGGAGGAAAAATACAAAATGTTGCTTCTAGTTTTTTATTCAAATCAGGTAATATTTATATTTTTATCATTGAATCTTAAAATTAAAACTAATCTTGACTTATAGTGTTTTGAAAAAATGTTAGTTTTTTTACTTTTCTTTTATTTTAAACAAAATGAATTTAATAAGCAAAATAATGAAATACATAATAATTTTTTCAATAAAAAAGAAAAATCGTCTTCATATATAAAATTATTTTTACCTTAACGATCTACCCGTAAAATGAGTATTGTCCATGACATCAATACCAACCATTCTCCCTTCTAATAATATAAAAACAATCAGCACTTTTGTTTTAATTAATTATTTTTATAAAGTGTAGTTTAAAATTTATATTTAGTACAGTCATAGCCAGAATTAGACCCGGAATCAGTTGACAATTAATCAGACGACTTTTCCGGCGTCTTTGATTTTTGAAATAGTTTCCAGCATTTATTTGTCATTATAATTCTTAAAATATACAAATATGATTGATTAAACGATAAACATGAAATAGCACTAGTGATGCCTTTTCCAAAATGTGGTCTGCCTTTCTTGTGCATTCAAAATTACCCGAGATGGTAATGGAAAAGGCAGAACTAGGGCTATTTCGTGTTTATTGTTTCATCAATCATATTTGAAACAAATAAATGCCGTAAACTATTTCAAAGATCAAAGAAAATTGTAAAAGTCGTCTGCTTAATTCATAATTTTGCAATTCATTCTAGGTCTTTCTGATTCTGACTGTATGATCTAAAAATGGTGAGATGGTACGGTTTAATCAATTTTTATATTATTTGAAATAATTCGCGAAAAAAAAAATCTTTTAAAAATTTAAGACTAACCTGAAGCTGAATTACGTAGTTCGTATTTATGAATAACTCTGAACAAAACAATATTAAATAAAAAAATATAATTAGTAAGAATGTTTAGATATTGATTTTAACTTAATATCAACCTTAATAAAATTAAATGCATGCAAATCAATGTTTGTAATCAATAAACGTCAAAACGGCTGAACCGATCGGGCCCAAATTGTGTGTGGGAACTTACGTGACCCCAGGGAAGGTTTATGAAAGATCAAAATTTCAAAAAAAATGTGTTCAACATTATTTTCATTTTGTAAAATTTAGAAAATGCGCGAAAAAATATTATAAAAATCCGCAAATGTAAAAAAAATGTTGTACTGTACAAAGAAAAGATGCTCACAGATAAAGTCACAATTAAAAGTTGAAATAGAAGATGGACGCGAGGCGCCCTATAAGCCTAATAGAATAATGAAGATGATATTTTCGTTTTTTAGATTTAAAAGTGTTTAATTCTGAAAATTCGAATATGTTGTCCTTCAGTAGTAATGCGCAAGATACTTTAGTAGAGAACCCACGATTTAAAGAAATCAGCTTACAAAATTATAAACATTCATTTTGTTCAATAAAAACATTTAAGGGTACCGTTGGAAATTACGCTTGAAATTACGCTTATATAGTCCCTTTAAACGTACATTTAAACCCTATTAAGGCTGGGGGGTCAGAATAGCCCTAGAAAAAGACCTTAGAATAAGGGTCCATAGGATTGCAATGCATGCTCATTGTTTAAAGCCCAATTTTTCAAGGCCAGCTCATTGAACAAAAAATTAGACTGCCGCGCTAATTTAATAGTTTGGGTGCCTGGGAGGTTTGAAAAAAATGCCAAAACAAAGGTCGAAATAATGTGAAAAAAATAACTTTTTTGTTTTTGACAAATTAATAGTAAGCTGTGACGACAGTGACACATGTTTATACATTCATTTTTCAAGGGCTTTTTAATAATGTAGGACTTAGATCTGTGGCTTTAAGAACAAAAAGGTTATGGACTATTTTAGATGTTTTTAACACGGACCAGCCAACTCTTACTGTCCTGAACCCTATCCTTTGCATTAAAAAATCCTTTAGCTTACTATTCCGTTAAAAAAAATTCAAGCTGATGATAGTGTCAAAAATGCGAGTGCTAGGGCAAAAAAAACTAGAGGGGGCGTCAAACACCCCCCCCCGCTGTTTAGTATCAAGTTATGTAACCCAACCTTTCTTTAACGGGTTTAACTCTAAATGTACTGTAATACAATCAGTTAAATATTAGAATAGACTAAGTCCCATGTTTTAATTAAGTCTTCGTAGTGAATGCATTCTAGAATAAAGCATAACCTCCCCTCCTACTCCCCAAGCATGATTATATATGAGCATTGAATATTNTCATGGTTAAAACAAGATTGAGAGCAATGGAGCAGAAACCACACCTTCGATCTTGTTTTAAAATCCGAATATACAGGATGTCCAACATATGAACAATTTTCGTATCTGTAAAATTTTTAGATTATGCAATTTTTGTGATTGTCTAATAATAAATCCTTTTTCTTTAAATAAAAAGTGTAAGTAGAATCCATTTTGAAAAGTCCATAAGACATACACCTTTTAATCTGTCAAATATTAACTATGACATTTCACGTCGTTTATTGGGACACTCAATAGACGAAATTTTTTGAAAAAAGATAAGATAAAGAATTATAAGTTATATGAAATTTAAATACTTAAAAAATGTTAGGAAATGATAGGGACAGGGTTTTTAAAAAAAGAAGGAAGGACAAAAAAAGTTTTTAAAAAAATAGAAAAAAGGATACAAGAAATAAACAAGAACGTAGAAGAATGAAGAATTTATGTAAGAATGAAGTGAATNTAATACATGCTGCCAAGCGAGCCAACGCAGTGCCTATATTTGCCTGCAAACAATGCACTGAACAAAGAGGGTTTGGTTTAAGAAGTGTATTTGGATTTTATGCACTCACAAATACCTTGAAACATCAAATGGGTAGGTTGTATAGGAATTGTGCACAACATTTCAATTTACACCGCTACAACGATTAACAATGGTAAGTTTTTTTCAAGAATTAATGTATGGGATTTTTTAATGGTTTGAGTTTTTGACCAAAAAAATGGTTGCTTAGGATAAATCTTCTTAACATGGGACCATGGGGAATGCACTTCGTGTGTTGAACCCCTATTTCACCGAGTCATAGGTTTAAACATTAAAAATCAGAGAAAACTGAATAAAAAATATGATCATGCCATTCGATATAAACTGAAAACCAATAACTTTTTGAATAAAATTGTTTCCCTGTCGTCGTAAAGATGCGGCGGAACAAGGAATGAAAAGTCTGACATGTTTCCGCCGCAGAGTGAGTTGGGGGGCGGAGACTTGTGTATTGAAGTCCAGAGTCGGCAGAGCTGTATCAGAGTACTGGAGCTAGGCGGAGGAGGGATAGTGCTGACGTTCAGGTCTCCGGTAATGCTTCATATTCAATCAGTCAATCAATCCTTAGGCCAACATTTTCGACTCATGATTCATTGATCCCTTAACAGAGTAACATAACGTTCCTTGGTTCTCGTTGGGACAATTAACTTGCGAGGTTTCATGAAATAGTCGATCAAATTTATGCAGCAATTTTTTTCGGGAAATGAATTTTTTTACATAATCATGGGGTCCCTCGACCAATTTTGCCTTCAAAACATCTCTGACTACGCCCTGGGTGTTTTGTTGGCAAAATTGGTCTTGGAAACCCTTCGCAAAGAAAATTTCCCTCAGATTCTCTGAAAACTTAAAGTGATCACCAAAAAACTATGGAAAAGGAAGACGACAGACATGAGAGAAAACTTTGTGTATTTGATGTTCCTATAAAGCAAATACTTTTACTGTGTAGCTTGAAATTGCACAATCTCTAGAAAATCTAAACATTATATGTCTACAAACTGTCATTGTGTTCCATAGCTCTTTAAAAAAACCTGTAGTAAATCTTGTATTTCAAGAATTTAAAAGGTACAGTAAAAAAATGCCAATACTCATTTAGTTCGCTTTCCAGCACTCAAATTAGGCACTCTCAGGGAAATCTTTGAGCGCAGAGTGGTAAGATTTACTTAGTTGTGTCACTTCTTCTTAAAAAATGCGTATTTTCAAAAAGGTGTTGGATTTTTAAATGAAAGATAATGAGTTCCGCCAGGGGGTAACTGAGAGGGGGGTAATGTGACACGTGCCCCCCCCCCATATGATAAATTTAAGTTGAAACAAGTATTTTTATCGTTTAAGTGGGCGCCCCTTATGGCCTGTATTCCACAAATAAGGCAATATGCCTGAGAGTTCAGGTTGTATAAAGTGTTAAAAACCATTGATTTTGCCCAACGTGAGAGGTTTAAGTATTTAGGAAAGTCTTACAAGTTTAAACAGACAAATAATGCGTTTTATGCAAAAAAACATCGTTAGCATGACAGCATCAAATATAAACATTTATAATTACAGCCCTCAATATAATTGATGATTGTTATAAACTAATTTTATTGATTGTTTTCACAAACATTAAACATATATAGAAAAAAATAAAATTTGATTTTTATCATGAAAAACACTATTTCTTTAACAAATTATTTGATTATTTAAACAGTATTTTCTTAGATAAATGTAAAAAAGAAACGAATTTAATTATGAACCATTGGTAATACGTTTACTGCTGTTCTACCTGATGCAATCTTGGAGTTCAGTTAAATACGCATATTATCAAATAACAATAAAATCAAAGTTTAATTTTCCCATGTCCCTTTTTAAGTCTTTTCAAATTTTCCCTTTAAAAAAACTAGAAGAAAAAAGTCTTGACCTGCACTTAAATTAGAAATCATGGGCATGCCCCCCCCCCCCGGCCCCCCTCTGAAACCTGTATTTTTATCTAGATCAATCTATAAGGATGTACTTCTTGACTATTTGTAGAAAAGAAAAAATGACTCGTCACGAAAGAAAAAGTTGCAAATCATCCTCATTCCTCATCTAATCGTTTAACAAAGATTTAAGTAGGACAAAATTAGGAAGACGACATTGGAGCGTGATTTATGATTTTCATAAAATAGGTTGTTATTATTATATTATCAGTATTACAGATTTTTTCATATTTTTATTCAACTACAAAGCACGAGATAATACAAATAAAAAATCTCAATTAACTATATAGTCTGGACCCGCCTAACCAGAATTGGTTGGCCCATAATAAGCAAATGAGAATTGTATAGAAATAGGTGTACAGTGTACAGTGTACAGTGTACATTTAAAACAAAATAAAGATGATAAATCAGGAAAAAGGAAACCACTGTGACGACCCTGTCTTAAAAGTTGACTCTATTTAAGCAGGCTAAATCTAAGTGTAATATATGTATTTATACAGGTAATAAGTTTTAAAGCTGTTTGAACATTGTTATGAAAATTATTTATAATTTGTGAATAAGTTTTGAATAGTTTTTACATCAACAGCTTTGCAAAAACAGGTTTAAGCTATCTGAGCCCCCCTGGCTACAGTAATTTCAATTATATTTTTATTGCTATTTTTATATATTATTTAATTTGTTATTATGTTTACTGCAGATTTTAATAATTTAATAAGGGAAACATCATCTTTGGAATATAATTAAAAATCATCCCATTGTATCCACCCCTGATATTCAAAGTTCGTTGCAATTTGTTTAAAAACTGGAATAATGTGACTCAATTCTGGTTTCTTTTCACCTGGTTTTTAAAACCAGATTTTATAATCTCCTCGGTCACTAATAAAGAACCAACGAATATCTGTTTCTCCTAGCCCCCCCCCCCCCCCCCCCAGACAGAGGCAGGCTCTAATTTATTAACTTACATATATTTTCAGATTTTTTACTTTTCTTATCAATCGAAAATGTCACAGTTTGTCCGTTTATGATATTTTTCAAATTCTTTCTTGTATACCTTAATCTTATTTACAATATTTTTTTCGCGGGGTTTCATTTAAAATTCATTTCAGAGCAAGATGATTGACGCAAAGTTTTATTAAGCATTAAATAATACTGTCTCCAGTGTAATCTACAGTGGCGCAACTAGGGGGGGGGGAGAACCGAGTTTCACCCCCCCCCCTCACTTGGCTTCAGCATGATCATGATTGTGAATCATCTTTTATCAAATCTTGTCAATTAAGAAAAAATACCAAAATTTTTCTGTGGCGCTTCGCGCATCATTTCTGATAGGATTTCTAATTATTTTTTCGTTTTTGACTCAAAGAAAGTCAGTCTTAATTTATCCTCTAAAAAAAACTGTATATATGTTAAATGGTATATGTATTACAATACATATACCATTTAAGGTTACACAAAACCTGACAATCTAAGAAGAATAACAATAAGAAATATAATAAGGATTATATTGGACTATCAGGACTTTTGAAGACTATAAGAAGAAAACAGGGATAAGCCCTTACTGGCAAACAATGACAGAGGGACTTCGATCAGAAAGACTATTATGGATTATGGACAGACGAAATAAGGTCGAGTACTGCCAGGAAATACAAAGGACTGCACAGACCTACGGTTAAGGGACTCTACAGTGGACAAATATGACTAGAAAACGAATTTCAAAAAACTGGTGTAGACTGTAATAGGGGACTTTATAATACATAGTGAATATGACTAAGCCAGAGACTCAGAGACACTATGAAATACATGAACAGACGCTAAAAGAACCGAATTTTTTTTTGGCGCTTCGCGCACATGCTTCAATAAATGACTCATTCAGATCCATGTTAGGGTTTAACAACCTGTTGACAGTATACATTTTAAAGCTGTTTAGTATATTTATATTTGTATATTTTTTTTGTAAACACAAGAACAAGCCATCAATATTATAATAATTTGGTATATTATTGAGCACTGGGCCAACCCTTCAACATTTAAAAAATGCTGTTTTTTATCTCAAATCTAAGTTTTTTGCTCTTTTCCTACTAGATTTTATAATGATATGATGGGTAATTATGGTCAGGGTAGATTAATATAGATTTTAAGCTTTAATTTTTTTTCCATATACGGATTTTATAAGGGGGTGCACATCAACCGTTAGGGGGGTGCACAAAAAATGAACCTTCCTATGTATACAATTTTATCGTCCTTAAAGATGAAAATGCGCGTATTTTTTACGAAAAGAGCGGATCAAACTTTTATTAGGTATAACTCAAATCTCTACTGCCTCCGTAATGGCTAACCTTCGCGATATAAAATAAATAGAAAATATTTGTCTGTATCATATTTCTTTAACACATGGGTTGGTCCTTTCCCATGCCTCCCCTTTTGTAGCCCAAAATATTTCCCCGCCCACTCAATATGCTGTTTCTTTCATAGGTTCCCCTTTCTGAAGACAAAATGTTATCNTTTATTGTTGTCGATTTCCAGATTTCCTTTTCCTATAAAATATCAGTTACGAATAAAAATAATAAAATATTAAAGATTTAACATTTAAACTATGCTCATCACCTTCATCCTCATCTGAATCATCAAAATCACTATCTTCCTTCAGTGTACTCATTGTAGCATCGGTGAGAAAGATCTCCTTGTTTTCGTTCATGTACCTCTGGGCCTCTCGGTAAGCTTAAAATGTAAAGCATAAATAATAAATTAAAATTTAAAAATTAAGTTACCCACAAAGGATGAAACTGTAAAGTTTATTTTTTATTATTTATAGTTTTCCCAAAAAATGTGCAATCTTAAAACCACAAATAATACTTATACTTCAGACAGTATATGGACATAGTTGTGGTTTTAATTATTCACTGAACAGTGATTCGTAACCATTAATTGTCTAATGTATGTGCTAACAATAGAATAAAGTAGATTAACAGGATGTAATATTAATCTTTAAATACTCCTTTCTTATGAATAAAACTGTAAGGCCAGGTTTAATAACAATTTGATTTTCTTACAGGGTGTCCCACAAAACGTGACAGTTGGTAAATAGTTATGTAAGTCGTCTTTCATATACTTTTTCAGATATTACAGGTTTTTTACAGTTTATTTCGCTAAAAAAATATTTTTCTGAAACATATATTTTACTTTGAAACCAATTTTACTATAAAATGATCGGCTCCCATATAATATTTATATTATTGTCTTTGGTATCAAACACCCTGTATCTCAATTAATTGCAATTTTTTTCGAAGGCGACATTGCACCTCCTTATCGTGAGTCACTCTGTAACTTAAGCGCAGAAAACAAGAAATTAACAAGACCTTAAATTTTCATATTTACTTTGTAGGATAAAATCATACAAGGTCACGATAATGCAAGCCCAACTAAAAGGAATTGGGTCTTCGCAATAAACTCTGATTTTACTGTAACCTGATTTTGTAGACCTTGGATAATGCAAACTTTGAATTTTTAGATCAATAATCTAAGTTTAAAAAATCTAAGGTCTACATCATCAGGTTTTTAAGATTCAAGTTTGTGAAAAAGACTGAATTCTTTTGTGCCCCAAACAATGAGGAATTCAGTAGAGATATTATGACCAAAGATAGGTTTAAAGTTGTTCAAACCCGTGTTGAAAGCTATGTCGTCTTCCTACTTCAGTCTATTCTGACGACCACGAAATGACAAATTACCAAAATTACAGTTTGATAATTAAGAGATATTGATACACTTGGTTAGAGAGGGTCGTTGAACTCTGTAGATTCCAAGATAAAGAAGTTTATAAATACTAAATAAATAGTGTTGTATACTGAACACGGGAAATTCTTTAAATTTTAGGTTTGCTCCGTTGTGAAAAAATCTGACGGTAATGAGAGTAAAGTTGTGTAATCAAAAGCTTTGTGGATTTGCTGCCCGGATTTCTAGCATAACAGAGGCCGTTCCTTCCATATACATTGGTCGACAGCTTGACATCTTCAATATTGGTCGTCAAATTATCTATCAGATAAGAATTTTGTGGTCAAAATTCTTCCCCCACAAATTATACACGACCACTATCTTTAGAGAGAACGGGCTCTGAATCACGTAGTAAGGTTTAATTTACAGTGTTATACACAAAGGAAGAATGTAAAGACGACCTGAAACTCGAACAGCAAGACGATCTCCCAAAGTTGAATTATCATCCGTCTTTAATCAACTTATTTATTAATTTTGACTGTAAAAAGTTAGAACAAGAAGAGACGCCCAGCTAAAAAATCCATGCTGTTGTCACTATATATCGAGTATATAGATATGCCCAAACTAGGTTTTTTCTTTACAAGTTCAAAATTGTGAACAAACATCTCACCTTTTCTGAAATATCTCAAGGATTTAATGCATTTCACTCAAGGTTCTTTAATAAGGTTAGTTACATCGATGCGCTCCAATGTTCGGGAAATATCGCTTCCTAAGAAAGAAAGATAAAAACTCAACAGTACGTTACGTCACTAACAGGCGCAGTTAGGGGGGGGGGCTAAGCCCCCACCGGACCAGTGAAATCTATGAATTTCAGGGGGTTTTCAGGCCCCAACGGGTGCTGAACCCCCCTGGAAAGAAAAATTTAAGCCCCCCCCTGATCAAATTCCTGACTACGCCCCTGGTCACTGATTATAGAGGCGAGAGTGACGTCATATAAAGTTTTTAATCTATCTATGCATAGGAGACATTTTCTGTACATTGAAGTGCAACCTTATTATACAACCTTGGTTGTAATACTAGGGAACAAGTCACTTATTAAGTGCACATACATCTACTTAAGTTTGAGACATTTAAAGTATTTTAAAAAGTCTATAGATTAAATACTATGGAACAGTGAACATTTAACACAAAAATTGTACTGCAATTTGACCCTTTTCTTTTCACAAGTAGACTTTCCAGCTGCTTGTTTATCAGTTTTATTTACAAGACAACATAAAACACGCATAAGAAGTCTTAATCTAATTCAATTGAATTTATTCTTCCTACTCTAGCGGAGATATAAAATCATAAAATAAATGCAGTTTTGAAAATCTAGTTCTCTCTGCAACTGATATAGCAGAGCTCAAGGAACCATCACTATAGGAGAAGGTTGAGATGAATTGAACCCTAACCTCCAACCTTTAAATGTTACAAACTAGGTTTTGTCGGAATGTATTCTAGGAATTATGTTCAGGCAAAATTTAACATCTAGATGCTATCAGTGAGCATTCAAGCATACCAACTTAGCGACTTGGGAAATCAAGCCAATAGGTTCTCAGGCATTACTAAATATGTTGCTAAAAATTTCTAGATGTGATTGACTGTATACCCTGAAGTGCCTCCAATAGTCTCTCCAGCAAGTGAACCTGATATCTGCATGTTCGTATACTATGTACCGTACTGCAACTAATGTCCTTCACCAAATAATTCACAATATTTAAGACTTCTGAACACGTGTATATACAGTTGGGCCTGTTAAACCGCCATTTTGTCAAATCTGCGGAATTCACACTGCCCCGTGCAACAGTTAAACGGCAACTAAGAACATAGAACTGAGTAGTGACGTGCTTACGCGCCTTTCTTGTCTTGCCTCGAGCACTTTAGACAGGAGCAGGGCTGCGCGCGCTCTACAATAAGGCAGCGCATCACAAAATATAGAAAGATTTTATTTAATCTAAATACAAAATGATAAGATCTCGTATGTGAACTATATTTAATAAAAGATAATGGAGGGTTGAAGTTATTTTTAAACACTAAGCATTGCTCTTTCATCGATACTCAGCTCTTAAACCTAAAATTCATCAACAGGGAAAGGGTGGATCAAATATTAAGATTTATTCCTAGTTTATATAATATTTGTATAAAACCATATATCACATTTTATCCGTAAAATTAAAATTTTTAAGACAGAAAATTTCATTAAACATTCTTGACATATACTTTTAGTAAAAGTAAAACATTAGGTATATACATTGCATGTATCACAGATCGTAAATATAAAACTAAAATTAAGCTCAGTTGTAAAATGTAAATAGACTTCAGAGGATAATTTGGTTTGCACACTGTTTTGGCGTTACTCTTAAAAGAAATCTTCAGAACGTTTGTTTTAATCTTGCTTTCATCATCTCGAATCTAGCATCTATAATATATATAAAGTTTTAATCTCTGTTTGTCTGTCTGTCTGTCCGATCATAAATCAGGAACCCCATGACCGATTTGCCTCAAATTTTGAATGGGTAACTTAGCGAGAGTCACGGGAATGTTATTAGCTTGGTTTTCAGATTCTCATTTAGGTCGACTTGTACTGGCAAAAAATAGCTATAATAGTAATTTACGACCAAGTGCGGGTAAACGGCGAGAGTAACTATGGGTAACCTGGACAAGGCTGGGTTCCTAAGCTAGTGATTTTATAAAATACATGTCGAGTTGTTTGTTATTAGTTTTAAAAGTAAACCTGCCTTGTCAGGGTTGCAGGTTGTTGATCTGTCTCTGCTGGAGCTGTGAGAGTAAACCCTTCTCCGATACCCCTAGTTTATACTGGGATAGGATCAAGCTTCGTTCCTTCAAGTTCTCCGGAGACATTAATCCACTCCGATCCTGACAATTATCATTGTAATACCAAACCAGGATTAAAAACATTTATTTTATCAAGAGAGATGGATAATTTTTTTTTATGAAACTATTGTGTACTTTATCATTCTTCCTCATTTCATCGTGAATTTAATAATGAACGTGTTATAAAGTAATCATCGTGCTTTAAAGTTTAATTAGCTGTACATTATAGCACGTGTGCTATAATGTTTTGATTGGTTCCCGGATTTTCTCCAAAAAAATAAAAATTAGGATATTTCCAAAATAATTGAAATTGAAATGAAAATAAAATTGAAATCAACTTTATATTTTGACTTCTGCTTTGTTTTAAAGCTCATTTGATCTAGAAAAAGCCATTGAAATAAGACAAGTACACAAACGTTTCATAAAATTACCTATAGCACTATTATTTTGGAACGACGTGCGAACCAAAAAAAACAGTGTTCTAAATAGTTAATTTTTAACCCTCAATTACCCCCCCCCCCCTCCTCCGGAACTAATCTAACTACATTAAAAACCATGCATTTCTGGATTCTGTTAAATGCTCAATTGGTTAAAAATCTTGACCCAGGTAAGAGTAGGGAAGATATCGTAATTATTTTAATGTGAAAAGAAAAGGCATTTCTTCTCTCTCCTTATCCACAAGTAACTTGTAAAAAACAATTAGAAATTTGATTTTTAATGAGGACATTTTTAGATCAGATAAAGGTTTAAATGTTAAGTGAAAAATGAAATAGAACAAAATTATCACCAATTAATCAGAAGTTTTCTCAACAAAAATGCCATTAATTTTTAGTCCGTACGCGTCCTGTAAATTTTTCAAAGGACTGTAAGCATAATTTCAAGTGACCCTTTATGTAAGGATGGAAATGCCCGGTTTACAACGTTTATTTATTCAATAATGTGGAAGATATTGTCGTTTTTCTAGGTTTATAAGTTTTCCTACACTATTAATGCGCTGCGCAGGTCAGTTTGGAAAGGAACCGCATTTGAAAATGATCAGTTTTTAAAATTATTAACATTGATATCTAATTCAGACTTGATCAGACAAAGCTTTTCAGGGTCCAGTCGTGTATCAGACATTTTTAGGGTCCCGTCGTGAATCAGGCATTTTTAGGGTCCCGTCGTGAATCAGGCATTTTATTCCTAATCTATATAAGAAAATCTTAATTTCACCAATTTAATACTCCTGTGCACGCCACTAACCTCAAATATTTTTAAATCTCAAGGCAATAATAATCAGCAAAATTTTTTACAAAATAAAATCATATTTTCAATAATATTAACTTAAAATTAGTTAGCTTAAAGGGACTCTCAATTTAAGAGTGTCGTGTCCTATTTACAATGGTACCCCTAAAATCTCCTTTAGGAGTGACAATGATGAATATTTTGTCCTGTTCCACCTTAATACGTGCTTAATACTGATAATTTTCTTAATTGCCTCCATGGCATAATTCCGCAAGTCACTTTTGCTGAGAAGTCACAAAAAATACTCAGATTTTCTAGAGAAAAAGAAGAACATCCTTAGTCAGTCAAATTTTTAGATGGTACAATTGTGAATTGAACATGTCACTCTCTAATTAAAAGAGGGTCATCTAGTATTACGTCTTTTATCCAGAATTGTATAACCTGGCCTAGGTTCTCCAGATAAAATAAGAATTGTAATACCTGGCCTGGGTTCTCCAGATCAAATAAGAATTGTATAACCTGGCCTAGGTTAAAATAAGAATGGTATAACCTGGCCTAGGTTCTCCAGATCAAATAAGAATTGTATAACCTGGCCTAGGTTAAAATAAGAATTGTATAACCTGGCCTAGGTTCTCCAGATAAAATAAGAATTGTATAACCTGGCCTGGGTTCTCCAGATAAAATAAGAATTGTATAACCTGGCCTAGGTTCTCCAGATAAAATAAGAATTGTATAACCTGGCCTGGGTTCTCCAGATAAAATAAGAATTTTATAACCTGGCCTGGGTTCTCCAGATAAAATCACAATCAAACAAGGATTTCCAGGGCTGTTTATTCTCTCTAACCTATAGTATATCACATCTTTAAGGGACTGACCAGACAATTGGGCAATATCACACGGTATTACTTATTAAACAGAGGATTCTCAAAAATAACAAAAATAAGTAATTTTACTTGTATAAATAAATGACTCAAAAATAATTTCCGACAAATATGCGTCTCTATCTCAGAAAAATTAGTGAGGGGTGAAATAATCATGTGTATGCATTTAAATAAAATTCTATTTGAATAATAATTAGTTGTGTTCATTATGTGAAATTTTACATAGTTACAATTTATAAAAAACACTAGGCTCATCTTCTATTTTAATTGTGAACATTTTCTCTTTGTATACAATGTAAAACAAAAATTCAAAATTTTCAAAAATCGAATTTTGTTAGTGGCAAATTTTCAAAAATTCGATAATCCATGAACCTTTCCTGGGGTCACGGGAGGTAAAACAAAAAGTTTGGGTCAGATCGATTCAGCCGTTTTGACGTTTATTGGATACAAACGGACAGACAGACAGACAAACAGAAAAGAAAAGTATATGTATAGAAATCATTAAAATGGGATTGTTTTAAATGTTGGTAGAAAGTGATCTGTAGTTATTAAATTTATACTTCCCTCAGCAACCAATGATGTTCCCTCTAACAACCTATATTCCTGGTAGTAAAAACTACTGTAGGTATTTGAATGCTTGGATGAGAACCCGGAAATAATGAAAAAATAAGCTCAACTGAAAAAATTCAACTTAAACTCAATTTTAAAATCCATTTATCTTTGCAACCTGAAAACCCTTGGTTTTTGAAACGAAGCCTAATTAATCTGACAGAATTCACGGCTTATAATAACAAAAGTCTACCACATAAGGTTGCAAAAATATAAAACTTAAACATTACTATTAAACACTAGAGATCTGGAGAACTAGAGAACTTGAAAACTAGAGAACACGAGAACAAAAGAACTTAGAACTTAGAACTAGAGAAATAGATAACTAGAGAACTAGAGAAATAGAGAGCTAGAGAACTAGAGAGCTAGAGAACTAGAGAGCTAGATAACTAGAGACTAGAGAACTAGACAACTAGAGAACTAGACAACTAAGGAACTAGAGAACTAGAAAGCTAGAGAACTAGAGAACTAGAGAACTAGAGAACTAGAGAACCAGCGAACCAGAGAACCAGAGAACCAGAGAACTAGAAAACTAGAGAACTAGAGAACCAGAGAACTAGAAAACTAGGGAACTAGATAATAGAGAACTAAAGAACTAGAGAACCAGAGTACCAGAGAACTAGAAAACTAGAAAACCAGAAAACCAGAAAACTAGAAAACTCAAAAACTCGAAAACTCGAGAACTAGAGAACTAGATAATAGAGAACAAGAGTACTAGAGAACTAGAGAACTAGAGAACTAGAGAACTCGAAACTAGAGAACTAGAGAACCAGAGAACAAGAGAACAAGAGAACAAGAGAACAAGAGAACAAGAGAACAAGAGAACAAGAGAACCAGAGAACCAGAGAACCAGAGAACCAGAGAACTAGAGAACTAGAGAACTAGAAAACTAGAGAACTAGAGAACTAGAGAACCAGAGAACCAGAGAACCAGAGAACTAGAGAACAAGAGAACCAGAGAACCAGAGAACCAGAGAACCAGAGAACTAGAGAACTAGAGCACTAGAGAACCAGAGAACTAGAGAACCAGAGACCTAGATAAAAGAGAACTAGAGAACCAGAGAACCAGAGAACCAGAGAACCAGAGAACTAGAGAACCAGAGAACCAGAGAACTAGAGAACTAAAGAGCGTTGATTCTAATTTTTAAAACTGTTTAGATCGGTGTGAATTAGGCCATTTAACAAACTAACGATTAAGTTATAATTAGAAAGAGTGGAGCGTAGATTTAGGATCTAATATAATTAAAATTAGCGTGGTACAGAGGCTCTGTACACTCAATTAAAAGAAAGTTAATATTAAACTAAAAATGAAAAGATTTACAGATAAACGGAAGAAACCTGAGAGGATGTTCTCAGATCTGATAAAGAGACAGATAGATAAACAGACAGACAGATAGGATATATAAACAGATAGATAAAAAGATAGATAAACTGACATGCAGATAGACATACAGATTAATAGACAGATAGCTAGACATATAGCTAGACAGATAGATAGACAGATAGCTAGACAGATAGCTAGACAGTTAGCTAGACAAATAGCTAGACAGGTTGACAGATAGATAAACATAATCTCAAATGAACACTTCTGGGATCTCGAAAATAATGAATGAATTTTGATTGTCAATTGAAACATTAATCAATCTTATATTATTTAGAATGAAGAAAATAAGTTAAACTAACTTAATTTTGACGAGATTTTTTTTGAAATTTTCATGAAAAATTTGCTAAAATGAGTGAAAATAAAAAAACGGTGTATTTCCAGGATAAAAATCCGTACAATTTGAAAAAAATCCGTACAATCCGTACAATTTTAGGGTTACAAAATAAAAAATCCGTACAATCCGTACATTTTGGCCACCCTAAGGTTGTCAAAACTGAAGTATTTGTTTCTTGCTTCGATCTATTTAGACTTTAGAGGGATTAATTGGTAAAATCATAGATTTTGCGTGGGTATGTGTTACACTTATGAAACTTAAGTATACATCTTAAAACTGGGTCAACTTAATAGTTTCGTAACATTTGGCCTTAACTTGGGTTTACCCCTTGAAATCACAAATAAAATTTAGTAGCCCAACACATGTACATTTAAAAACCATTATCAGCTTGTTTCTAACTTCAGTTCAAAAGACGTAATTTGTAAAAATGGATGACTGCGTTGAACTTTAGTAAGACCCATAACAATAATGGATAAAAGACGACTGTTAGACTCTAGCTTTTATTTTGAACAGGTCAATGAACAATGAACATGAAACGTAGCAATAGAACAACGTACGCAGACTCCATTCACTTAATAAGTTGTTTTATAACTACGCTTTAAAAACATATTCGCAGGGGGGGGGGTCATGGGATAAGACTGCTTAAATGTCGTCTTCCTGTTCCACTATGTTGTGGGTCCGACAATATTTAAAAGCCTACCTTATAGACCTCGATGAGCCCGAACGGTATGACTACAAGGATCGAGGAGAGAGATATACACCAACCCAGTACATTAGCCCACACGGGAAATACATATTCACCTTCACTAATATACAAATATTTATAGGAACTTCCTTTTAAATTAAACATGGGTATGTATGATTTACATCAGTACCATTAACATATTCATCTGATATATTGTGTGGCAGATGTGGCCTAATTTTGTGTCTTTGGAAAAGTAGATTAAAATTTTGTGCAACTATCATTTTGTTCTATATCTCCTTGGTAAACCGGATTTTATTCATGGAAGCCTATTATTTATATATATAAATTAGTAAACTCAGGTTTTCTGTTTGTTTGTAAGTCCGATCATAAACCCTTTGACCGATTTCCCTCAAATTTTGATTGTTGGAACAATGAGAATGTTCTTAGCTAAGTTGAGAGGGTTGACTTTACTAGAGAAATATAGGATCCCAGGCAAAGCTGGGTTTCTAACATAGTCCAAAATGAAATGAATGGAAATGAAATATTTACCTTGCTGGAGTATATCCTGCCAACATAAAGATGAGAATAAAGATTAGAAGAAGAGGAGCAGTGTACTTCCAGCAGACACCCCAGTACAATTCTATCCATCTAGGAGTGAATAAAGAAGAAATCTATCCATCTAGGAGTACATAATAGGTTAGTTCAATCCATCTAGAAGTACATGCAAGTAGTTATATCCATCTAGGAGTAAGTAATAGTAGCATAATCCATCTATAAGTACATGATAGAAGTTCAATTCATCTAGGAGTATCAAAAAATACATCCAGCTCTATCCATTTAGGAGAACATGATGTACCTGTTTGTGTAGAGACCCATAGATTTAATATCTTCAAAGAAGGGTTTGGTTCCATACACCCAGGCTATAAGAACAACCTAGACAAATGTAATGTTGAACCTCTAGGTTGGTTTATGTAATCTCATGTGACAAAGTATAAGCTTGGTTATATTATTTTTAAACAATATTGCTGGAAGAATAAGGGACTAACTACCAACTAACCTCTAATATTGCTAGAAGAATAAGGGACTAACCACCAACTAACCTCTAATATTGCTAGAAGAATGAGGGACTAACTACCAACTAACCTCTAATATTGCTAAAAGAATGAGGGACTATCTACCAACTAACCTCTAATATTTCTAGAAGAATGAGGGACTAACTACCAACTAACCTCTAATATTGCTAGAAGAATAAGGGACTAACTAACAACTTACCTCTAATATTGCTAGAAGAATAAAGAACTATCTGCCAACTAACCTCTAATATTGCTAGAAGAATAATGGACTATCTGCCAACTAACCTCTAATATTGCTAGAAGAAGAATGAGGGACTAACTACCAACTAACCTCTAATATTGCTAGAAGAATAAGGGACTTACTACCAACTTACCTCTAATATTGCTAGAAGAATGATGGACTTATTACTAACTAACCTCTAATATTGCTAGAAGAATAAGGGACTATCTGCCAACTAACCTCTAATATTGCTAGAAGAATGAGGGACTAACTACCAACTAACCTCTAATATTGCTAGAAGAGACTATCTACCAACTAACCTCTAATATTTCTAGAAGAATGAGGGACTAACCAACTAACCTCTAATATTGCTAGAAGAATGAGGGACTAACTACCAACTAACCTCTAATATTGCTAGAAGCAGAATAAGGGACCAACTACCACCAAACCTCTAATATTACTAGAAGAATAAGGGACGATCTGCCAACTAACCTCTAATATTGCTAGAAGAATATGGGAATAACAACCAACTAACCTGTAATATTGCTACAAGAATGAGGGACTTTCTACCCACTAACCTCTAATATTGCTAGAAGAAGAATGAGGGACTAACTACCAACAAACCTCTAATATTGCTAGAAGAATAAGGAACTAACTACCAACTTACCTCTAATATTACTAGAAGAAGAATGAGGGACTAACTATCAACTAACCTCTAATATTACTGAAGAATAAGGGACTATCTGCCAACTAACCTCTAATATTACTAGAAGAAGAATAAGGGACCAACTACCAACTAACCTCTAATATTGCTAGAAGAATAAGGGACTATCTGCCAACTAACTTCTGATATTACTAGAGGAAGAATGAGGGACTAACTACCAACTAACCTCTAATATTACTAGAAGAAGAATAAGGGACCAACTACCAACTAACCTCTAATATTACTAGAAGAATGAGGGACTAACCACCAACTAACCTCTAATATTGCAAAAAGAATGAGGGACTAACCACCAACTAACCTCTAATATTGCTAGAAAAATTAGGGACCAGCTCCCACTGTAATCATCCATTAAAACGAACAGATAAAATCCACCCTATAACTTATCAAAACATCTAATCAAGTATCAAACATAATTCAAATATAAATTGCGATTCAAATATTGATTATAATACATCAAGGTTGACGTCAGATTTCACTTGAAACAAATTTAAAGAGATAAAAAGGTTCATCTTACTATTGTAAGTATTGTTTAAAAGGATATTTTTATATAAAATATATTATTTTGAATAAGTTTCCTGTAAGCATATTTGTAATCCAAGATATTTAAAATATTTTATTTTGACTAAGTTTCCTGTAAACATATTGGTAACCCAAGATATTTAAAATATTTTATTTTGACTAAGTTTCCTGTAAGCATATTAGTAATCCAAGGATATTTAAAATATATTATTTTGACTAAGTTTCCTGTAAGCATTTCAGTAATGCAAGGATATTTAAAATATATTATTTTGACTAAGTTTCCTGTAAGAATATTAGTAATGCAAGGATATTTAAAATATATTATTTTGAGTAAGTTTCCTGTAAACATATTGGTAATGCAAGATATTTAAAATATATTATTTTGACTAAGTTTCCTGTAAACATATTGGTAATCCAAGGGTATTTAAAATATATTATTTTGACTAAGTTTCCTGTAAGCATATTGGTAATCCAAGGATATTTAAAATATATTATTTTGACTAAGTTTCCTGTAAACATATTGGTAATGCAAGATATTTAAAATATATTATTTTGACTAAGTTCCCTGTAAGCATATTGGTAATCCAAGGATATTTAAAATATATTATTTTGACTAAGTTCCCTGTAAGCATATTGGTAATCCAAGAAGGAATCCGACTAAACTCACTCCACCAACCTTAACAGAGAATAAGTTTAACAAAAACTACGGTTTATGATTATAAAAATAATTTATAAAAGTATTAGGAAATAATTTATTTAGACATTTTTTTCAAATCAAAATATTATTTTAATTTTGATGATGAACTGAACACAGCTAAATATTTCAGATTAAAATTATAAATTTTAACATCCAAGTAAATAGAAAAATACTTACCACCCGCCATTTATAATTTCTTAGCGCAGGAATCTCATCATACACAGCAGTAATCAGGGATTCAACCATCGTAAACTGACTGTAGAAAAGAAATTAATTATTTATAGATTTAAGTTATTCTTAAAATAATTTATTTTCTCGCACACTTTCTTGAAAAGTCTCGGAAACCAATCAGTATGCAAGTCAATAAAATCTGATGCTAGAATAGCCGACATTTTTAAACAACCACAAAAAAAACTTCGTCTGAATCGTAAATTTGGGGCAAAAGCGCAAAATATTTTTAATTATCATTAAAATATCAATTGCAGTCTAAGACAGTCATAAAGAAAGTTAGAAATATTTTCTACCAGGTCCTACACCAGACAGGTAAAGAGCTAAGAATAATTTCAACCTGTCCCAGCCAAGACAAGTTTACAGCTAGGTAAGATACTTTCTCCAGGACAGTATAAAGCTAAGTAAGATACTTTCTCCAGGACAGCATAAAGCTAGTTAAGAATGTTTTCTCCAGGACAAGTTACATAAAGCTAAGTAAATTGCTTTCTCCAGGACAAGTATAAAGGTAGGTAGCAAAAAGTTTCTGCAAGATAAGTACAAAGCTAAGAAGAAATAGTTTCTTCAAGACACATATAAAGCTAGGTAGAAATAGTTTCTCCAAGACAAGTATAAAGCTAGGTAGAAAAAGTATCTTCAAGACAAGTATTAAGCTAGGTAGAAATAGCTTCTTCAGAACAAGTATAAAGCTTGGTAGGGGTAGTTTCTCCAAGACAAGAATAAAGCTAGGTAGGAATATTTTGTCCAAGACAAGTATAAAGCTAGGTAGAAATAGCTTCTTCAGAACAAGTATATAGCTTGGTAGGAGTAGTTTCTCCAAGACAAGAATAAAGCTCGGTAGGAATATTTTGTCCAAGACAAGTATAAAGGTAGGTAGGAAAAGTTTCTGCAAGACAAGTATTAAGCTAGGTAAGAATGCTTTCTCCAATACAAGTTTACAGCTAGGTAAGAATGCTTTCTGCAGGACAAGTATAAAGCTAAGTAGAAATAGTTTCTCCACAACAAGTGTAAAGCTAGATAGAAATAGTTTCTCCAAGACAAAATTAAAGCTAGGTAGGGATAGTTCTACCTGTTTAAGCCAAGACAAGTATAAAGATAGACAGGAATAGTTTCCCCAAGAAGAGTGTACAGCTGGGTAGGAATAGTTCTACCTGTCCAAGACAAGTATAAAGCTAGGTAGGAATAGTTATTTCAAGAAAGTGTAAAGCTGGGTAGGAATAGTTCTACCTGTCCAATCCAAGGGTAAGAAGCATCATGAAGAACAAGAAAGACCAGAGCGGACTGACTGGCAACTAAACCAGGCATATAATAACTACTATTTATAAAAACATTGTTTAAGAATATTTAATGTTCATCTACCTTAGTGACAGCTGTAGGATATGCAATAAATGCCAGAGCAGTTCCTCCCTCAACCACTTCAGATACATCTACTCCTAGTTCTTTAGCCATAAATCCTATAATAAACAAGTATAGTTCCTCCCTCAACCACCTCAGATACATCTACTCCTAGTTCTTTAGCCATATATCCTATAATAAACCAGTATAGTTCCTCCCTCACCCACTAAATACATCTACTCCTAGTTCTTTAGCCATATATCCAATAATAAACCAGTATAGTTCCCCCCTCAACCACTTCAGATACATTTACTCCTAGTTCTTTAGCCATAAATCCTATGATAAACAAGTATAGTTCCTCCCTCAACCACCTCAGATACATCTACTCCTAGTTCTTTAGCCATATATCCTATAATAAACAAGTATAGTTCCTCCCTCAACCACTTCAGATTAATCTATTCCTAGTTCTTTAGCCATAAATTCTTTAATAAAGTAATAGAAAAGGAGTAGTAGAACTAAGGAAAGAGGGGTGGTTATCAACAGATCACGAACTAGTTTTTTTAAAGTTAACAACTTATGCAATGTAACTAGAGTTGTCAATCATTTTGGATCGTTAAACAAAAGCTTCAAATATTATTTTATAAAGTTGGCTTTTACTTTGCAACATCTTTATCCCCCAACCCAAAAATATGGAAAAACGATTCAAAAATATCTTTATTCCCATCCACACAAAAATGGTAGCGATCCCAAAACGATAGAATTACGACATCTTCTTTATTGCATCGGTTTTTTTTGTTGTTTTTTTATTCATTTATTTTCTGTCAGGGTCAAAATTTGACACGGGTTAAAAAAACCTTTTGACCCTGAAAGAAAATAAGGCAAAAAACCAGCCAAAAATTACCCAAAGCCGAACAAACTAAAGGCACATCCCAAGCTGTAAGTCATTGTAAATTGAGCATTCGCAATTTTAGCTCGGGAAATATTCATTCGCATAGAGTTCACACTGTACACTAGTGTAAAATAGGTTTACTGGCAGTTGCCACTTTTTTAAAGCGATAAAAAAGGATTTCTCCGGCGTCTAATCATTGGTTACACCTACCTAGGATGGAGAAGATTGGTTACACCTACCTAGGATGGAGAAGATTGGTTACACCTACCTAGGATGGAGAAGATTGGTTACACCTACCTAGGATGGAGAAGATGACAAACCCAGCGAAGACGGAAGTGAAAGAGTTGGCAAATGCAACAATTATTGCATCTCTCTGCACAAATATTAAATTAAAATAAAATTCATATTAAATTGCCAAATTCTACTTTTTTTATTACCGAAGCATGAATATTTATAAATAAGAGAAAGAAGCTTCACTAACTACAATTGTTTCATCTATTATACCTTTTATGTAATTAAAGAAACAAATTGGTTTTAACAAAGATTGTCAAATTTTCTGAACATCTGATTTTCAAATTCAAATATCTTAAAACCTAATTTGAGCTCAAACTTTGGTTCAATTAAAACCCCATTTATGCAAAAATGTCCTTTTCTAAAAATGATACTGCTAGACTATACTATACATTCAAATTATTTAAACAAATTCAAACTACACCATTTATATATGTATTTATATCTTTGTGTGTGATTAAATCTTTATAATAATATAATAGAATAATATAATAATATAATAATATAATAATATAATAATATAATTATATAATAATATAATTCCAACTTTACAATATCTAAATCTGATCATATTTAATTGTAAGACATTTTGGTTGACAAGCTATGGAACAAATTAAGTAATAATTTAAGTCATGGCCGTGATTTTTAGTGACAATAAAAGCCCTTAAACCTAGTATTGGTGATGAAGATATCTTAGTTTTTCTATTAAAAAAATATTGATATTTTTGTGCAGTTACTCTTTATGAAGAATTTGATCTTTTACACTTGCATATCAAGAAACGAAGTTTTTACTTTTTAATAGTTCCACCTGACAATTAGCGTTCCTAGGATTATACGATGAGAGAGTGATGAGGCCACCAAAGGCTGGACCCATTGAGTAGAATATTTGAGTTGCTGCATCACACCAAACCTTAACAAAACCAACTTCAAAACATTAAAAGTCCTGGAAAGGAGTTAAGTCTTTGCCACAAACGCAAACGTTCTAATCCCTAAATCTTTGCAGGATGACTGGGAAAACCTTTGATATTTTAAAATTTATAATAGTTAATCCAACAGAATTCATAGTTTCAATAATATTAAAGGTTTTCGACATTATGTGAAAAGATATAGGGATTAGAAAATCAGTATTTGTGCACAAGGACTCAAAATTTTATAGCTATACTCTCTCTGAAGTTGTTTGTAGTTTGTATAGAATAGTCATAAAAAGTATTTGTTCTTTTCTCAATGTCCTGTGTCGGTTTTTCTTACTCGGAGCTCGGAATCGTAACTTTTCTCGAAGTACTCCCAAGTCTCAAAACGAAGAAAAAAGTTTCTATAATTGCATTTTGAAAAATATTTTTCTAACTTTTCCCTGGAGAATCTTCAAATGCCGTTTCAATCATATTATTATATTAGACTTTTCATATCTTGTATATTCTAATTCATTTTTTAATTGTGGCTCTATCTGTGAGTATCTTCTTTTTGTATATAAAAACAATTTAACAAAAATAAAAAACTTTAAGCACAATTTTTTTTTTGTAATTTTGAGCATCCATTAGCCTTCCCTGGGGTTATATGAGGTCCCACACCATTCCGCCGTTTTGACGTTCATTGGATACAAACGGACAAAGTATATATATATAAGTCTAGTACACTTACATTGACGTTTTTAAGCTTGGACCAATCCGGTGTTATGTAGAAATATATCCCGTCCGCTGCTCCAGGTAGGGTTACACCTCGTACCAGGAGAATAATCAGGACTACATACGGGAACAGCGCCGTGAACCAGACTACCTAGAGAAATTTTTTATATATAAGTAGAGCAGTAACTCAGAGTAATAATATCAGTTAAGCAGGTAATAACCTAATTAACAAACTGTGGCGGAAGACGATCTACACCAAGCCGGATATGGAGACGCGGCAAGATGAGCTACAATTCTGCCTTGTCGCCTCAAGATATATAATTTTGGATATTTTAAATTTACAAAATCATATTTAGGTAGTAATAAAGTTATTTATTTAAACCTCGGACTTATCAAACTGAGCGTAGCTAAAAAACAATATAATACTTAGGAATAGGAAACCACCTACACATAGAGAAGGATCATGGGCATAGTTTTTGTGAACGAACTAAATGTTTGACAAGAAACGAAATGTTATGTGAATGACGGCGTCGTTCAGAAAAATAACGAACGGTTTGGACCGTTTAGCGAAATAAAAACAATTGTTTTCTTTTAAACAGCGAGCGTAAAAAAAACAATTTTGTGTTGTGAATATAAAAAAAACTATATAAACTGTTCGAACGAACTTGAAAAACTATCGTTTCTTTAATGAAAGAATTTTTAAAAAAGATTTTGACAAAAACTGTTTTTTTATTATCTGCAATAACGTTTTTTATGAACAAACTTTTAAAACTACATTTTTTACTCAACAAACGATTTTTTCCGACAAACTTTTGAAAAAAACATCGTTATTTTAATTGAACGAACATTTTCTTGAACGAACGATTTTACTGAACGATCGTTAACGGTGAAACGGACAAAACAGATGGAAAATGAACGATATTTTTGAGAACAAACAAAATCATTTTTTTGAACGATTGAAAAAAAGTAACGAAATGTGTCGTTCACAACCGATGAACGAACAAAAAAACCGAACGCACCCATCTCTAACAGGGCATCTAATACTAGATTAACCAGCTTAATATATTGTATTTATCCAGCTCCTTACCTTCCCTGCAGATTTAACTCCCTTGATAAGGCAGGCAAAGCATATCAACCAGCTCAGAAGAAGACAACCTAAACCATATCTAAGATTATGTCAGACCTTACATTGCTCTGCCTGCTTAAAGGTCAAGCACTGCTTACTTTTATATTTTATAACAAGAACTTAACCTTTGTTAAGAAATTGTCCTAACTCTGATCTATCTCCTATCTGAAGAACCTGACCTATCTGAAGAACCTGACCTATCTGAAGAAACTGACCTATCTGAAGATACTGACCTATCTGAAGAAACTGACCTATCTGAAGAAATTGACCTATCTGAAGAACCTGATCTATCTGAAAGGACCTTTCCTATCTTAAAACCTGACCTATCTGAAGAAACTGACCTATCTGAAGAAACTGACCTATCTGAAGAACCTGACCTATCTGAAGAAATTGACCTATCTGAAGAACCTGATCTATCTGAAAGGACCTTTCCTATCTTAAAACCTGATCTATCTGAAGAACCTGATCTATCTAAAGAACCTTATCTATGCCTAGAACCTGACCTATCTCATGAACCTGAAACCTATCTCAAGAAACTGGTCTATCCGGAGAAACTGACCTGTCTCAAGAAACTGACCTATCTCAACAACCTATCCTCTCAAGAACCTGACCACCTGACCTATCTGAAGAAACTGACCTATCTAAATAGAAACTGACCTATCTGAAGAACCTGACCTATCAGAAGAAACTGACCTATCTGAAGAAACTGATCTACAGGGTTACCCACAAAGGATGGAACTGTAAAGACGACCTGAAACTCTTGAATTATGACGATCCCAATGTTTATTTAAGTCTTCTGTCTTACACAGTATTTTTCTGAAGACACACTATACCTGCTAATTTCCAGTTCATATCTCCCATATTATCCAGACTTGAATCTGTTTCCATTAATAGCATACTCCGCCTAGAACGAGAATTTATTAGTACTTATGCACCCCAGTCAGCATACATTTCAATGCAATAATGAAAAAAATACAGAGACTGACAAATTGTATTGTATCACCGTGTTAGTAACTGACACTGTATTGATAAATATGCTGGCAACCGTAGCTAAAAAATTTGCATTGAAGAAGTAATTGTAAGTTCAAAAATGCTGAACTATCGGCTTATTTTCGAGATCAGAAGATTCAGTTAAAGTAGATTAGTGTTATCTCAATCAATATGAAGCGATTAAATGTTTAATCCGAAAAAACAGCCCTCATATTTTCACGATATGTTAGTGATCAGGGTGACTGAGCATTGTGGATTCTGATTGGACTATATATTGAAGATATTTGAGGTGGTTAATCCCAGGAACCATAGATATGGATTAATGCTTTCTGAACGGATTTCCAATATACAATTAAAAGTTCCTAACTCTGTAAACTTATAATTTTAATATATTGTCTAAACCTGAAATATTCTTCGGCAGGTGATTTTCTACTCTTTAATCCTGCTAAACTAATCAACGAATTCGATGATTCCTGAAATTTAATAACTAAAAAATAAATACTTTTTCTTAAAAATTTTGTAATGATAAATAAAAAAATCGTTAAAACCTCAAACTTAACTTTGTATTTTTGTATGACTATGACATTTATCAAATAATGGTAAAGACGTGAAGTGAAATCAAATAGAATTTTTTTGACCAAGGTTAAGGAAATCTCAAGACTAGCTGAAGTGCCCGGGGTTGCCCGCGGAATTTTAAAAGGATTTCGAATTTTGAGAAAAAATCTATTATTTTTAGCCTTTGTCAACCCTTGGATACCCCTGGATATCCTCAATTTTTTTAAAGTCAATTTGGTCCAGCCGATTCGCCAACTCTAACTAACATATAAATATAAATATATGAGCGAAGAACTTTATTATATGAAATATATTGGAATATGAGACGCATATCTAAATACCTTAAAGCAGTGTGTATGATTGTATCCGTCAGAGAAATGTATCTCACAATATTGGGATACAGGGATACAAGTATTATTCCACCAGGTCCCACCTATTCCTAAAAATAAGATATTTTAGAACCTCAAGATATTTGAAAATAAAGGAACTGTAAACCTAGTTTATAGTGGCATTGTTTCAAGTGACGTAGTTGCAAGTGACGTAGTTTCAAGTGACGTAGTTTCAAGAGACGTAGTTTCAAGTGACCTGGTTTTAAGTGATGTAGTTTCAAGAGACGTAGTTTCAAGTGACCTGGTTTCAAGTGACCTGGTTTTAAGTGACCTGGTTTCAAGTGACTTAATTTCAAGTGACTTAATTTCAAGTGACGTGGTTTCAAGTGACGTGGTTTCAAGTGACGTAGTTTCAAGTGACGTGGTTTCAAGTGACCTCTTTTCAAGTGACATAGGTTTCAAGTGACGTAGTTTCAAGAGACGTAGTTTCAAGTGACCTGGTTTTAAGTGACGTAGTTTCAAGTGACATAGTTTCAAGTAACGTAGTTTCAAGTAACGTTGTTTCAAGTAACGTAGTTTCAAGTAACATAATTTCAAGTGACATAGTTTCAAGACACCCTTCAACGAAAGATGATTCACAAAGGTTCAATTTAAACCATATATCTGAATAAAAATAAGGAACAAATTTGTTTAGAAGGGTAAAAAGTTCAGAATATCCTATATTTTCAATGCAGCATGAAATCCATAAGATACTTTTACAGAAAAACAACAATTGAAAATAAATTTGATTTGAAACGTTTCAGTCACTTTAATAAATTAAACGTGGTGAAATTAAACAACCTCTCATTGTCAGATTCAAAAGTTTGACCATTACATTGGGATAAAATGATGATATTTATATCACCCTCAACTTGGAAGCTTTCAGTATGTACTGCAGTGAATTGCAGTACTCTGACAGAATAAATAGTGGGGTTTAGTGGAGAGTGAAATACCTTCAAAGATTCCGTCACAACTGAGATCAAACTCTGGAGTAAAACAGTCTGGAGTATTGAACCAGTTATCACAACCTTCCCATTCTAACCTTAATATATATTCTTTTCTTTTGACATTTTTCCTGATAAAAATGACACAGTTGGACCCATAAAAACTGAGAAATAAGTTCCATAATTGTATGGGTCTCATTGTAAGAAATATTTTGAATTAAAGATAAACTAGCTAAAGTGCCCGACGTTGCCCGTTGAAAAAAAAATTTTGAATTAAAAAATTTGATTTCAAAGTTTTTTTTGATTTTCGAAAATACAAAAAATCTATTTTTTAACCTATGTTACTTCCCGGACACCCATGGGTGCCCTGAAAAATTGTTAGCCCATTCGGTCCAGCCGTTTGGCCAGCTATAGCTAACATATATACATACAAATATATGTGAGCGGAGAGCTTTATTATTTAGAATACTTGGAAGTGAAGCCTGCAAATGTGTAGTAGATGCACCAGGCAATGATAATGTTGTAGTAGATAGAGACGTAGATGGTGATCATCAACATACCGTATCCTAGACCTCGGAACACTGGAGCTATTTTACCTGAAGTACAGTGAAACCAATAAAACTGTGGAATAGGAAGACATTTTAATTTTATTTATAACTACTACTTTTGCCAGTAGCTGGAAGTCAACTGGTTAAAAAAAGGGTCTGTGTACACTGCCCATTGCAAAACTGACGCGTTTTATCATTTTATGTGGGTTGGACTTTTATAAATTATAACTTGTATAAATATTGTCTTTCTATTCCGCATTTTTTTTGGTCTCTGTAGTTTAATAAATTTTTAAAAATAATTCACCAATGTTTCAGCGTTTTTTGCATGAGGGTCTAAGTTAGATTATAAAATTTTAACCAAATAGATAGATGGTTCTTACAGCTGCCGACGCAATTTTTGTTGGTTCTGAATAGACACCAACGCGTGTCAGTGAACCCTGTTTGGGTTAGACGCTAACGGACAGTTGAAACATGATTTAAACGTTGAACTTGAACTAATAATATCAATATCTAATAATCACGGTGAATGAAGACGACCCCCTACCAAAAATCTGGTTAGGTCCAAGTTGACCGAATTGTCCCAAGACTAGCTCCAGGTAGAAGAGAGGTAGTGCAGCTAGGAACAACATGATTACGTAGGGGATCAAGAACACTCCACCACCGTTCTTGTAGCACTTGTAGGGGAACCTTGACAAAACAAAGGATTGTACAATGTAATAGATAAGAAGGAATGATTTTTGCGCCGACAAATAATTAGATGCCATTAATATCAACTAATAAAATCGAGACAATTGTCGTCCATGCGCTTTCTTTTGAATATAAAATAAGATGTTTCACCTTTTTTGATGATAATTAAATACAAAATACCGAAGACAATCTTTGAGTCGTCTAATTGTCATGCTTAACATGCTTAAATAAATAAACAAAGGTTCTACCTCCATACGTTTCCTATCCCAACAGCATATCCCATACAGGAAAGAAAGAATTCGATCTGGTTTGTCCATTTCCCCCTTACATCTTCACATTCAGATACACATCCGCTATCAGGGTTGGGGGGCAAACCTTCCTCAGCCGGATTCACCTTGTATTTAAATAATATATCGGCGGCAAACAGATAACTGAACCTTGGAATGATTGTCGTCATTCGATTTCCTTCAGAAAAATAACAAAATCCTTGAAGATCTGAAATTTTATGCAAAGAAGAAAGAAGACGACAATCAATCCACGTTTTTTTTTTGAGATCACTTTAACAAAAGGAAACCATGAATGAGTTGAAATAAAAATAGTTTCCTTACCTATTTCGCGCACTAACCCTTTAAATAAATTTTATTTAACAGATTTTCTACTTACTTTCATAGCAGTCAATAAATTGTTGAGTGTAAATTGTTCGTGAGGACAACCTTCGTCCTGGACCCTGCAGTTTGGTTCATTAACCTCGTCGCAAGGTTCAGTCAGAGCTATATCATCATATCCATCCACAAAACCTCCCTTCCGTACAGACATGGACATGTTCTGCACCATGGTCGACAGGTTGGAGACCTTAAGGCTAGAGATGTTGGTCATTTTTGATCTGAGGTAAAGTCATGAAATAAAATAGCTCATTATAATCATAAATACATGTAAACTAAAATAGTAAATTTAAATAAAACTAGATTTGGAATGAGGAGTTCGGGGTTTCCAGGTTTACACAAATCTTGTATATTTCTTCATCTTAGGACTCGAATCATCAAACTAAAAAGAAATATTCAGGCTGAGTAAAAAAAGGAAATAAAGTTGTTTTTGTTTTTGCAAACCATTGATATTTTTTGGTAGAGCTCATGTTTAAGGTTGACAAATAATGAACTGTAGTGAATATTTTGTAAATCAATGACATTTTTTTCTTAACAGTCCACAATTTATACAAATTTAATGGTCGAATATTTCATAACGTGATTTCTATTCAACGTATCTTACGAAAGGTAGGATTTATAACAAAAAAAATCATTTTGAAGTTTAATATGGTAACAAGTTGAGCAGATTTGCACTAAATATTAATTGCGGATTTTTAACCATCTTGATGAAAGAGTAAAGCGTAATCTTTCCCCTCGTAAAGAAATACAAAACTACAGGGCTAGCCACAAAGAATGAGACTTCAGAGACAACTATAGTTAAGGGGATGTAGGGGGGGCCTTCCTTCATTTTTAGTTCCAATCTTACAATTTTTTAGCTGCACGCCTAGTTAGTGAACGAAAATCCTAAAAAAAAAAGACAAAAAAACCAAATCTAACCTTCAGCGCATAACAGTTCAAGAATATATTAGGTCGTCATTTAAGTCTTATTCTTTGTGGTTAACCCTGTAAAATAATGAATAATAAATAACACCTGAGACTTGTCCACAGCTACTGTTCTTAAAGGTGATCTACTAGTTCTCAAGGTTGGATCCTTCCTGTAAACATCAACCAGGATTCTAAACAAATATTTTCCAAGGGTGACACGGAAACGCCTCAACACGGAAATGTCTCAAAATATCGGACTCATAAAACTAATTTAATGTCGTCTTCTCTCATTAAAAATAAATATTTTAACAATTATTTTACCATTAATTTAGGGTAAGTTAGGTCGTGCCGCAGGCTACGGAGGGGGCCGAGCGCTGCGGCTATGATGGGCTAGGGGGCCGAGCGCTGCGACTGGGACAGGCTAGGGGGGCCGAGCGCTGCGGCTAGAACAGGCTAGGAGGCCGAGCGCTGCGGCCATGGCCGTTAGAATATAGCATTTTTAATTTTAAATTGAGAGAAGACGACATTAAATTAGTTTTGTGATTCTGTTTTTTGAGGCATTTCCGTGTTGAGGCGTTTTCGTGTTGAGGCGTTTTCATGTCACCTTTCCAAGGAAGTAAAATAGTGATTCCATTGATTTTTTTCATTTAATCTTTCTATAGAAACTCGTTCCCAATTTTGATTGAGTAAATTCTAAAGATTTAGTGAACAGATTTAAAAAACCACTTCAATTCAATGCGTCCTCATGGTGCTTTTCCGCGAAAAATACTTATTTAAGAACTACCCCCCCCCAAAAAACAAAATATTGATTAACGCCAAGCTCTTATAAATTAAAAATAATGAGTTTAAGTCAAAATTTAATAATCATGTGAGAAGTCATCTATGAAACAAAAATTTTAAATCCGAAAGGTTCTAAATTGTATTTAGTGTCTAGGATGGCCTAATAACATTTTCCTAAGAAATATTTTAATATCAAGACTCAATATTATTTAACCCAGTTCAGTCCATTCTCTAGCAAGCTGGGACCTTCGATCACAATGTGACCTTCTAGATGAAAATATTGCACGATTTCTTTTTACCTTTTCGGTCGCCGAATGAATTTAAAAGACAAATTATGATAAAACATCTTTGTAAATTTGAAGATTGCTAAATTATAAACCAGAACACAATCTAATAAAAATTAAAGAAACTGAACGCATCTCGCCCTGGTTAGTCCCAGGTGGGAGGGACCCTCCGGCAGCCATCAGGCTCCCAAATTTGCTATGCAATATAAATTTCATACAAAACAACTTCAAAAGTTTTTTTACGCGGAAAGGAAGATATTAAGAAAACAAATCAACCTAAATTCGATTTAATTTGTTAAAATCTTGAAATGCAAAATTATTGTTTTAAAGAATTATCTAAAATATAAAAAAATCACCCAAAAAGATATGGCTTAAATCAAGGATTTTAACAAATCAAATCAAATTCAAATAAGAATTTGTTTACTTAATATCTTCCTTATCGCGTATTAGTATGTACTGCATAGCGGAGGCTCTGTGCTGCATAGTAAATCCAGGAGGCTCATGGCGGCTGTGGGTTCCCTCCCTAGCCCAGAGTTGACTTCTACCTGAGAAACAAAATGGAGATGAATATTTTGAAGATGAAGAGAGGAAAGAGGTAGTTGAAGGTTCTATCTGTTGGAAACCTCACTGGTTTCGATAGATTTTTCGGATCAATGTCTAGCACTTCTAGATCCTCGTAGTGGGCCTTAATATAGACCCAGCTAAATATCGTCTTCCAACTAATCAGTCAAATTGGATTTTCAATTCGTTCCGATAGCAATTTATTAGATTAAAAAAAGTGATAATGGGTTAGAAATAGGTGAAGTTTTTTATTACATTTTTATGATACTTATGTGAATTTAGTGTTTTACCCTCCAAACTTCAAACTATCATGAAATAACCCCAAAAATTGTTACAGAGAAAATAAAGCTTGATCATGGCAAGCAAAGATGATGTAAAAAATCTTACAAAGACGGGATCCCCCTTTATCTGGAGGGTGATGGTGGTGATGAGGGTTATCAGGTCGAGGACAATGATGCTGATAAGGAACACTAGAACTGGAACAAGGAACAGACGCTGTCTTTTCCAGATTCCTGGAGGAACGAAATTAGTTGAAGTTATTGAAAAATTGAAATAACGCTTTTAAACAACAAAATATGATTTGTACCAAAAAACTGGCAAATTCTAACGATAAATAAAAAAATTGATAAATGAGAAAATCTGAAAGCATAAACATGCCCCAAATATTGACAATCTGTCCGTCAAATAAAACAACAAAATGTCCATTCTAACAATATAACTTAATTTACCGAATAATCCTAGCAAGTTAACCAAGGTACCAGAGACACCAACAATCATGAGTTCAGCTCCAGTAGCTCCAGGGTTGATCCTTAATCCTCTGCAGAAAAAATGTACTCTCAAAATATTTTTGGAGAAAAAAATACACAGTAAAACATAAATATTGGTTAAATTCAATTTTTATCAACTTCAAAACAATTTGCGCACAATTCCCTCTTTCTAACAATCCAGAAAGTTTAAATATTAGGGAGAAGGCTTTATTCAAAGATTAATTAAAATATAAGATAGGACATTGGATGTCGTCTTTTCAAGATTTTGTTGACTTACGTTCACAATAACTCTGAGGCTACAGCCCAAAGGAGTTAAGTGTAGTCGGCGTAGAACACAGACAGAGAGAGCCTGTTCTACGTAGACTAAACCTCTTCTTTGGGCTGCTGTCTCCGAGTTATTGTGAACGTAAGTCAACGCGATCTTGAAAAGACGACATCTAGTGTCCTATCTGTTATTTTAATTAATCTATGGCCTTATTAATAAAACTCTTACTTGTAATCAACATCAGAAACCTTTCCATAGTAGATCATAGAGGCGGCCAGAGCAATAACTTAACATATTTTATACAGGTGGGTTGATCAATAACCAATAACTTAACGTATTTCATAGAGGCGGCTAGAGCAATAACTAAAAATGTTTCATAGAGGTAGGTTGAGCAAGAAATAAACATATTACTGCGACAAGAGCAAGAACCTAACATATTTCATAAAGGCGGCTAGAGCAATAACTCATATTTCATAGAGGCGGCTAGAGCAATAAATAAAGTCGACATTATAAGTAACTGAACATGAACATCTCCAATATCCATAAAAGCAAAGCATGAGTATAAGGGTTTCAGGTCAAAGATTGATAAAGAAACCGATATAATGGTTTAAAAAGAAAATACTTCGGAGGNGATGGATTTGGTACCCGTCAATTTGAATAGGGAACTTGGCAATAAATATGTGAAAAAGGGACAAAATAAATAATCCAATGGAAATAAACGAATTATACCTAAAACATAGCCGATTGTGCTTATACAAAGCAGTAACTCAACAAACCAGATCTAAACAAAATAATAAAATTAAATCTAGATTTGCCTCGTTAAAAATAATCGAGTTTTAAGTAACCCCCTTATTAAAGAGTTGCATGTATTCAAACATCTTTATCTGTGAAACAATGAGGCAACTATCGTCGTTTTAAGATCCCAGTTTTTCTGTGAATTTCCTTCACTGTCTCTGCTGCAAAAATCCGCATGTTACTTTAACAGAGAAGCAACAATTCGAAATGATAAAAGTTCAAATAGAAAAAAAGGAAAATCTTCTACCATTGTTCAATTTTTCTCAATGAATACAACTCTTTTAGTCGAGGGTCACTTCAAATAACGTTGACAGTCCCTTTAACACACCTTTGTGCAGCAGAAAAAATTCTTTGAACTTCCTTCATATCTAGCGGGGGACACATTCCCTTTCCTCCAGGCTAAATATCGTTCAATGTTAAAAATTAATCAAATATATTAGATTTGATTAAATTAAAGCTTTCTGATTTTTTATTGAAAAACAAAACCTAGTTATTTGTATGGCTAAGAGCTAATCTATGCACGCCAGTTGAAATTTCTTTTAAAGCATAATAATCAAAAAATTCTTTAATACCTGTAAAAGGCCAGGCGGTCCCGAAAATCATTCTTCTACAATAAAAAGTTTTAAATTTTCTGTCTATGAATTATACACCTGACAGGATTTCCATATTTCCCAAAGAAAAAATCTGTTTTATAATTAAGCAAGAAAAAAACACATTTATCTTTTGGCTTTACAATACTTCTCCCGACCAAACAAAACAATGGGACAGAGAATAGTACAATATTAAAATAAAAACATTTTCATTACATATAATTTATCCATCACAATATTTTATCAAAAAAATATTTCTTTATACAAATGCTGATTCTTTCGAGTCTAGAAAGAGGCTCGAACTCTGATGTTCTTGAATTTGGACATGTTAATGTGCGCCGGAAGATCAAACTCCTTTAGATTCGTTCCACGGCATTTGCAGCAGCTGAAGAAGGAAAAAGTTAAAATAATTGATTAAGGATTAAACTTAGGAATGGGAATATTTTATTGGTTGCATGAGAATTTTGCCAATAACTTCTTTAAAACCGAAACTAACAACAATGTCATTATAGTGCTAAAATGTGCATGTAAAAGGGCTACAGAAAAGAATAAAGGAGTTAGAGTGGTATATTCAAAGCCCAAGGCGTTGCGACACTTCAAAGTCGACCCTGTCTTAAACATTGACTTTTTGTAAACAGACTAAAGCTATGTGCATACTTTATTTACTTTTTAGCAGAAGAAGATCTTCTGAAATTTTATTGGTTGCATGAAAAAGGCTTTTCAAAATAACACTCGTTATGCTTAAGAATAAGCTTAGAAAGGAAGAATTTAAAAAACTTCAAAGGAATCAATATGATTTCTTAAGTTTATTGCTAGGCGTTAAAATTTGTTCAACTAAATTTATTAATTAATTAAAGAATTTATTAAGGAGTTAAATAATGTAACTAAATCATGAGAAAATGGGTTTCAAAACTTTTCGCTCCAACTCAAAACTTGAATTTTGAGAGACATTGATGATCTAAAATTAATCCTTCAATCATAATTTCTGTTCTACACCTTTACATACCTGGCATAATCCATGAGATAGGTGACCTCTGGGTGAGTGACGCAGTGCTTCATGACCCGCCCTATCATATCATGGGAACAGACCTAATAACAACATTACATAAATTATTATATTATATAATTATATAATTTTTCAACAAGTATTTAGAAAATGAGAACCTGACACATCACTATCTTCAGCGCTCTCATACAAATACAATTCCCTATAAACAAAACTACGATTGAAGAAAAGAAAATATAGGATTTATTTCATTAAAAAAAAACATTAAAATCCTTAAACATACAAAATAAAAATAAATGTTCAAAAACAAAAAAGATTTAGGTTCAACCATATCAAATGAGTAAGTATAATTTATAAGTATAATTTATTTATAAGTGTCCTCTGATTTGCTTTAACTTTCAGTCTTTAATGAAACCATGGAAAGGGATATTCATACCTTACGCAATTTTATACCGGTAAAATGATAATTGTCATTAAAGAACATTTTGAACATTAAAAAAGTACTGTTACCTTCTCCATAAGGAGGAGATTTAGATGGAGATTTCTTCTCAATAGGTTTAACAGGAGTAACACAACCCTTCACTCCAAGCCTTTCTTTTGCAGGTATCCTAGCATCCTTTACAGGGGTCGCAGTATCAACCTTCTCCAAGGTCTGAGGCTTATTAGAAATGGTCAAAGATACCTTGCCAGTGGTAGGTAGGATAGAAGATACCTTGCCAGTGGTAGGTAGGATAGAAGATACCTTGCCAGTGGTAGGTAGGATAGAAGCTTTCATCATATCATTGACAGGTGAAGGACTCACTTCTGCCTTTACAGGGAATGCCTGTGTGCACCTAGCTGGAGGAGACGAGGTCTTCGGAGGCAGGAGAATATTTTGGTCTGAATTAGCTACAGAAGAAGGAGCTTTGACGAACCCCTTGAACGAGGTTGGAACGAAGTTCTTCTCCGGAGTCGGAGCAGGAACCATATCTTTAGCAGGAGGTTTTAATACAGTTCGGTGCTCCTGGTTGGAGTAACTGGAGCTCGGCTGGTTTGTAACCTAGGGAAAACAAATCATATAATAGAAATTGTTATCCAGATTTAAATATAGTTAGTTATTAAACAAAATTAAGTATATATACAGTGGGACACACACAACTGTAGAATAGGAGGACGACATTTGGAGAAGTTTATTTATTTGACATTATGTAGAAACTGGAATTACAAAGTAGTTTAAATCTCACCTTAAGTGAAATTGGTCTTTAAGTGTACAATGCAAAATTAATTGGTTGACACGACTGTTCTCATAACTTGAGTCTAACAGTACGCAGTCGTCTTCCAATTCCACAATTATTAAGTGGGTCTCACTTTAGAACTAAAAGGAGGGGGATAAAGTTTATTTGCATTCATCAATCGTGATTGCATAGGACCGATTCTCCTGCCTTACTCAGTAATACAGAATACAGAGTCCTGCTTGTAATCTTTTCTTATTATTATGCATTATTAAATAAGCAGTTGAACATAGAAAAAAACTCTATCCCATAGTTCCATAGTTCTATTAATATAAGGTTGGAGAAGGTTAACGACATAAGAGAATGTTAAACCAAAAGTAAAAAATTGACAAAATGAAAAAACTAAATGAAAAAATGAAAAAGGTTAAACCAAAAAAATGAAAACAAAAAAAAACGTTGGAGAAGGGCAGAAGGGAAAAGGCTAAACCACTTCATGCAAAAAATGAAATCGAAAAAAAACCAGGAAAAATCACTAGAAGAAAAATTTTATGATAGATTGGTAAAAAAATAAGAGAATCCTAGGATGCAAAAACTGGAAGTTAAGGCTCGTATTTCAGGTATATAACTTGCATAGAGCTCTTAATAATAAAGCAAACCGTAATCTTTAGATCTGAGAACTCCTGAAGTTTGACCTTCAAGCTACCTTCTTCATCAATATACACCTAATTATTGATTCAGTTTAGTTAGTCCTGAAGATCCTTCAATAAGTGTAAAGCTGTTACTAGATTCAATTCAGCGCTATTTCAGATTCCAGTATTCTACTGTGCCGCCACCTTGCCTGGATTTCCGATGTCTGAGACTGTGTGGTCCATAATGCAAATCTTAATGGTCAAAACTTAAACATAGGCAAACTTAATAACACAAGGTTCTGCTTAAAAGTCCAAGTATCTCAAATAACGGAAATGTTCTTTTTCTTCAACAAGCGCATTTAGACAAAAAACGGCAGGAAGCATGGAAAATCCAGGAATATAAAAATAGAACTCCAAAGCAGATATTACAAAGATAAATAGCAAGAAGGCCCAAGGCCGCATACGTACGGACAGAATACAGAAAATTTAGAAATAATGTCAGCATTTAGAACAATACCTAATTATGTCTTACACCATCTTTTTTATTGTAAAAATGATAAAAATTAATTGTAATAAAAATTAATGAACAATTAAATAAGGCCTAGTATTTACAATGATTGCACATTTAAAAAACAATAACTTTATTAATTGCATTATTTATAATTTAATAGAAATTATTGATATATTGATATCAATGATTTCCGTTAAAGGGACTGTCGTAATTTCGAGTGACTCTCCATTCCAAAAGAGGCGTGATCGATTCACAATGAACCTTTACCTTTATTATTTTTTAGTTTGAAGTGTAACTTTGACAATTTCCTCTTTCTGAATCTGCAAGCAGAAATTCTCAAGTCACTTTTATGGAAAAAATTGAAAAAAATGATTTTTATGAGATTATAGCTCATTCATTCTTGAATAGACTTCAGTTGGAAATTGCACCATTGTAAATCAGACATGCCACTCAAAAGAAAAAAAAATGGAGGGTTACTTTAAATTACAAGGGCATTCCCTAAAAATTGTAAAAAAAAAACTGAAAAAACGAATAATGAAACCGAAGAAAAACAAAAAGAGGAAGAAAAAGAGGAAGAAAATAAGAAAGAGGAAGAAAATAAGAAAGAAAGAGGAAGATCTTTTTTAATGATCATCAGTTTTACCTCTCTGTTCCTATCTAATCGACTCATTAGATTGCTCTTCTCAAACATGTTCTTAGATGCTGCAGGAACCTTAATTTACTTCTTGATAAGTTTTAAAAATAATATTTCCTCGGAGAATTATTGCAAATTAGAATTCAGTCCAAGAGAAAAAAATTCTACTATTATTATCTTATTCTTACTAAAAAAAATATGAAATAAGCTTACACCGTTTTATTTAATCTTACCAATGCTTTTATATCTAGTTTAAATCTGGAGCGAAGAGAAAGATTGTATTAACAAAAATAAATTTAAATCTTTTCACTGACTTCTAAAGAAAAATAAAACATAAGTATTTTACACGTTTCCCACAAAGGATACGACTTCAATGACGACTTTAAGATCTGATGTCTGTTCGAACGATCAAATTCAGACTTTTAAAGGAGTTTTTTTTCCGAGTTGATAATAAAAGTGTACGCGGATAATTCTAAATGAAAGAAATTTAAAGAATTTCGTACAGTCGTCTCTGAAATCTTATCCTAAATGGGTAACCCTGTATATCTAAATTAACCTCGGCATGCTTGCTACTTCTTGCTGCACTATTGGTTCCACCAGGTGGAGCTCTGACTCTACTTGTGTTAGATCTCTTGAATGTTTCTACTGAAAGCGGGGAACAAGAATCCTTCACGTTGTCTTCCCTCCGATTTGAGAGAAACGAAAACTCATTCTCCTTATTGCTGCTCATATTAAGAAGCTTTTTCGTTCTCATCAAGGACGGAGTATTCAGCTGCTCCTCTTTCATCCTGTTGGAAGCAGATACGGCTTCCATTCTCATCAAGGTCGGAGTATTCAGCTGCTCCTCTCTCATCCTGTTGGAAGCAGATACGGCTTCCGTTCTCATCAAGGTCGGAGTATTCAGCTGCTCCTCTCTAATCCTGTTGGAAGCAGATACTGCTTCCATTTTCATCAAGGTCGGAGTATTCAGCTGCTCCTCTCTCATCCTGTTGGAAGCAGATACTGCTTCCGTTCTCATCAAGGTCGGAGTATTTAGCTGCTCTTCTCTCATTCTTGTAGGAGTAGATACTACGTCTGTTCTCTTCAAGGTTTGAGGTATCAGCTGCTCCTCTATCATCCTATTGGAAGCAGATACTGCTTCTTTTCTCATCAAGGTCGGAGTATTCAGCAGCTCTTCTCTCATCTTGATGGGAGCAGAGATATCTTTCTCTAAACTCTTATTTTGTATCAGATAAGATGGTTCCCCATAGTTTGCATTAATATCATGAGACGGAGGAGGCACCTCGGCTCTGACGAGGTTCGCGTTGGAATCCTGAGCTTTGGGTGCATCTAGACATAGTGAAAACATAAATATTTTGAGATTATTATCCCTGGGTTTCCAAGGTCATTGTAAATATTGTAAGCTTACTAGAACTGAATTATCGAATGGTTAGGATTGGGATCCAGAATACTCCAAAATATAAAAAATAACTATTTGGTTTTCTTTGAACACAAACTCCGAGTGTTGACTAAAAAGAGATCAGTAAAACTCTCCAAATCTATCAATCTGCAGTAAACAAAAATAAACAAAGGAATTCAGAATTTTTTTTCGTCAACTTTGGTTTTTTCACTTAAATATTCTTAGCTGTGTCTGGACCTTTTTTGTATGAAAATAAAATAAGCACCATTTTTTAAATGTTTATCTTTAGAACCAGATGAATGATGAACAAAAAAGTTTCGCTCTTTAAATTAAATCTCAATTTCTCAGATAAGAGGTTGGTAAATCCTCTCATTCAAATTAGAATGGATCCTTATTCATTAGGCACTGTTTAATAAACTGCAGTGAAAAAACGGAAAAAAGGGAAATATTCGGAGATATATTGAAGGATTTAGGAAGTAAGCTGACCTGCTCGTCGCTGTAGGCGCTGTTGAGCCAAGGTCTTTGAACGTGGTGGTGCAGTGAGCCTCTGAAACACAAGATTAATTTAAACCTTATTCAAAACAGGGAATTAGACTTTTTGACTCTTTAAAGGCGAACCAACATAAAAACTGTTTGAAATTAAAAAAACTTCTATTCCCTAAAAGTTAGCTTTCCACCCCACAATGGAAAATTTCAAATCAGGCCGCAGATACAGAAACATTTGGATTTCATAGTGGAAGTAAAACCAATATTGGCTTTACTTCGAAAGCAAACTTGTAGATAGTAAAATTCTGAAAAATGCGAGATTCTTGTAAAGTATCTTGAAAGCCCAAAAAGCTCCGAATTTTTAAAAACTGATGAAACTGGAGACTTACAAGTTCAGACACTAAGTAGTTCATAGGAAGATTAAATAGAGGAAAAAAATTAAAGATATGAAAGAAATCAAATCAAAAGGGGCGGGGATGGCAAATGACTCCAGTAATGGATTGGAGGTTCAAGTCCTTTCCGTGTCCTGGTTTTTCAGTCTGGGCTTCTTCCTATTTTTAAAACATCCCATCAACATTTGTTTGTAAAGTGCGAAGTTCCTTGCCACACGACCAAGTTTGAGCCATGCCTCACATTTGGACCAACGTCATACAAAATATACCCTGTAACCGGGCAAAAATTGCATGACAGAGGTCTCCCCAGCGAGTATTTTGTTTCAAAAGTGGATTGGCGATTAATAAGGCAGCAAATGAACAATTAATAAGAAAAAACCGGGTTGACAGACATTGATCAAATTGCTTAAAGGGACTATAAGCGTAATTTCAATTGACCATCCATGCTGAGATTACAATACCCAATTTGCAACGGTCCCCTTTGGCTGTTTAATAATGTGAAAGATGCCGACTTTGAACTGACTCGAAGTGTTTATTTTTACGAGTTTCTCCATTGCTTCTTATAAACAAGAAATGCACCAGTCACTTTCGCACAGAAACCACATATAAAAATAAACAATTTTAAGAAAAAAATCATTGATATGGAATTCATACTTTTCAAGGATACCGTTGTAAACCGGGCATTTCCATCATAGAGGGTCACTTGAAATTACGCTTACAGTCCCTTTTAAATCCACGAGAAAAGGGTCGTGAGAGAAAAAAGATGAAAATATTTGAGAAGAGAGAAGATGAGAAGAAAGATGGGACCGAACTGGTCGGTTAATGGTCAAGGATGTTTTCAACCCATGGGAAAATACTGTCCCCAAGGTTACAGGATACAAACCTTGTTCGGGTCGAAGTTGAATTTAGTATTATTAGTTAGACGAACAGGATGAACATACATTCTGCTCTGAAAATAAATACTGATTAATAATACCAAGGCTTGAAGGGTTGGAACCATCATGAACTTATTCTGTTTTCCGATTCGATGTGTTTTTTAATATCTTAATTAAAATGTCCTGAAAAAATCTAGTTTTTTTCTTTCAAAAATATTGTAGAAATATTACAAGTTGGTCATTAAAGCACTTTTTTAAACTTACAAAATTCAAAGTTCAAAATATCACAGGTGGCAAAGAAATATAAAGGTCATATGAAATGAAATTAGTTTGTTTTTAAAATTAAGTTTGAAATGTGCAATCGGGAGTGATAGTTCTTAATTGTTGTGGTTCACACTGTAAACATAAGGTGTAAAGATGACGGGTAAAGATTGATGATATAGACTCTAAACCTGATCAATGATAATCTTAAGTAAACGGTTAAACAAAACTTCTTCATTGAAACAAACAATTTAATAGAACCATTTCAAAATACATTGAGCAGCAAAACATTTCTAATTTCATTTTGAAAGGACGCACATTCAAGTGAATCTCCATACTAAGAGAGTTATGTAATTCACAATTCCTTCCCTCATTGTCTTATATAAGTGAATTCGCAAGTAATTTTTAAGAGAAAAACACATAAAAATAATAAATAAATTCATTCATTTTCAGGGTATTACTGTGAAATCGACATGCTCCTCTATAAATAGAAAACAATTAGTGTAAGTAATAAGATAAAATTTCGCATTTCGTTGTAATCTCAATACATTTTTAATCAAGGAAGAGGACTAGGTATTTCGTTGTAATCTCAATACATTTTTAATCAAGGAAGAGGACTAGGTATTTCAGTTAATCAGTTATTCAAATAGTTGTTAGGCATAATGTCATCTTGTTATTGAATGACAAAGCACTAATATGATTTATGAACAGGAAGCTTTGAAAATGCATGATGGGGGGTGGGCAGGGAGGGGATGAAAAAGACGACTGGCATTAAGTGTATGCGGCATGCTTGCTACTGCTTGCTGCACTATTGGTTCCACCAGGTGGAGCTCAGGGGATAAAATTGGTTAGCAACAATTTAAAAATTTCAAGTAATAAAATGTTCCGTGTTGCCCGTGCAGGGTATAAAAGTTTACGCGCATATGCACTTACAATATACAGGGAAAGATATTCTTTACCTCACGAAAAAATTAGATTATTATAACCTAAGAACCTAGGGGTTAATTTGTTAAAATGCGGCGCTGTACAAGATTTCAACGCTTACTCCACAAAACACGGCAGCGTAATGGTCACTTGCGCTGAAGGCAATGTATTTGGATTTCCTGGATAAATTCTTCAGTTTCAGATATATTCTCATCCTAGACAGATCAGGTAGATAAATATATCCTAGTCCTAGATATAGCTCTTCTTAAAATTCTTTACAGATCAGGTTGGAAAATAGATCCTCATCCTAGATATAGCTCATCCTAGATACAGTCCATCCTAGATACAGTCCATCCTAGATATAGTCCATCCTAGATACAGTCCATCCTAGATACAGTCCATCCTAGATATTGTCCATCCTAGATACAGTCCATCCTAGATCTAGTCCATCCTAGATACAGTCCGTCCTAGATTCAGTCCATCCTAGATTTAGTCCATCCTAGATACAGTCCATCCTAGATATAGTTCATCATAGATACACCTCTTCTTAAGATCCTAAACAAATCAGGTAGATAAATAGATCCTCAGTCAAGATACAGTCTATCCTAGATAAAGTTCATCCTAGATATAGTTCATCCTAGATAGGTCTTAATCCTAGATACAGCCCATCCTAAATAGGTCTTAATCCTAGAAACAGCTTATCCTATTTACACAGCTCTCCTTAAGATATATCTACAATACAGATTAATTTTCTTCCTACATAGATCAGGTCGGTAGTATTTATGCTAATTCTTGATACAATTAATCCCAGATAGATTCGCATCCTAGAACCAATTAATTCCAGATAGATTTTCGTCCTATATACAGTTCATTCCAGCCTGATCACTCTCCTAGATACAATTATTTCCAGATAAATTTTCATCCTGGATAAAGTTAATACTTAAGGTTCATCCTCGAGAGAAAAAAGTATTATCTGATTAATGTGCATCCTGGAGAACATGATCAGTAAATAAGTTCTAATGTAGGATGAAAGGACTTCTCCTAATATCTGCTGTATGTGCTGCAGTACAGGGTCAGGATGAACCCCGGGTTGGAAGTGACGGAAGACCTCTTCTAAATAAACCTAAACTAGATCTCTGCAAAGACCGGAAGTTTCACGAGAAATACGGGAAGCATCATTACTTCCTCTCCTGGAGAGAACCATGGAACAAGTTTGAGGCAAAATATTTTATTTATTATTCAAGATTGTTCCTGACAAGACCAAGTTATACAGTTTTAAGCATTTCATCATTAGTTGTTACTAAACTTTCAAGAAGAGCCAAAGAAATTTTAACACATTTCAAAATTGTAAGCTATAAAAATGATGTAAAAAATTCGTTCTGAAAAACGAAGCCAACCAAAAACGCTTCTTAAAGGACGATTATTCTAGGATTGGGATTGGTTTAACGGGCGTAATTTCTGCCGTGAGAGATGTATGGATCTTGTCTCCTTCGAGGATCCTGAGGAATACAGACACTTTGCTAAAATACTTTTCAAGGGTGAGTTCAAAAATATACATTTATGAATTTTAATTATTAATTATTTCAACATTCCGACGATTCTTTAAATGTTAACAGTTAGAAGTAATAGACGATAAAATGATTTGGATGTCTTCTTCATATATTATTCTGGGAATTTTTAAGCGTTATACAATGTAAGACTGTATGATATACAGTACACATACACCCTTTTTTCTTTCTTAAATTATGAATAGTTCCTAAGCTGTCCTTATACAGCCGAGTAAAATGTGTACACAAACCTTATCATCCCTCTCTTGGTTTGTTTACTCTTTGCATTTAAATTTCTTGTCTTGTTCGTCCTGTGCTGTATGTAGAAATATTTCAAGGTTTTCTTTTATTTCAAGTTTCTTCATGGTCAGAGGGGTTTATCTCGGTTTTAATCTTAACTATTTTAGACAATGTGAGCTCCATCTACACTTCAGGAAGAAAGTGCAATTTCCAAGACAAGGCAGGATAACAGATCAATTCATAATTGAATTTCAAATTCAAATTTTAGATCATCAATCATCAAATAACTAGGAAATCTAGTAGATATCACAAATGGTAGTTTTACTTCTGTTGTACTGGTTGTACACTATTATACATCATACACGGTGCTCCAGAAAAAAAAAATCAAAACTTGCCTCAAAACTGAATGTCACCCTTGTACTAATTTACTCTGTTAACTTAAAAATGTCTTGAAAATAAGATTCTATTAAGGAAATAACCCCTCCCCTTCCACTCCTAAACCAGTGCCACTGTCCTATGTACATTTTCTCAAACATAAATGAACTGATCTGTGAACCCAGGGATGTGATTCCCCTACACTTCAACCTATCAACATCAACGGATGGTTTTGGGCTGATGGAAACACAAGGATTCCCCCAACCAATATTCCATCAAGATCTACATTTTGGTCCAGGTATATTATTCGGTACCTAGGATTCATTTCATTTTGATGCAGATCCGCATTGAAAAATGAATCCGGATTATGTTTTGATGCAGATCCGCTCTGAAAAATGGATCCGGATTATGTTTTGATGCAGATCCGCTCTGAAAAATGGATCCGAATTATGCTTAGATGCAGATCTGCCCTGAAAAATGGATCCGGAATATGTTTTGATGCAGATCCGCCCTGAAAAATGGATCCGGATTATGTTTTGATGCAGATCCGCCCTGAAAAATGGATCCGGATTATGTTTTTACGTATATCCACCCTGAAAAATGAATCCATATTATGTTTTGATGCAGATCTGACCTGAAAAATGGATCCATATTAAGTTTTGATGCAGGTCCGCTCTGAAAATGGATCCGGATTATGTTTTGATGCAGATCTGCCCTGAAAAATGGATCCATATTATGTTTTGATGCAGATCCGCCCTGAAAAATGGATCCGGATTATGTTTTGATGTAGATCCGCTCTGAAAAATGAATCCGGATTATGTTTTGATGCATATCAGCCCTGAAAAATGGATCCGGATGATGAACATTTCATAACAATTACCCCCCCACCCTTTTTTCTCCTTTTAAGAGATTATGAAATTTTTAATAATCGCGTTAGTTAACCGTTCACTGCGATTTAATGGTCTCACGCTCTTAAGCTTAAATTGTTGAGAATTTTGTCAATTACTTCTAAAAAACCAAAGCTAACAACAAGTGCTTTATAGTGCTAAAATTTACATGTAAAGTGCTACAGAAAAGCATAAGTGAGTTAGAGCGGAAAATCTAAGCTTAGGGCGTTGCGACACTTCAAAGTCAACCCTGTCTTAAAAATTGATGAGGCTGTTTATAAGCAGGCTGAATCTATGTGCGTTGAGATTTGTGTTTTAAAGCTAGTGAATTTTTAGCAGTTTTTTTTTTGGTTTTTTACCTTTTGGATCAGGATCCTTAGCACTGCTTTTACCACTGTAAAGTCTGTATACTTAGACACATACCCCCAAGCCCCCTCCCCCATCCCTTCAAATAGATTTTAGAATGAGCTGGCTTATTGCACACAAATATTTGGTTTGCTTGAATGCAATATTTCAAGGATAACTCATGAATGTTTGAGTAATCACTTCAAATCTAGAATTTTCCACCTCATACCCCGGGAGGGAAGCAACAGTTTTCAACAAGGATGTGTTTCTGCACTCTTCATGCAGCTTGATTTTAATATTGCAAATATACGGGTTTACCAGCTATTTTACTATTTCATAAAGCAAACTCGCTTCTCAAGCAAGAATAAGCTAATATTTGAAAATATTTCTGCAAAAAAATACATATAATTATTACACGGTAATGCTTACTGTGTATATTTTCAGCCCTACAAACTTGTATTAATGATTAAAACGAATATATTAAACTACAAGATGACGGCGGATTTTTGGTAACGTCAATTTGGTAAGGACAATTTGGTAATGACAATTAGGTAAGGACAATTTTGTAAGGACAATTTGGTAAGGACAATTAGTTAAGGAAAATTTGGTAATGACAATTTGGTAATGCCAATTTGGTAACGTCAATTTGGTAAGGACAATTTGGCAATGACAACTTGGTAATGTGACAATTTGGGTAGGACAATTTGGTAAAGCCAACTTGGTAAGGTGAAAATTTGGGAACGACAATTTGGTAACGTCAATTCGGTAATGTCAATTAGGTAAGTCAATTTGGTAAGGACAATTTGGTAATGGCAAATTGGTAATGACAATTTGGTATGACAATTTGGTAATGACGATTTGGTAATGCCAACTTGGTAAGGTGACAATTTGGGAACAACAATTTGGAAACGTCAATTTGGAAACGTCAATTTGGTAATGGCAATTTGGTAATGACAATTTGGTAATGACAATTTGGTAATGACAATTTGGAAACGTCAATTTGGAAACGTCAATTTGGTAATGGCAATTTGGCAATTTGGTAATGACAATTTGGTAATGACAATTTGGTAATGATAATTTGCAAAGGTGACAATTTGGTAACGACAATTTGGAAACTGGAAAAATGGCGATTTAATGTATCCCTTATCTTAGCTTGTAATCCTCTTCTCCATTACACAAAATTAAAGATTTTATTTATTTTAGACGCGAATAAAATGCAGTACTTTTGATGACGCAAATAAATTTGACGAAAAACGACATAAATTTCTGTAACTTGATTATAAAGTATGTTTACACCGTTTAAAGAATCTTCTAATTCAAAGATGGCAACTTTATTTACATATAAATAAAAACACTATCAATTAGTGTTTCGTTTAATCGTTATATTAGGTGCTTCGTTTAATCGTTATAATAAGAGCTTCGTATAATCGTTATAATAAGTTTTTTTTTTAAATGAAAGGGAGTGTTTCGTTAAATAGTGATAATTCTTGTCTTTAGAACTGGGGAAGCTGGGAAACCACAGCCTGATAACTACAACGGACTCAAGGAGGGAAAACTTGAAGACGTTCAGGTAAAGAGGTACTTCTAGCATGGAATGTAAATCATACATGATGAATAAATTTGTAAATATCGGGCTTTTCTTTTTGTATCCAATAAACGTTAAAGTCCAGAACCGATCAAGTCCAATTATTTTGGGAACTCTTGTATCAATGCTTGACCTCAAACTTTTGTTAATCTGCAGATTAACTTAATCTGTTTTACATATTCCGCATTGTAATCGTACCCTAAGAGATTCAAGAAATGCATTGCATAGATCCTTAAATTAAAAGTGCCTACAATGGATATAAAAATCAAGCAATCGGGATTATGGGTTGCCAACACAAAACGTTCTCAGCTCAGGAAGGTTTGTGGGTGCTCAGAAAAACGTTGTAATGGATTAAAAATTATCGGAAATCCGCAGACATAATTTCAAAATGTAAAAAGCTTGCAATTACATAGACAAATATCTAATATTACTATAAATAGGCCTAGTTTTACAAATGAATGTAATATTCAGGATAAAAGTGGATTAACAGTTGAGGGCCTCCAGGAGTTCTACGACGAGGCCTGCCTGGCAGTCCTTAACAACCAATACAAGGACGGGATCCAGTGGCACGATGTGCCTTGCTACTTCAGGTAAAACGAAAAACGCTGATGGGGGGGGGGGGGATATTTCCTAATGACGTAAGATAAGCGATAAATTGTCTTTTTATGATCTATAATCTTGATGTTCAGGTCCAAATTGATCTGCGAGGACTCTGACCTACAGATGGAGAGGATCAAGGAGGAGACTAAGGTCGATGTCAGGATCCCCACAACCGATAAGGCCGAGGAGAAGAAACCAAAAGCTTAGAAAGACGACATTACGCGTCACATTCTAGTCGTAAGAAAATCTAACTGACTACCCTGCTATTTTACTTATTAACGGCATCGATACTTAATAAGAAATAGATATTTGTTGAAAATCTTGTCGTTACCAAATAATGTCCTTTAAACTATTTATTTATTTAATAAAGTTTATTCTTACCCATGACTCCCTGATTATTCGAAGATTTTGAAGATCAATTAACATTAAATATTGGAACATCACAGAGACAAAGATGATAAAAACTTTCGATAAAATAACCGAAATTAAAATTTTTTAGTTTAATTTAGTTTCGGTTTAAAAATATATATTTTATGTAAATTTGTATAGTTCTGTATGAATATTTCCCAATACTCCATTATTAAACAGGGACGAAAACTTTTCATCCTTAAAACCCGTTGTTATTATTACTCTAAAAAGCTTTCGTCCTTTCAAGGAACTGTAGACGATAGTTCATGTGACGTTAAATTTTATGATATAGAAAAACAAGGTTTAAAGGACTCCGTTGTGAATTGTAACACTTGAAACAACGTATACAGTCCCTTTAAGTAAATAAGTTATTACAAATTTTTCCCTTTAAATCTTGCATCAAGACAAACCGTATTTGTAGGATTCAAATGGTATTAATTGCAAGAATTGCACCCACTAGCTTAAGTAAAACATTTTATGACATTAGTCATAACATCATCTTTGCATTGTCCTTGCAAACTTATCCCTTGTCAGAAATGGCTCATTATAGAATTGAGCAATGATAGCTACTGGCCAAATAATCGTTAGAACTGGCAATCCCTAAATCTGTAATATCTGCCGTTGATTTTCAGAATTTGCCAAGATATCTGGCAAAACAGATTCCTACATCTGGTTCCCTGGAGCTGTATGTAGCAGAGACAATGCTGGTCTGAGTAATTGCCAATTCTGATTTCTAGAATTGGCAATGATGACCGCATCCTGCCGGGCAACCAGGTCTCTTCTTAATCCACTCCTGAACATGATGAACATGACCGCCGTGTCCGCAGCCCTAAAACAAACAAGATTAGCCAAGCGGAGAAATGACTTCAAATGTCGTCTTAGAATTCAAGTTACAATTTAATGTTGCATCTAACCCATCTACAGGGGTATACACTATACAGGGTTACCCACAAATGATGAGACTGTTAGGACGACTTTAAACTTTTTAAAGACTACGATTCCAAATTAAGTCTTATCCCTTAAATGTGGTCTTTAAATGACTTTTTAATTATTTGGCAAAAAAGAAAAAAAGTTTTGTATGGTATCTAGAATATAAGAAAACAGACATACAGTATTAATTCCGTCTCATCGTATGTGGGCAACCCTGAACATAAATGCCCGTTAGATACCTTTAAGAATGGTATTTTAAATTACAACCGTTTTTGTCTCTTATTGAAACCGTTTCTTAGTAAAAAAGTTTTTGAGTAAAAAGTTCAATATATGGAAATCCTTTCTTGCTCTCCAGTTACCAGAAAAAAATAGGATGTATTGAACTCTTATAAACTGTAAATTATATAGGAAGATTCCAGGGGGGGATCTAAAAATTGAATTTCAGTTGAAGAACCGGCCAAACCGTCAGGGGAATGGGGGGATACAAAACGGGAATGTATGATGTAAAATGTACACCAGTGAGGCTATTGTAAGTAATCAATTAGTATTTATTTTTTTAATCTACATATTCTGGGGAAATTCTATATTGGCAGAGCCGTAGTCGGGGGAGGGGGTGTTATACCCCCCTGGACTAGTGAAATCTGTGGATTTCAGCGGTTTCTCTGGCCCCAACGGGTGCTAAGCCCCCTTCCCCCCCGGACAAATTCCTGACTACGCCCCTGTATATTGGCATGACTACTAATCAATTCCTGGTTAAAAAATAAACATTAGACAATTTTTAATTTCAATCTTAGTTTTTGTAAAAATTTGTATATTCTTATTCAACTGTGTGTGTAATATAAATAAGAATTTGAATGGCACAATTCCTACGAAATAAAATTATTAAATAAAATCAGGTTTCAAGCCGGAAATTCCTTGCACTAATTAATTCCATAACATTTATTGTTGTAAATCCAAATTCTTGAGTTTCTACTTGGGGAGTCTTAAAAACAAAAGTTGTGTAAGATTTAATGTGAGGAAACTTGTGTAACTAATAGGGTTGTTGGTGTAATTTTATGCGACATGCATAAAGCAAGTAACTGAAAATTAAAAATCTGGTGTTCGAGAGTGGATTTTTGAAGTAAAAAAAGCCTGAAAGTGACCGGCGAGGATCAATAAAATTCAATATTTGAACAGTAAGAATTCTATGTAAGACATCATAAGGATTCAACGATAAAAGTACGTGTTTGAGGCGACTAAACTTGAGACTAAAACTAAAAAAAGAAAAAAGTGCTTTATAAGGCGAACCTAACACCAGACGATAAGCTAAAAAGTGCGTTATAAAGCTAACTATTGATCACTAACCTAACAGTAGATACGCCAAGTATCCAGTAAAAAGTGCATTATAAAGCGAACTATTGACTAACCTGACACCAGACGATAAGCCCGCGAACAACAGCATGACAGACTGAACAGGTTGCAGGGGATACTCGACACCGTTCACACCACCAGGTGCCAGACTTCCTAAATGTATAACATAAAGAGCGTCCCATTGGATTATCTCTAAACTTTAACGTCAAAATACCACATAATACTCATAAACCTAGTATTTTCTGCAATTTAGCAAATTTTTATATTGGCCTTGTACAAATTTTTAAAATGATAAATTCGTTTATATTTTCTGATTTGTCCCAAAAATCGCAATTTAGAGCCATTACCGATCCATTATGATGTGGGACACTCTGTATGTATTAGAAATGTCCCTTCAAATATTGTGTTGTCTTTGTTAAAACTTAACGTGTGGAGACCTTTCATGTAAAGAAATTAGACTGGTACGCCAAAAATAATTCCGAAATTAGGCATATTGAAATACATATTGCAGAGGACACCAGAAGACAAAAACGTATTTATCAACAAAAAGTTACACGATCTAGAATGTTCATTTCAAGGTCGTTAAACTTTCTTGAACATTTTGTGATTAAAGAGCGATCGAAAATAACTTTGATGTTCTGTAGTTGAATAACCCGTATAACATTCGAATCTTACCTTACAAGGTTTCTACCACAAGAGCCACAGCAGGAGTTGACCGTTGTGGACTCGTGGTTCATCGTGTTCACAGAAGATAACGGGCATAGCCTCAATATCTAAACAAAATCATTATGGTTTTATTGTTTTCACAGACTACAACGAATATAACCTTGATATTTAAACAATAATAATTTTTCAGACAAAACCCCAAAACATTAAGATCCAGAGGTGTAGATCAGTAGAGTCTATGATTTCCAGGCCCTTTAGGCCCAGTGGGTGCTGATCGACAACGCTTGATCTCGATATCCACTGTGTCAGCTTTTTCAGGGATAAGTGGTTGACCCCTCAAGTTTCGTCATCCCCGCAGGGTACGAGGAGCTACGACCCATGATATCCAAGAGGAATTATATCCATAGAACTGCACAAGATAACGGCACTTGATCCCGGAATTCACAGCAAAAAAGTTTAGACCTTAGGATAAACCAAGGTTATAATGCAAGGATAGTTATTTCAGAGGTGTACGCATCTTTTGTACTGCAGTGTACTGTCTCTGGGCGGTAATGTAAACCAAGACGGATGTCGAAGCCCGACATGGGATCCATCTTTTAGATAAAAAATCAATGAATATTGTAGTCATAGGAAACTATTATGTGAATTATCAAAATTGTCAAAATTTAATGCTTTTAACCTCCTTGGATACTAAACGAACACTGATGCATCTATTATTGTTTATAAATTCCGCCCAGAGAGAACTAGTTTCAATATGTACGCAGAGTATAAGCAACTGCATTTAACTTTCCTTGCATTATAACCTTGGGATACACTAACTAAAATTTATTAAAATATGGCTGCCTTACGAAGAATGAAATAGAAATGACCTAGAAATCTTTTTCAATAACACAACCAGAGGGTCACATTTAGTCTAAAAACCAGTTAAAAATATATGAAAACATCTAGTGACTTCCCTAATCAATTCTCTAAATTTAAAAACCGGTATATTGTGAATTGAAAATATTAAAAACTAGTTACTACATTACTTCTTAAGTTTCTATTTGTAGTGGCAAAGAAGACAGAAATTTTTAAAATTGTTTTAGAAAAAGGTGTTTATATAGTAAATTTAATATTTGTTTTAAATAACTGTCCAGGCACTAATAAATACCACGTTAAACTGACCTGAACAAAACCTTGTGTACACTGCAGTACAATGTACACTGTACCGTGTACACACTGGACTAGGCGAGGGAGGGAAGGCAACCTCCCCAGCTCAGCTTTTAAACCTCATTTTTACAGGGGTCCATATAATTCCATCTGATCAATCCCAAATGTTGATTGATTGATATTAGGGGCAGAAATAAACCATTTTGTTATTGTAAACAATTGGAAATATAATGTCAAGTTGATGAAAAATTCCATACTGCAGAGTGTTTACTGCAAGGGAGTGTTTATTTTTCTGTATATCATAATTTATCTCGTATATCAAATAATAATATTTACATCTTTGAAAACCCCAAATGCAGTACATATTTATGAAGTGTAGTGCACGTACACAAAAACTTGACATATAAAGTTTACTTTCATGCCCCTTTGGGATCAGAAATGGATTTATATGGAGCCCTGCATTTTTACCTTTCTGCGGGCGGGCAGTGCCGCAAATATGTAAATAAGGTTCGAGAGCTGTGCGGGGGAGATTGCCTTCCCTCCCTCAACAAGCCACATTTGCCAAATAAAATAACCTTTCAAGCTTTTTCTTAATTTGTCTAAGTTTCCATTATGTTTATAAAATCAAACTGTTCATTGTACGATTGTCCATAACAGGGAAACTTTTTTGTTGCTTCCACAGTATAATAATAATAATGATTTAAAAATGTTTCTTCTCAAATTAAGTGTAACTAGTATATTTTAGAGGGAAAGTAGTAAATTAATAGAAATAATAAATGTGTTTTTTTAAGATATTAATAAATTAAAATATTGGTCAAGAATGTAGAAAATCAAGATAAAAATATATTGAAATCTGTTTTCTGTCCGTTTATCTGTAGATTCTAATCAATTGGTTTGATTGACAGAATATATTGGCTTGACTACAGGGCGGATCAGATTTCACATTATTCAACTTAATTCTATGCAGGCACTAAACTATAGACACCCTGTATGCTGAGATTGACAGGTTTGGGTCAAAAATAATAATATGAATCCCAGAAATAGAGGGCAAGGATGATGCAAGGAGAATTAAAACAGAAGAAAATGTCAAGAAGTGTTTATAGCTTATCCTAGGAGGAGGGGTTATTGGTAATCCCTTGTATTGTTTTGATAAAATGTCAAAGGAATTATAAAATTCATTCCTTCACGTCACATGAAACCAACCAACATATCTTTCTGTCAATACTTCATATCTCGTCATCTTTTTATGTGCTTTATATCTATCTATCTGTCTATCTTTTTATCTGCTTTATATCTATCTGTCTATCTTTTTATCTGCTTTATATCTATCTATCTATCTTTTTATCTGCTTTATATCTATCTGTCTATCTCTTTATCTGCTTTATATCTATCTGTCTATCTTTTTTCTGCTTTATATCTATCTCGTCATCTTTTTATCTGCTTTATATCTATCTATCTATCTTTTTATCTGCTTTATATCTATCTATCTATCTATCTATCTTTTTATCTGCTTTATATCTATCTCGTCATCTTTTTATCTGCTTTATATCTATCTATCTATCTCTTTATCTGCTTTATTTCTATCTATCTATCTTTTTATCTGCTTTTATATCTATCTGTTTATCTGTTTATCTGTTTATCCGTTTATCCGTTTATCCGTCTCTCTGTCTCTCTGTCTCTCTGTCTCTCTGTCTCTCTGTCTCTCTGTCTCTCTGTCTATCTGTCTATCTGTCTATCTGTCTTTCTGTCTCTCTGTCTCTCTGTCTCTCTGTCTTTCTGTCTTTCTGTCTATCTGTCAATTTTATTTCTTATTTGAGTAAAGATTTGTTAAACGAAATAACCTGCAAAATGTCTGTAATATCTAATACAGCATATGGAAGATTACATTCAAAACTATTCACCAACTGTCATGTTTCGTGGGACACCCTGTATAATAGGTATGCAAATAGTTTCCAACAAAACATGTTTTACATTTCGACTGAAGAAGATTGTCTAGATGTAATCTAGCCCACCCATTAATGATGATAAATGACCTAATCAGCAAGCTAATCTGCAATCCTAATTCATTTGCAAAAATAACTAGTACCACGCATCTATCAAATCTCCTATAAGCATAAACCAAAACAAATTGCTGGACAAACTTTTCTTTGAAAATAATGTTTATTCAAAAATTAATTTTAATGATTCAGCTCTGTAACTCCCGGTATAAACATATATAATATATATAACGTTGATTGATTCGAATACGAGGTTGGTAAGTTTCATTTTTATTTAATTTAATCGCTTGAAATGTAAGTTTTTTGATCAAATTTCAATTGTGCAAAGTAAAAACCTCTTTCTTGAGTATACAAGAATAGATCACTAACAGACTTTTATAAAATAGATTTAGAAAATAGAATCCTAAATGAAAAAAGAAAGATTTACCTCTGCTAATTGAACACAAGATGTAATTAGTAATTAATACCCCCANGGTCCCCAAATCATCTATTCAGTGCTCAATCTTCCCAATTGCTCTAACTCCCACTTTACCAATCCTTTTTATCATCCTAAACATTCATTGAATCCCAATCCCAACTTCCTCTTTAGTTGATATCCATTCCAATTCCCAACCTATTTTATCTTCTCCAAATTGGTTCCTATCTAACCCATTCCAACTTCCTAATCCTCATCCTAATCCCAATTCTTCCAATCCCAACATTGGTTGACATTCGTTTGGGATTCTTATAGTTTGGGATTCCACATTATAAAATCAGAAAGAAAGATTTTATATTATTGCCGAATTTTTTACATGACAAATGGCAAACAAAAAATTATGATTTAACGATGTATTATTGTTTAATGAATACTTTTCATAACACTCTAGTATGCACCAGTTTTATCTAGTGCTTGGGATCCTTTCTGTTCCCTGCCAACGTTGGTTGTTTAGGTTGGTTAAGGGGTGGTTTTACCCCAAAACAAGAATGATCAATTTAACAATGTATCAATTTATCAATTTATCATTCAATTTAAATCTTTTAATCGAACCGGGGCTGCAGTATGTGGTAGTTCAAGTTAAACCAGAGTAAAAAGAACACATTAGAATGTAACAAACCAAGAATCGAACCCAGCCTCTGGCAGGCCTCTTAGCAAGTGCATCTATCTGTTAAATGAACGTGAAACTATAAACAATAAACTAAATATATACATATATATATATATATATCTATATACATCTATCTGATGTTTCTGTCTCGAGAAATTGATATAAAACTGTGTCAAAAATTATACCAAAACGAATATATATATATAAGATTTTGTAAAATATTCATTTTCAACAATTACCCAACCTATCTGAAAACGACGATATCCCAGAGAAGCCTGAGGAACTAAGATTTGCTCCTGTTATAATTCTATAATTTTAATTTAGCATTTTTAATAGATTTAACTGATAATATTATTTATACGTCCGTATTACGTAACCAGAACTCCCACCAATGGCAGTGGAGTAATGCAGTGTACTAGTCACGTGATACGGACGGAGAGACGTGACAACGATACTAAGGTTTCAGCTTATACCCCCCTTTCATTTTCCCTTTACAGTCCCTTTAAGGTGTCATATGGTATACTGTACAGTGTACAATCTACATACATATGCAACAATGATACCTTTTCGGTGTTTTTTTATAATGTTAAAAATGCCAAAAGCGGCGCAGACGATTTATCTAAACACAGACCCCCCCCCCCCCTGCTCCACTAAAATAATTAGGTTTCACTTTAAACAGTTTGTGTCTGTTTGCAATTTTTCCAAGAATTCAATTTCAATTTCATAATTTTTCACTTGAAAGAGAGATTTTTTCTATGACAAAAAATAATTAACATTCTTAATTCAACTCTGTTTTTTTTTATATGCATGCATCAGGCCAATTCTTCCGCCCTGTTTAATAATGTACCGTTTTGTTTTGGCTTTAGAGGGGGGGGGGGGTGCAAATACATAATAAAAAGGTTGGTAAAGGCAGTACAAGGGTTTGTAAGATCTTAGCAGTTTATGTTCTTAACGTACATAAAAAAATCTAAATCTTAAAATTAAATGTTTGAATATTTGAGAAGAAAAAAAAAGTGTCGAACGAATTTCATGGTAAAATATCTAATTTTCTCTAAAAATACAACAAAAATCTAACATTCTCCCATTTTAAGATAAAAATTTCTAGAATAAGGTGCGGTGCATTCTCTGTATACATATTACAAGATAGAACTCAGCACAATGTTCAATCCTTCTTTATTTCCCATTTCAAAGTCCCTGCAATAAAAAAGAGGAAAAGCTCGTCGTTTTACCGTCTTACAGTGTTGAATTCTGGCAATTTCATTTCTTCTCATTGGCGTATAAATCCGCATTTAACTTTAAAAAAACCTCAAGGTTTAAAGGGTACCATTGTGAATCGGGCATCTATATATTCCACATTATTTTGTGGACCATCAACATAACTCATGAATTTAAAAAACTCAGATCATCTACAATTCAGAAATGTAAACTTCCGTAAACTTAGATCATTTAGAATTCAGAAATGTTAAAGCAAGTACATAAAGAAATATAGAAAAGGAACTTTCTTTGATTTCTTTAGAGAAGGGGGGGGGGGTCTTTAAACAGAGAAAGAAATAGGCCAAAAACTCTTATTTGGTACATTGACTGTTTGTTTATTTTTGTGTATATAAAGGGACTGTCGTCAGAATTTTAAGAGACTGAGCATTGCAAAAAAAGCACATTAGTAAAAAAAACATTGGTAAGATAACTTAGGTTGTATGCATTAAATTAATTATGCAGCTAGTTAGTTCAGTACAGACGAACTAGAAAAAGCCAATTTCCAAACAATTTCATTGTTGATATTATGTTTGTAATCCTTAGACACGAGTTTCTTAAAATCACCCCTCTCCTTTCCCTTCCAATGCATTTTAAAAGCATTTTTTTCGCGGTATGTTTAAAAACTTCATTTCTTAGCTTGAATTATCCATTTTTGTCACAGCCATCGGCTAAATAATCCCCCCCCCAAATTTACTCTTTTTCCAACGTGTTTCTTCTAATTTTAACGAGTGGGTCGCACTTGTATCTACGGAAAAATTTCTCGCGTTGAAGTGGAGAAAAAAAGAATTGCTCTTCAAATAAACTGAGTCGGGATTTTATGCAAAATCTTTCTGGACATTAATCCTATTTAATCCGGTCACAGTTGAAGGGGTTAAATTCCTTAGCTTCTCTTTAACCCTAGGGATTAACCTAACTTTATATTTTACAGGGAAAATATTTTTCACCAAACCAAAATAGAAAACATATACCCTAGATGTTATAGATTGGAATTGATCTCAAATATGAACAAATTACTATCGAAAACTAGTGAATTTTTATTTGATAAAAATAAAAGAATTAAAGCTAATTTCTGACTTGGGTCACCCTGTAAACTAGATGAGGCCAAATAAAGAAATAAATCTATAGAAAATGAAACCAATTTAAGATAAATGTTGAGATACTGAGATAAACCTTGTTTAAAAAATTATGCCTGCTTTTTAAAGTGTCTAGCACACCAGTTTCTTGTATTCAAGTGTTTGATGTGAAAGTTTTGAAATGTCTGGTGTCAAGTGTCTTGTGATTAAGTGTCTCATGTCAAAACGTCTGGTGTCAAGTGTCTTGTGATTAAGTGTCTTGTGATTAAGTGTCTTGTGATTAATTGTCTTGTGATTAACTGTCTTGTGATTAATTGTCTTGTGATTAAGTGTCTTGTGATTAAGTGTCTTGTGATTAAGTGTCTTGTGATTAAGTGTTTTGTGATTAAGTGTTTTGTTATTAAGTGTCTTGTGATTAAGTGTCTTGTGATTAAGTGTTTTGTGATTAAGTTTCTTGTGATTAAGCTTGTGATTAAGTGTCAGAGTGTCTTATGCGTGTCTGGTGTCCATTTGAATGATATCGAATTGGCTGATGTCCAATTTTTTGGTGTGAAAGTGTCTGGTGTCAAAGGTCTGTCAAAGTGTCTGTTGTTAAAGTGGCTGGTGTCAAAGTGTCTGGTGCCAGGAGTGTCTGGTGGCAAAGAGTCTGGTACTAAAGTGTCTTGTGGCAACGTGTCTGGTGCAAAAGTGACATTGTCTGCTGATGGCTGTTGTATCTCTGAATGGTGTTGATGAACAATGTTTGGTCAAAAGTGGCTAATATAAAAGTTTCTGGTGTCCCAGTTTCTAGCTTCAAGTTTTTAGTAACTGGTGTCACAGTTTCTAGCTTCAAGTTTATAGTAACTGGTGTCAAAGTGTCTGGAATTAAGATGTCTGATGTTAATGGGTCTAAAGTCTAGCGTATTTATCTAAATTTCTAGTCTACACAAAATTTAAAAACGTCCTACTTTAACCTAATCTTTTTAATCCATGACACCCGCTTCCTTATCTATTTCTAATCCTTTACCACAAAAGATCTAAAAAATATATTAAGGCTTTTTAGTTTAACATAACCAAAATCTATTATTTAAAAGTATATGAAAAATTCAATGGAACATCTTGTATCTTTAAAATCATGATAATGCTTTCAACGCAAATTCCTTTCAAGATTAGAGACACAATTTAAATATTTAAAAAAAGTTTTTACACTTGAGCTTTGGTAACATCTTAGTTAAAACTAACTAAATCAATATCTGGTCTAACGATTACACACTCTTATCTTGATAGTTTATTATCAAGTTTCATATGAAGTTAAGCTCCTGATAGGAACATGTTTAGATATAATAATGATGTTTCTACTGAGTACTATAATTGTACTCCTGCATGCCAGCCAAACCCTAGGCCATGGAAGACTAATGGAACCTCCAGCTAGGAAAAAAATCTAGCAGAATTTTTTGCTAACACTTATTATGATCCAAACTAGATATTGTAAACAAAATCGAATTTATGTCAAAATATATGTACGACGTTGCGTTCATTTAAAGAATGAGATCACAAAACTTTTTGAAATGGAGGATTTCAAGACCATTTTTTGCTAATCAATTGTAAAATAAAGTCTAAAACAAATTATCCATAAAATTGTGTCCCATTGATAATAAAAAAACATCTGATTTTTGGATCAGGAACTGCATGTGGAGATTTGGTTATCTGAACCCTATCAACTATAATGATAATGAGGTGTTCTGTGGCGGTGCTGCAAAACAATTCCAGGTAATTAAAAATACACCAGGGGTGTCCTGAGCACCGTGCAGTACTCCGGGTACATAAATGAAAGAAAAAAGATTATTTATGCACATTGTTGTGACGTATTAAAACACCGCACCAACTGCTATAATTGTAATGAACAAGACCTTTCCAGATATTAGGTAAACAAGATATATGGGGAGGGGGTGGTGTATATTAGGGCTGAGTTTGTGCCTGAATGCTTTATTTTTGTAATTTACAAGACCTTAAACAAGTTTCAGTTTCCATCTCACAAAATAACTTAAATACAGATATCTAAAAAGTCAGCGCCCAAAGCTAACTGGATTTATAATTGAGAGTAAGGAGTCATGGAAACAGCCAAAAAATGATATTTAAAAATTAACATATTGTAAATTATTAAAGGGTCTTCAACGTAATTCAATTCGACCCTGTATTTAAAGACAAAAACATATATCTTTGAATATTTCATGCCATTCATAACTTATCTTCAGGAGAACGGAGGCCAGTGTGGGGTGTGCGGGGATTCATGGGAGGTCCCTCATCCTCAACCTCATGAGACAGGAGGATTATATGGGAATGGAGTTATTGCCAAAACGTATCTAACAGGTGTAAATCCATGTCTTTGCCTTTGACATTCTGGTCTTATATCCCTTAATCTTTGGACTTAACATGGCAAGTCTTTCCTTTGCATTTGCCATGACCATTGACCTTTGCCGAAACTATTGTCATTGTCTTTTCCACATTCTTTGCCATAGCCAACGTCTTAAGATATTTTCCACAGCCGTTGCTGGGGAGTTATTGTCGTTGTAATTGCCATAGACTTTACCATTGCCTTATAATAGCCCTTTTCACTGCCTTGTCAATTGCCATTTCCACTGTCTTTTCAATTGCCTTCTCTATGGTCTTCTCCTTTGCGTTTGGCCTTGCTCAAAGCACATGCAATAGCCTTTACCATTGCCTTTGACTTCCCCTCTGCCTTCCCCTATTGAACAATGTTTAAATAGGAAGCTGGATTGAACTGGAGGTAGAACTGACCGCAAACCATAAAGGAAGATTTCAATTTAAACTCTGCCCAGTTAATGGAAGGGAAGAAGCAACACAGGTATTAATTTTAGTTATTCAAACATTTTTTCAAAAGCCAGAGTTTTGTAGTAAAAATGTGCAACAATTTTGGGAAATCATATAATTCAGAGCAGACCTTGACCGTTCCATTTAAAATAGGCAAAATCACAAAAAACTAAAAATGCGCAAACTCACTTAAATGTGTGCTTTCTAATAATCTGTAAAATGTTAAATTGCTATTTCTCAAAATGGACTCAAAATGAGATGTAGTATGGTAGGGGGAAAATAGAGGTCATGTGATCAGTGTTGGTAGGTAACAATGCATCAAAAAAGAATACTAAAGATTTGCTTTTCAGGATTGTCTGGACCAGAATATAATCCTGAGCCCTGACGGATCTGATAACTTCCCAATAGAAGTTTCAAAACAGAAAATAAATCTTAACTTCCGGGGCAAACTTCCCCAAGGATTAATCTGTACACGGTAAGAAGCTAAAATATTTGTTAAAAATATTATTATTCCCTTATCCTCTCTATTTGTCAGCTGCGTTCTACAATGGACTTGGAGAAGTGCTAATTCATGGGGTAATTGTGGTAATGGAACATCAGGTAGGCCAATAATTAGGTGTTTGTAAATGTGAAAATTTGATAACATTTAACCAAAAAAAACAATCAACCAGAAATAATTACGTAAGATCCTTTTTGACAAAATCTGATTGGTACAGTTTCTATACCCCTATAAATTGCAAACTTAATAAAACAAATCAAATTACTAACAAATTGCCGCGATTTAACAAAAAACAGTAACAGAACTAAAATATCTATTTTGTATAAAGTATAATTTTAAGCAATTTATTGTTTTTGGGACAATGTTGTTTTTGATAAAAGAGCTGTAAGCATAAATTCAAGTAATCCTCCTCCGTGAAAACAAACAAACAAGCAAGCAAGTAAGCAAGCAATCAACCATCATCCCGTAGAAGTCAGGGCTGAGACTTAGTCAAAAATAACCATAAAATATAGATACTATTGTACCATTTGGTTACGACACTAGTCTAGGGGGTTCAACTGTCAAAGATATCAACGCCATATATACAACAGTACATTTAAAACTTTAGTCTGATCAAAAATATGGAAAATAAATTGGACATTGCCATTTTTCCATGAAGGGTCACTAACAGTCCCTTTAAGGTTTAGGATGCGGGCCTCAGGAGACCTTTAGAAACTGTGCAGATGTGAGTATCGTCAGTTCTCCACTATTTCTACCGGAGACGGATAACCCAAGGAAAATCAAAAATACTAAAATTTAACACCGCCCCCCCCCCAAGAAAAAATCTTCCATATCTGAAATAAAAATGTTAGGGAAATAATTAAAAAACTTCAAATTTCTTAACTTTTGATAATTTGTCCAGGGCTATTTTTGTGTCTGACAAATCTGGACGAGGAAGACGACCTCTTGTAGTTAGAAGTCAGGTTTGCGTCTCAACCGATGCATACAGGATGTACCACAGGAATATACCATTCAACCAATTAACTTTTAACACTTTTTTATAATTATATGAAAATAATTTCTATTTTTAAATTAAGTCTTAAATATGTTTGCTTTCACTAATAATAAAAAAACACATTCTCAACATTGTATCTGTGATATATCAATTAAATGTTTCTCCCGTTTGTGTTGGCACTTGTAGCTAAAAAGTGAAAGACAAAAATAAACTTTAGTTTGGTTCGAATGTGATAAACAAAGAATGTCGGATTGGTGTCAACTGAACTGTTTGGCCTACCCCTCGAACTGTCCCCCTGCAATATGTAAATGTCTGGATACATGCAGGTTAGCCCTATATAATTTATACATAAAAGAAAAAGCATTCTGTGAATATTTTTATTTGTTATGGTAACTTTTTAAGGAGTGCAAAAGCACTGAATTTAAGTTTAAATGGATATTCTAAAAAATGCATTTTCAAAAATCCTAAACAACTAAAGAGCAGAAATGTGATAGTGACCTGCCTACAAAAAATGCATACATGATGTAGCACCGTTCTAAAGGAGAATTTTTGATTTTTTTTCTCTTTAGTTAGTAAAAATGTCCTTAAACCTTTTTGTTTTTGATTAGTGCATTGCCCGGAACCAACCTGACTGATTTTGAGTGTAACAAAAGATGCCTCAGATATCCTCACACAGAGCAATGTCCCAAGGAATGCAATTGTACAGGTATGAAAGAATTAGACAGAATTTTATTATAACAATGACATTAGATAATTCCTAGGCCCTAATAAGAAAGATTTGAGAATTATCATAAAAACCCGGAAGAGTAAAATATTGACCCCCCCCCCCACACAATTTCAAGAAAAAGCATTTATTGACTCAAAATTTCAAAATTTCACTTATATTTTTCTATATTTTAGTAGCAATAAATGATATTGAATAATATGATGTATTTAGGAGGAGAATCAATTGAAGATGAATTTGTCATAATTGAAAATTCTATCTTCACAGATGAAGTTGCTGCTAAATCCTCGAAACAAGCTGCAGCTAAAACAGTTACCTCTAGTACAGTACAGTACAATAAACCAGTTAGTTCCAGTCCAGTCCAGTACAATAAACCAGTTCTTGTACCAACAGTGTACAGTCCTCTAATCCATCCAATTTATAAACTTCCCTTGAGAGTATACCAATACCTCGTTAAGTAATATGGCATAAGCTTCATGAGTAACCTACAGTGAGACCCAAAATATTGTGGAATAGGATGACGACATTTAAGCAATCTTTAATGTCTTTGATGTAACTAAAAAGCAAACAGGTTTACCAATAACTTTGAGTTAATTTGAAAATCAACTTTCAAAATCACAACTTAAACCTTCCTATTCGACGTTCATTAAAAGAAATTTGTTATAATTTTATGTGAAAAAAATCCTCAAAACTTAAGAATCTCAAAATCTTCCAAACCGCATGAAATCATGTAGATTGAAATAATTCAAGATCTAGTTGAATAAATTGTATACTGTTCTGGTGATGTTATGCAATCTTAATATCATAATTTAAAAACATGTTATTTTATGTAAAATTATACATCTAGTAAAACAAACGTATAAAACCAGTTCTGAATGTCAAAATAATCATTAATGCGCTAAAAAGATAAATAAATAAATTCTAGCTGTAGTGCCCGGCGTTTCCCGTGGAATTGAAAAGCAATAATTTTGAAAAAAACGAATAAAAATTTATTTTTCTTTCTTAGTCTATGTGGTACCCATGGGCTTCTTAAAAAATGTCAGCCCTTTAGGTCCTGCCTTTTAGCCAGCTATAGCTGGCATTTATATATATATATATATATATGAGCAAAGTTTGGTTTATTAACATAACTTATTCTTTACTAAAATATTAAATCCTAAGCCTGATTAGTGATCATGCATATATACTCATAAAACTGTGTACGTACTAGGAAGGCGATATTAAAGCAAGCTTATGTTAATTAATGTTGTTTAAAAGCAAATAGTTTTACCAAATGTTTTAAAATCAGCTTATAAAGTGAAAATGGGCCTGTGTTCACTGCACAATTGTTGTATATAATGTTCAATGGATTATTTAAAATCAAAACTTGTGTCTAACAGTCATCTTCCATTTCCATATTTGTATGTTTACCACTGTACAATGTTTGAAAAAAACCGACATAGAAGAAGCAAAGAAGGATTTTTCCAACTTTAGGTTTGTATACTCTAGATCGGTTGAGAATCCAGTCCTACCTCATTAGCTTTAGTAAAAAGCTGAAGGCGCTGTAGGAGTTCTATATAGGAGAAGAACCAGTGCTCCAGGGTAGTTTCAGCCACCAGACCTTTAACTTGACATCCACCTTCATTACCTCGTGTACCACCTAGAACAAAGACCTTTAACTTGACATCCACCTTCATTACCTCGTATACCACCGGTAACATATACCTTAAACTTGACATCCACCTTCATTACCTCGTGTACCACCATTATCATAGACCTTTAACTTGACATCTACCATCATTACCTCGTATACCACCTATAACATATACCTTTAACTTGACATCCACTTTCATTTCCTCGTATACCACCTGTAACATATACCTTTACCTTGACATCCACCTTCAATACCTCGTATACCACCTGTAACATATACCTTTAACTTGACTTCCACCTTCAATACCTCGTATTCCACCTATAACATAGACCTTTAACTTGACATCTACCTTCATTACCTCATATTACCAGCTAGAACATAGACCTTTAACTTGAAATCCACCTTCATTACCTCGTATACCACCTATAACATAGACCTTTAACTTGACATCTACCTTCATTGACTAGTATACCACCTATAACATAAGACCTTTAACTTGACATCCACCTTCATAACCTCGTATACCACCATTAACATAGACCTTTAACTTGACATCCACCTTCATTACCTCGTATACCACCTATAACATAGACCTTTAACTTGACATCCACCTTCAATACCTCGTATACCACCTAGAACATAGACCTTTAACTTGACATCCACCTTCATTCATAAATCTGTAATTCACAAAAGTGAGAATATCTAAATCGTCCTTAAAGGGACTGTAAGCGTAATTTCAAGTGACCCTCCATGCAAAAGTGGTAAAGTCCGATATACATAGGTACTCTTAGAAGCTTTTTCTGTTCAAGTAAGAATTATTTATCAATGTTTATACTTCTAAACCTAATTATTTTCAATTGTGGTTTCACTACAGAAGTGGTTCACACATTTTTACAGCATGAAATAAATTTAGGAATTAAACACTTTAAATCATAAAAATACTACAATATCTTCCACATGTGAATCGGACAGTGCTATCGTTGCATGGAGGGTCACTTGAAATTACCCTTACCATCCCTTTAATACACTCTAGACCTACCTGTTAGAACAAGGTACAAGCTGACCACAGTCTGAACACTCTAGACCTACCTATTAGAACAAGGTACATGCTGACCACAGTCTGAACACTCTAGACCTACCTGTTAGAACAATGTACATGCTGACCGCAGTCTGAACATTCTAGACCTACCTATTAGAACAAGGTACATGCTAACCACAGTCTGAACACTCTACGACAATACACACAGACTACTGATATTTGTTATATTCAGGAGTCTGATGATTGACAGCTGTGGTGTGACCAGCCACAGCAGAGCATCACTTCGTGATGTTTGACCCCTGGGGTGCCTTAAGACAATACTTCTGTACTTATCTTATTTTATCAATGTGTCTTGTGCGCCCCAGAGGACAATCATCCAGAAGCTCTGCTGTTACAGAAAGAATGAAGATCTGCCGGGATATGTAACCATCTATTTGTTTGCTACCCGTTGGTCTCCTTCCATACAGAGAATATTCCCCGAAGAGAAGGATAGCAAGGTGAGCTGTTTCCACACTATCGCTAGAACTACCTCTTAGAACAAGGTACATGCTGACCTTAGTCTGAACACTCTAGACCTACCTGTTAGAACAAGGTACATGCTGACCACAGTTTGAACACTCTAGACCTACCTGTTAGAACAAGGTACATGCTGACAGCAGTCTGAACATCTCCATTTTCCGCAAACCAAACCAAAGTATCTAAATTTTAAAAAGAATTCACAATAAAAGTTTACCAAAAGCTACAACACTCCTAAAGACGTATATTTACTCTAGACTTAAACAAGTGTTTACAAAACCTAATGAAATCAGCGTCAGGGTTTTCGGCTAAAAAATTAAGTTAAAGGGGGAGAAGAGAAGGGGAGGGGTTCAAACCCAAAAAATACTCTGCAAAGAAGTCAAAATTCTACTTTTTTCTTTGAACCCCTGGCCTCTGCCCTTCATACATATTACTTGTATACAAAAGCAAAAAACATCAACTTGAAACGAGAAACGCAACTCCCCATCTCTGAGACTACGCCCCGGTCATCCTCGACCTGGTATAACCAGGAGGGCCAGGTCGCCTGATATAGTTCCCTACCTGATATATCCGGGAGGTGGTTCCATGTAGTTCTAGTATCTCCAGCATGTATCCCCCACACTACCACAGCGCTTGTCTTATCCTCCACAGTAACTGTCTGTAGAGCAAGGTCACCCTCTCCTTCAACACCTACCACTAGATCCTCTTCACGACCTCCTTCTAGGATCTCCTAGAGATATTAATATTTAATCCAACCCTCCTTCAAGACCCTAGAGATATTAATATTTACTCCAACACTCTTTCTAGGATCTCCTAGTCCTGCCTATCTCTGTTTCTAGTCCAACCTGTCTCTGCTCCTAGTCCAACCTGTCTCTGTTCCTAGTCCAACCTGTCTCTGCTCCTAGTCCAACCTGTCTCTTCTCCTAGTCCAACCTGTCTCTGCTCCTAGTCCAACCTGTCTCTGCTCCTAGTACTACCTGTCTCTGCTCCTGGTCCTACCTGTCTCTGCTCCTAGTCCTACCTATCTCTGCTTCTAGTCCAACGTTTCTCTGCTCCTTGTCCAACCAGTCTCTGCTCCATGTCCAACCTGTCTCTGCTCCTAGTTCTACCTGTCTCTGTTCCTACTCCTGCCTATCTCTGTTCCTAGTCCAACCTGTCTCTGCTCCTAGTCCAACATGTCTCTTCTCCTAGTCCAACCTGTCTCTTCTCCTAGTCCAACCTGTCTCTGCTCCTAGTCCATATCATATCATATCATATCATACAGCTAGGGATGCGTCCAACAGCTCCTTGACCTACAAGGGGTATGCCATCACAATCCCCTAGTACTACCTGTCACTGCTCCTGGTCCTACCTGTCTCTGCTCCTAGTCCTACCTATCTCTGTTCCTAGTCCTACCTGTCTCTGCTCCTAGTCCAACCTGTCTCTGCTCCTAGTCCAACCTGTCTCTGCTCCTAGTACTACCTGTCTCTGCTCCTGGTCCTACCTGTCTCTGCTCTTAGTTCTACCTTTCTCTGTTCCTAGTCCTACCTGTCTCTGCTCCTACTCCTGCCTATCTCTGCTTCTAGTTCAACCTGTCTATGCTCCTTGTCCAACCAGTCTCTGCTCCATGTCCAACTTGTCTCTGCTCCTAGTCCTACCTGTCTCTGCTCCTAGTCCTACCTGTCTCTGCTCCTAGTCCTACCTGTCTATGCTCCTTGTCCAACCAGTCTCTGCTCCATGTCCAACTTGTCTCTGCTCCTAGTCCTACCTGTCTCTGCTCCTAGTCCTACTTGTCTCTGCTCCCATTCCTACCTGTCTCTGTTCCTAGTCCTACCTGTCTCTGCTCGAATGCTTCTGATGGTAGAATCCAGTCCCTGCTATTATCTTGTGCTTCTCCTCCTGCTCCTCCAGCTCCTCCCTCCAGGCTAACTAGGTGCTCTACTCCCATACCTGGACAAAAATAATATTATTTATCAATTTAGAATAGTGTAAAATACTTCTGCCAAATCATACTGAAAACGATTGAAGATGTAACCTTGTCTTTAAAAAAGGTAAAAATAATTGACCGGCAAGCTGATTGTAAAGGAAAACTGACCGGCAAACTAGAGATAAAATAAAACTGACTGGTAAGCTAATGAGGAAAGAAAACTGACCGGTAAGCTAATGACGAAAGAAAATTAACCGGCAAGATAGTGATAAAAGTTAACTGACCACCAAACTAGTGATAAAAGACAACTGACCACCAAACTAGTGATAAAAGAAAACTAACAGGTAAGATGGTGATAAAAGAAAACTAACCAGGAAGCAAGAGATAAAAGAAAATGACTGGCAAGCTAGATATAAAACTGACTCTACAAGCTAAGGTTAAAATATAAACTGACCAGCAAGCTCTGCGTCCCCAAAGAAATCTCCTGTAATGGTTGCAATGGTGTATCCGCTAGCAATATCAGTCAAAGTTCTGCAGTTCTCATTCTCAGATTCACTCTCGCTCTCAGAGCTGTTCCCTAAACATTATATTCCTCTCTCTCTCTTACTCCTAGTGTACCCATTATTAATCTTTTAGTATTTTCTCCAGTGCTTAGGATCTATTTAATTTTGATGCGGATCCGGATCTTGGATCCGCACTGGAAAAAAATGGATCCTGATCCGGATCCAGGTCATTTCTTTAAGATTTACTGAATTTTTATAACAAAAATAATTTTCAAATTTTTTGTTTTATTTTTCTCGCTTATTTTTATTCTAAAACCAATTAGAAATGAGGAAATTTTTATAATCTCGCTTTTTTCAAAAGTTCAGATTTGGATTTTAGGAGAAAAAAGTTTTTTTTTTGCAGTTTTTGGTTGATATTTTACCCCTTGGATCCGGATCCGTGGATCCGCATATTTTTGCGGATCCGGATCCAGGAAGCCAAAATCTTGCGAATCCAACGGATCCGAATCCTAAGCACTGAATTTCTCTAAGTTTAAGTTTTGATATCCTATCAAGAAACTGATGATTTAAAAACGGGAAAATACTCTAGATTGATGCTAATTTTAAAAGGGAATGCAAACGAAATTTTAAGTAACCCTCCATTGCTAAAGTGCCGATTCACAACGGTACCTTTGAAACCTTAATTTGGGCAATAATGTGGAAGATAGCGTCTTTTTTTTCTGACTTGAAGTGGGGTTTATTCTCATAATTTCGCCATTATTTCTGAAGCAAGAAATATGCGAGTCACTTTTGAAGAACCGCAAATGAAAATGAAAAGTTTTCTATCACCAAAGTATGATTTCTAGTTCATTCTTCATCAGAAAAACTTTAAATCTAATAGAAAACGGTATCGTTGTGATTCAGACGTGACACTCTTGAAATGGAGGTTCACTTCATTTCGACATTAGCTTACCATCCTAATCAAAATCCGTACTAAATCTCCCAAGAACAGCAATAAATAAAAAACAAGGACTTCCCTCCCCCCACCCTTATATTTAAAACAATCTTAGAGAAACATGGCTGCGAGAGCGAGTCTCACCAATCGTAGAATTCACAAGATAATTAAGATTCATATAGACAATCTAGTAGAACTTACTTGTGCGGAATTCACAAGATAATTAAGATTCATATAGACAATCTAGTAGAACTTACTTGTGCGGAATTCACAAGATAATTAAGATGCATATAGACAATCTAGTAGAACTTACTTGTGCGGAATTCACAAGACAATTAAGGTTCATACAGACAATCTATTAGAACTTACTGGACCGGAATGCACAAGATAATTAAGGTTCATTTATACAATCTAGTAGAACTTACTGGAACGGATCCGTTTTTGGGGGACGGATCCTTTTGGCAATGCAAAATACACAAAACCACAAGTTGAAGTATTAGTGAAATAATTTCGAGTACGAACCTGACACATTCCTAGACTGTTGCCTGTTTGATTGTTTCCCAGACTGTGATCTAAATATTTAAGCATTTTTTAAGGGGACTATTGACGCAATTTTAGGTGGTACGTTAATAAAAAAAATGACCGATTCACAGGGCTTTAAAACTTTTTTTTTGAGTGACGATCATGATTCTTCATCTAATTTCTGTCAATTTTCTTCATGGTCTCTGCAGCCTTAATCCGCATGTCGCTTATGATGAAAAACTAATAGTGAAAATTGTTTCACTCCGAAAAGTCCACTTTTTTTATCAGACAAAGGGTAAAAGCTTTGACACAATTCAATTTTAAAATTGATTTTGATTTTAAAGTTGATTAAAGTTTCAAAGAAATCTAAAGGAAAAGATTACGAACAAACACACAATGATAGCTACCTAACCCTAGAAATCCTCTCTCAGACCTCTTCATTCCGCCCCGCCCCAGATCTACATAAATAGGACACACCTACCTTAGCCTGGAGACACGCCCTCGGGCCTCCTCATCCTGCCCCGCCCCCAGATCTCCAGAAATAGGACACACCTCAGACTTAGCGCAGGCGTAGATAGTTTTCAAAATCGTCTACAAACAAACGGTAGTTCAATTTTTAAAAACAAACAAATTTGAAGCTTGAAAGAAAGATTTAAATCGTCAACTCTCCCTTACAACACCTTTTAAAACGATTAGGTCAGTTAAATAATTTGTCCAACATCCCACGCTCTGTATGGTCTCATGCACGTAGAGAGATTAATTACTATATCTACTAAGATACTTTAATTGTAAGGGGGGGGGGGGTTGTATAGTGACAGTGTTAAAAAAGGATTTTAAATGGGACTCGACTTTGCCCTTCTGGGGTTTAACTTTAACATATCTTCAGATCAATATCACATGTAGTATCTTTGGTGCCCCTTTCTTTAGTTTGCCCGGGGCTACAGACGAGCTCTCTCTCCTACAGGGTGTCCCACGAAACATGACAGTATCAAGACGACGTGATCGCTATCTCCGGAAATAAAATAAAAATAAAGCTTTTCAAAATTTTGGGTTTCTTTAATAAAATTGAATTCTGAACGAAATTCTTAATATCTGCGGTAATATTGACAACACAATTCTTTCAGGCTTTACTTTGGAAATGCCTGGACTAGAAGAATTTTGCTACATGCTAAAGTAGGTTGACTAATGAATGTCACAAATACATTCAAAGATCAAAGACTACTTTTCAGTTGTATTGCTACCATCATGTTTCGTGGGACACCCTGTAGTTCTAGTATCATAAATCAGTTCATTCATCATCGGTCATTCCAGCAGGCGTAAATATATAATTACAAAACTTGTGAGGCCCAGATATAAGATCAGATACAACAATAATTTCTTTTAAGGGATGTTAGCGATATTTTTAGAACATATCTGACATCAGTTCATATTCATTAACAAATAACAATAACGATTAAAAGAATAAAATTAAATATAGCAAAAACAAAAACAAAACAAAAACAAAAACAAAAACAAAAACCAAAACCAAAAAACAATAACAATGCAATTACGAAAAAAAGATCTTACAGAGACAAAAATTCATTTAAGATAATCTAACAAAAGAATTAAGTCTTTGCCACAAATTCAGATATTCGAATCCCTTCTATCTCTACAACCCGATGGTGTAAACCTTTGATATTTCAAACTTGAACCATTTTATTTACATTGGGTTGCAAAAAGTAGGGATTAGAACAAGGGCGTATACAGAAATAAATGTGGGGGAGGGGCAAGATTTGCGCGAAGCGCAAAAATTTTTTTTGCCCCCCCCCTAGGAGCTCCTAGAGGGGGGGCCAAATTCGAACTGTAAATTCATAACACTTGGCTTCTTGGATATCAGGCATAAGTATAAGATACTTAAAAGGCACACATACAACCCATGCCCCCCCCCCTGTATACGCCCTTGGATTAGAAAATTACGGTTCTTTTTGGCGAAGACTTAACTCCTTAATCGGTAATTAAAGAAGTGTGTGTACTAAGAGTGAAGAAAAGGCAATAATTATTTTTTTTAAACCCCAAAAAAAACCAAAAAAGTCCACTTACAGGTGTTTTTTTTAAAAGTGGGTTTTATTGTGGTTTTTTGGGTGTTTTTTATGCAAACCCTGTGGAAAGGGGGGGAGAGTTATAAAATAAATTCCGACCTGTTCTAAATCGTACTCACCCAGGTTAAAGAGACCTGCTCGCGACCCATCTTCATCGCCACCTTGGCGTTGATATCGCAGAGCTCTGATAAGGTTCCATCTACAACCCTGTACCCTTCAGCTATACCTCGGATAGTATCCTCTTCAGACAATAAACCCTTAATATAAATATATAAAGGGACTGTTGACTTAATTTCAAGTAATTCTCCATCTGACGAGGCATGTCAATGTTCCATCCACAGTACTATTGTCTGCTCAAAGAACATTGACTATTTACAATCGTGATTTCTCTAGAAAAGAGAAATGCTGATTTAAGAACATGAATATTAACATGAACATGAACATGAACATGAACATGAACATGAACATGACCATGACCATGAACATGAACATGAACATGACCATGACCATGACCATGACCATGAACATGAACATGAACATGAACATGAACATGAACATGAACATGAACATGAACATGAACATGAACATGAACATGAACATGAACATGAACATGAACATGAACATGAACATGAACATGAACATGAACATGAACATGAACATGAACATGAACATGAACATGAACATGAACATGAACATGAACATGAACATGAACATGAACATGAATATTAAAATGAACATGAACATGAACATGAACATGAACATGAACATGAACATGAACTTGAACATGAACATGAACATGAACATGAACATGAACATGAACATGAACTTGAACATGAACATGAACATGAACATGAACATGAACATGAAGGAAATTGTCAGAATTCAACACTGTTTAAGATGGGAAACTGACGATATCCTACTCAGTGTTTCTCAGATGAAAGTTTCAACTGTTGCAAATCAAGCATAGGACTATTTGAAAAGAAGTTTACTTGAAATTACGCCGTTAATTTTTTTTTTGGGCCGGTTCGCCATCCCTGGAAATCCAAAACTAAGTATCTTACCTTGCTGGCTGAGTAGAGGCAGAGTTTACTTTTACACATTCTGAATAATTCAGTGAGAGGGATATTCTTCCGCTGCATCTTGTTTCCCAGCAGAGGGATTATAGCGTTGTCTGCTCGAACCATGTGGCGCGAAGCATGAGTAATTTCACCGCGGGAGTTCATGCTTAATCCAACAGGATTCGCTTTATCTCCTTAAAAAAATGCTTGCAAAAATCTTTCAGATTGTGATATAGTGAGAACCAGTAACCTCTAGAATATAAATACGACTTTTAGTTATGACTTTAATTAACCCAATGAACATGTGACACAGCAATTGTGCAGTGTAAGCAGACACATTTCACTATATACGTGTTTTAATAAGACTCTAGAAACTATTGCTTTCAAACATCAAATACACTTAATTATTAATGTAGCGTCGTCTTCCAATTCCACAATTTTATGGTTCTCACTGTGAGTTAATGTGTAAAATGCATGCTGCCTTGCATTATTTTAATAAAACAAAATGATCAGCTAACACTCTTCCCATAAAACTAATGAGTTATAACGGGGATCACCCCCCCCCCCACCCTAAATAAAGTCCCCGTCAAAAGCTGCTGTTTAACTACTAACCTGGTCTAGCTGCATCAGTGAACACGTGATGAAAGAGTGTTCCATCTTTACTTGTAGAAATCATTATATGTGGATCACCCCGCCACGCTATATCTGTTGTTACATCCTTAACAATATTTGTTATTCAATTAGTTTAATTTTTCTAGCTCACATAATACAGTCACAAGAGTCAAGCCACTTTTTAAAAGTATTTGTAAGCGTAATTTCATGTGACCCACAATGCAAAGATGCCAATGCCCAATACACAACGGTACCCTTGAAATCTTACTGATTGGAGATAACGTCGTTTTTCTGATTCGAAAATTATTAATTCTGATTATCCACGTTTCTATGAGCAAGAAATGCCCAAGTCATAGATAAAATCTATATTTTTGAAGAGAAACTACATATGAAATAAACTGTTTAAAAACAAAACATAGATAAAATCTATATTTTTGCAGAGAAAATACATATGAAAATAAACCGTAAAAAAAACATAGATAAAATCTATATTTTTGCAGAGAAACTACATATGAAATAAACTGTTTAAAAAACAGAACATAGATATAATCTAAACAAGATCAGACCAAGTTGCGAATTGGGCATTGTCATCTATGCACGGAGAATAACTTGAAATTACGCTCTTAACGATTATCAAAACAGAAGTTAAAAGAACTTACTTTATGATTATCAAAACTAAAGTTAAAAGAATTTACTTTATGATTATCAAAACAAAAGTCAAAAGAACTTACTTTATGATTAACAAGAAAAAAGTTAAAAGAACTTACTTTATGATTATCAAAACAGAAGTTAAAAGAACTTGCTTTATGATTATCAAAACAGAAGTTAAAAGAACTTACTTTATGATTACCAAGACAAAAGTTAAAAGAACTTACTTAATGATTATCAAAACAAAAGTTAAAAGAACTTACTTTATGATTAACAAAACAGAAGTTAAAAGAACTTACTTTATGATTAACAAAACAAAAGTTAGGAGAACTTACTTTATGATTAACAAAACAGAAGTTAAAAGAACTTACTTTATGATTAACAAAACAAAAGTTAAAAGAACTTACTTTATGATTAACAAAACAGAAGTTAAAAGAACTTACTTTATGATTAACTAAACAAAAGTTAAAAGAACTTACTTTATGATTAACAAAACAAAAGTTAAAAGAACTTACTTTATGATTATCAAAAGATGCGAATGGAACGAATGGTCGTTTAATATCCCAGACATGAATAGCTGAATCCACGACTAGAGAGGAACTACTCAGATAATCTTTCCTTTGAGGTCTCCACTTTACCCTCCCGACAGAACCTTGACAGGGAAATACCATGATTAGGAATTAGAGACGGTACTCCATTTGTATATGTAACATTCAGAAAATGTTATTGTTTACGCGGTAATTGTACATCAGACACAGACAAATATTTCTTATTCAAATGGAGTACCCGTCTGCAAAGCATGTATAATCATATGGTAGGGGGAACCGCGTCAGTTATATCTCCCTTCTATTCCTTACTCCCTGGAGAAGGTTCAAATCATGGATAAGGATTATGTATCAGAATCAGCATCTTTGTCAAGATCAGGTTAGGGGGAGGTTTAGATCATGATCAAAGATTCTATATTAAAATCAATATCTTGATCTTGATTAGGATCAGCAATTAAGGTTTAGGTATTACTATCATATCAGGTTCAGGATCAGGATAAAGGATTAGCAGCGGGGATCATCAGAATATTTGCTGAGAGGTGGAAACTCTTGTATTGTGGATATAGAGATTAATGCTTCATCGTAATCGTTTGTTAATCTCCAGATTATCTTAATCTTTTAATCTTATATTAGATCTAGACTCCTAATCAGGAATCAAGGCTTTGATACCAGAATCAGTGGCCGAATTTAAAGAATTTGAGCGGCGGTTTAAATGTAAGCCACGGTTTAAATATGGTTGGTTCCACTTAAAATTGTATCAAATGTTTCAAGATTTAAGCCGGCGCTTAATTTAAACCGGGTTTGGGCGGATTTAAACCACGGCTCAAATTCTTTCAATTCCATCTCAGGATGAGGAGCATCGATAAGTGAATTATTATTAGAATCAGATATTAAAAAACATAATAAAATTTCAACAGATCTTGTTATTTTGCTCCACCAACTGCCATTAATCATATTTGTTTAATACCTATGGTATAGATGGTGTGTTCAGGTTCATGCCTGGGTCCCCCCTTGGACGTGTCCCAGACCTTGATAGTCTTATCCCTGCCCCCGGTAGCCAACCAGTTCCTCTGCTCAGGGTGCCAGTCACAGGCAAATACAAGACTACTATGTGCTGGCCAGTGTTTTTCACATCTAGATACAGTTTTAATTTTTAAATACCTCCCGTTTCTTTTTGAGTGTACGTCTGTGTCCATATTTTTTTACTATTAATTGACCGCCTCCTCAGCATGCTTGCTGAACCCATAATTAAAACACGATAGTGTCGTTCAGCAATGTTCTAGCTTTATAGAAGATTGTTTTTGTTGATATCTGATTTTTTTATCCAACCCAAATAATTCTATCTGTGTGTTCTCCGCAAAGCATTAAGTTCTAGAAGTCTGTTCTCCACACCCCCAATAATTCTACCTGTCTGTTCTCCCAATAGTTCTACCTGTCTGTTCTGCCAATAGTTCTACCTGTCTGTTCTCCCAATAGTTCTACCTGTCTGTTCTCCCAATAATTATACCTGTCTGTTCTCCCAATAGTTCTACCTGTCTAATCTCCCAATAGTTCTACCTGTCTGTTCTCTCAATAGTTCTACCTGTCTGGTCTCCCAATAGTTCTACCTGTCTGGTCTCCCAATAGTTCTACCTGTCTGTTCTCCCAATAGTTCTACCTGTCTGTTCTCCCAATAGTTGTACCTGTCTGTTCTCCCAATAGTTCTACCTGTCTGTTCTCCCAATAGTTCTACCTGTCTATTCTCCCAATAGTTCTACCTGTCTGTTCTCCCAATAGTTCTACCTGTCTGTTCTCCCAATAGTTCTACCTGTCTGTTCTCCCAATATTTCTACCTGTCTGTTCTCCCAATAGTTCTACATGTCTGTTCTCCCAATAGTTCTACCTGTCTGTTCTCCAAATAGTTCTACCTGTCTGGTCTCCCAATAGTTCTACCTGTCTGTTCTCCCAATAGTTCTACCTGTCTGTTCTCCCAATAGTTCTACCTGTCTGTTCTCCCAATAGTTCTACGTGTCTTTTCTCCCAATAGTTCTACCTGTCCGTTCTTCGCATATCCCAGAGTTGAATTTGACCATTCTCCGATACTGCTGCAAACTGCCAGTATTGATGAGGGTTAAACTGGACATCTCTATATAAAACATTTTTTAAACAGAAACCTTTACATTTTTAGAAAACTTTTTATTATTATTTTATTTCACAGAGAAAGAATTTGACTAATGTGAACAGATACAACCTAATCTTTCCTTCTAATTGGATCCGACCCATCCTCTCTCTCTTTCAACCCAACCGTTCCCATCACATTCAACCCAATCCAACCAAAACTAAACCAATCAAATTCTTTCCATCTCTTTCAACCATTCTTTCTCTGTTTATGTCAAATTCAACCTAACCTTTCACATCTTTTTCAACCCAAGCCAACCAAAGCCAACCCAAGCCTACCAAAGCCAACTCAAGCAAATCCTTCCCATCTCTTTCAACACTTCCCATCTATTTCCAAGCCAAACTCAACCTTACAGTTTAACTCTTCTCATATCCTTCAACCCAACCTTCCCTTTAAGAAAACGTGGTATTAACCTGACACTCTCTGCATGTGATTGAAAGACTAGAGTAGGTTGTGAATGATCAGTTCTAAGATCAAAAAGACGAAGAGTTCCATCTTGTGATCCAGTGATGAGATTATGGGCCTCTGTTGGATGAAAGTTAACCTTTAAATCAAACCAAATCAAAGTTTATAAAATTATATAATATTATGACTAAAGTAAGGCCTTACATTTCAAACCCGTTTTGAATGAACCCCGTAAATTTCATAAATTTCATGAAATTTAAAATAAAAAATTGGATTTCAACATCCAAGCTTGATATCTCAGTAATCAATATGTTTTCTCCACAAACATAAAAACCAGGGGAAAGCGGGATATTCAAAGCTTTGGGTACATTAGTTAAAAATTTGGGGGTTCAATCCTTATATGGTACTTTCCCCCTTTAAATCTACTTATTTATCCTTATATTCTACACATAAACCAAACATTTCGCACTAAAAAATATCAAATTGGGAGAAAAAAATTTATTTTAAATGAGGCTAAAAAATCGCATGAAATATAAACTTGTCAGTTGATTTAATTTTTTGTTTTGTCTACTATTCTTACTTTATTAATAGTCCTCTTATGATCCTCAAACACCTTCTCCTGCTTTGATTTTCCAGTAATGCCCAAGTTCCAAAGCACAACTGCCCCATTGGTCGCCCCAGTCGCAATCAGCTGATCATCAATCGGCGACCAGACAACATCGTTGCAGTTCAAGTTGTAATTTCCCTTCTTCCCGCCGCCGAGGTTTATTTTCTCGACGAACTCCTCCTCCTCGATACTGTAGATCTTCATCATGTTCCTCCCGGCAACCACAACCTTAAACCAGATAGATTTTTCATCTAAATAGTTAAACTTTTAGAGGAAACTTTAAGATACATTTAAAGGGACTGTCATGGTATTTTTAAGTGACCCTACATTTAAAGCGACATTCCCGATTCACCCCGTTATCTGATTGATATTGTTGAAGATATCGTCGTTTGCATAATTTTACAACTAATGGACGGAGAAAATACCTCTATGTAGACCCTCACTTAAAAACAACTTTTTAGCATGGAAATCTCGTTAACTCTTTATTATTTGACACTCTACGAATGGAGGGTAACTTGAAATTACGCCCAGCCCCAGCCCCCTAGGACGCCCAATGCTAAAACATTTCACTTAACCCCATTTAACTTACATGACTGAAGTCTTTAGAAAGGTCCAGCGCATTTGCAGGGGACTCCTGGAGCACGTGCATTGTTCGAACCATCTTGAAGCAGCGTCTGCAATTCACAATTCTATATTTTGCGCATTTTACATAGAAACTAATTAATTGAACAAAGCTGATAACTTTGTGGATATTGAGAGATCAATGCTAAATCTTTTTTTTTTATTTCAAGATTAATTTAATCCTAAGTTTGTATCAACAAAAGTGCGTATATCTCAGCTAATCAGAGAAGCCGAGCAATGTGTCAACATTGGAATTTTAGATTGGGCGATCGGGATTAAAGGTATCCCATTCCAAAGTTCACAGATCAAAGTATTGGAAAATGTTATTTCAACAGCAAAACTAACCTGATGGTTCTCTAATTAATATCTATTCCGAATATCTCTTGATATTGATTGGAAGATAGGGTTGTATTCTATCCACTGCTCTGAAGTGTGCAGTTGGATCTAATCCAAGCATATCCTGTAGAAAACAAATTGTTAAACCAGAGTTGTAAGAAATAAACTTAAAAGAAGTTGTGTTGTATAAAAAAATTATTAATGTGCGTCCTCAGATAATTATAATAATATTTAATTTCTGAACACAGCCTGTTCAGAAAATTAATCATAGTAACTTTAAATCTGTCACCTTGAGAATATGAGCTGTAACCATTGGTTCATTCTTGAATATATCAACTTCTCCAAGGACCTGGAGCAGAGAACCAACCTTGATGAGACGGGTTCTACTTTCTCCAGAGGGGTCTCCGAACAGGGAGTGGAAGGAAACCCTTACACAAGACTTAATTCCTTCTCCCTCTCCTTAAGAAGAATATAAGTATTGAAACAATAAAAAAACGGGCCTTAAAAACATATTTCTGTTTTCAAGAGAATGACGACATATTTTCAAATGACCTTCCATTTGTAAACTTCCATGTCTGATTCACAAAAGTACATTTGTCTGATGAAGGAAAATTATATAAAAATTTCTTGCGGATTTCATCTTACAGAGTCTATGGAGAAAAAAAAGCATTTTGTTAGTATGTGTATATTTTATTACGCATATATCCATACATTACTGATATATTTCTGTTTAATAAATGTTTGAAAGAGAAGAAAAAGAGAAGGTATACCTGCTATTCGACCCCTACTCGTTACAGGGTCATACGCAGTCAACCTTCCGACTACTCGGACACGCCTACAACAAATTTAGCACTAAAAGCAAAAATAAATATTCGTAATTATTTTTAAAATGGTTGAATAAAATTCATATTAAAATCTAAGTTTAATAACCTGTTGGTCCAATGACTGACCGTTGTGATCTGGGCAACTTCTTCTAAACTTGAATGTATTGCTTATTAAAATTTGAAAAATTAATTTCACAAATTTTTTACATAATCTGTTCGATATTTCGGAAATTTGTTAACGTTACACTTTTCAAGCGCAACTGTTTAAACCCGCCTCATTTCGTACTAATGTACTCAAATCTGATCTTTATTTTTATTTTGCTTAAAAAAGAATATTCTAAATGAAAATATATAATTACCCAAATGGGAGGTAAGGATCATTCATTCCACATATCTCGCATCATTATTCTGAAAAGTTAAAAAATTTATATTTCTCCGAGAGATCCTACTCCATGGTTCCGTCGATCCGTAGGTTGATGTTGACAGAGATGAGCTCCTTGACTAGATGCAGGAATATGTACGGAACCTAAACACAAAACAACCATTTTAGCAGGGATAAATATTTGAGAAAATTTTGGGGGAATTAACGAAAAATTGAACATTACAGGGCGATTGAAACTGTTTAATCAAAATTTCCAGATGAATTTTCCCTAAAATATCTTTATCAAACGTTCCGAAACAATTGAAGAAAAAATGTGACAAAAATTAGAAAACGAGGGGTGGGAGGGGGGACATTTTCTAATATATATATGCTTGAAATGTTGTTTATGTGGTGTTGATTCTCAGGACTCGTATTGGGGTATAATGTTGTTAAGTAATCTTACAACATGGGCTGAAATCTATTTTCCTTTGCTAACTGATACTAAATTTTTGATAGTATGATTTTTCTTTCTAGATTTTTTTCTGTAGAAAATCACAACATACAAACCATTTCTAATTTCAAAGGGAAATGGTTTAGAGTCCAGAAACTCATAAGAAGCGAATTATAAAGGTGCTTCATAGAAAGAAAAAGTGGAGAATCATGACCTTTAATAAAATAAACCTGACCTCAAAACTCTCGACGTATTTAGTTTGTCCACACAAGGCACAGCACGGTTCATTCAGTTCACGGTCAGAAACATTTATCCCCACCTAGAATACAGAATAGTTAAAGGGACTGTAAACGTAATTTTAAAGGGACTGTAAGCGTAATTTTAAAGGGACTGTAAGCGTAATTTTAAAGGGACTGTAAGCGTAATTTTAAAGGGACTGTAAGCGTAATTTTAAAGGGACTTTCCACGCAAAGATGACAATACCCAATTGAAAAATTCATCTCATCAATAATGTGGAAGATATTGTCATTTTATAGGTAGTATTTATTTCTTATGATTTCCAAATTTTTTTCTGCAGTAGAAATGCGCAAGTCACTTTTGTGGAGAAAAACAATTGGAAATAATTAGTGTTTCAAAGTTATGAACATTGCTACCTAATTCATACTTGATTTGACAAAGCTTTAAAGAGTAAAGTTGTTAATTATACATTGGCATCTTGGCATGGAAGGTCACTTGTAATTAGGCTATTAGTCCTCTATTAGTATGCATCAACATCTGATACAGAGAGTCCCGCTAACCATAATTAATCCTTCGTGAGTAGAAAATGGCATGTCGCCGTTTTTAGATATGTTGCAGCAATCATTCTGCCTTTTCTAAAATATTGTCGGCCTTTTCAATTCTTAACTCTTGTTTTCTTCCAGAGGCAAGAAAGGTAGATAACATCTTGAAGACCTTGTTTAACATTTTACATTAAATAGCTATTAAAAAGTGAAGACGATCAAAAAATACTTCTCAATAATTGTATGTAAAAATAATTATCAATAAATAAATGTTCAGTAGTTTACCTTAATTATGGGAGAAAGAATATTTCCACATTTTCTACAGAGACTACACCTCGTCCTATCGGAGCCGTGGAATATCCTATCCTGGAGAAGTGAACTCGTCCCGTGAGAGAGCATGCTATCACGTTCCATTTCTCCAAACCTAACTCCACCACCGCGTTTCCTTCCCTTGACCGGCTGCCGGGTGAGAATATCAATAGGACCGGTCGATCTAACCTGATACTTATCACTTACCATGTGACGCAGTCGCTGATAGTGAATTACTCCGAAGAAAATGTCAGCTGTCATCTCTAGACCTGTAATCCCGGAGTACAAGGTCTCTGTACCAAAGTAGTTGTACCCGGCCTCCTCCAACTGCTCCGCGAAGTAGGTGATGGCGTCGTTGTCCTTATCTTCGCTAAACGTGAAGGGTGTGGCATCGTGAACAGTTCCGTTGATCGCCCCGGATTTTCCTGCCATATTCTCGATCATCATAGCAATTGTCATTCTGCTGGGGAATCCGTGAGGGTTGAAGATAATATCCGGGAACAGACCGTTAGACGTCCAGGGGATATCCTCACAGGGCCATTTCTGGCTGCAAATACCTTTCTGTCCCGCCCTAGAGGCAAACTTGTCTCCCACGGATGGATTTCTTGAAATTCTGAATGAAATGACGGCTTTGTTCTTAAAACTAGTTCCAGCATCGTTGGAACACAGTTTGACGGAGTCGACAATAACCGGTTCGGTGTATTTGTACTTCTTGACGACAAACTTAACCTCGTTCTGATTAAAGAAGCAGTAAAGAGGATCCCCCTCAACTAGTTTAGTACCCGGATACGGGAGACCGTCCTCGTCCAGGAAAGCTGAAAGGTAGGCAGCCTTCGTTGGATCTCGGGCAAAGATTAATCCACAAGAATCCCCTCCGGCATTCTTTCTGAGCCCAGCAACCTCTCTCAGATCCACAAACTCTGCTTTGTAGATCATCCCATGACAGAAACCACGCTCAAAGGACATCTTGTTAATGATCATGGCGTCCTCCATGTCGTACCCAGTGTATGAGATAACGGCCACGATTGCATTTGTTCCCATTGGGTAATCATCCATTCCTAAATATTTTAATCAATCAATCAGAATTTATTTTACCTTTTGAAGACGAATATTGTTACAAATTTAAAAAGAACAAAAATAAATCTGCCAATGAAAACCTCTTGAATTTATTTTACAAGGAATTCCTTGAGGGAAATCAGAATTTACTTTCTAGTTAAAGAATCAATGTTTTGTTAAGGTTGGGATTGTGAGTAATAATAATATCGGACGATCAACCATTATTCCGTGGAATCAAGAGGTTATGGTTAATTAGCAAGAGGGTTGTTTAGAATCTAAATATTAAGTCCTACCTATAAAATCATAGTGCGCAGGACGGAAGAATGGTGAGGTGGGGGTTTGAAGTCTATAAATCTTAGTTTCAGAGTTGAGGTGCCAGGTGTGGATTGGGGAAGCCATGGTTTGTTTCCCCATCTGACACTGGTACATGTTCCTGGGGGACTGGTTGAAGTCGGGCAGGGGAATGGTGCAGGCCAGGTTGGAGAGGAAGTTTGTAGGACGGATCTCCTTGTGGGTGGATAACCCGAACACAGCATCGGAGTCCCTGATGGCGACCTCCATGTAGACCTGCTCCAGGGTCCCGATGTACTCGACACAATTACCGGCGAGGTTCCACACAGGACGCATCATCCTGGCGGGGCCGCTGAATATATACAAGCCGGGGAACTGACCTTTAAACAATAAAAATATACATAGCTTATTTATTGCAAGAATTTAATTTAATTTTCAATTAATGTTTATTTCCTTCATTATAAAAGAGGACATATTTTTTTTATGTATTCGAATTGCTTTTTTTTTAATTTGACAGCCCAAAAATATTGACTACCAGATCGATTTAGCCGTTTTGACGTTTAATGGATCCAAATACAATAAAAAGAAAGACAAGTCAAATACATATTTTTAAAAAATTTTTCCCACATTGCCCTTATAAACTGGAGTAAAAATTTTAACTACAAATAAAAATTACTGTCATAATTTGAAACTAATAGAACACATAGAAATTTGTTACCTGGAACATCTCTGTTTGGAATATACGCAATTTCTGTCATTGTTGGAACTCTGGGATCATTTGGGTTTATCTTGATAGCTCTCAACTTCTCAGACACAGCTCTTATCTTCGTGGAAGCAACCCAACCTAGAACCTTCCCGTCCAATAATACATCATAATACTCCAACAGCTCCTCGTGTTTACCTAGATCCTCGTAGGGTATCATTCCTAGCTGTACCAGGATACCAGGGATCTTGCTCACGTCTATTATATGAGTGACGATCTCCACCGGCATTGAGAGATGATTAAGGAGTCCGCAGGGAGATCCGTCCGGGGTATGGACCGGACACACGAACCCCCAGGCGTCAGGGAGAAGGGCTCGGACCTCGGTGGTCCTCATCTCCTGGAAGAATGACCCTCTGTGTATGGCTCTGAAATGGGACATATACCTCATCCTGTTGATGTTCTCCGCCATGATGGTCAATCCCTTGCTCTGCATGAGACCCAACCCCGTCTTACTAGGCAGGTTTCCAGTTCCTAGAAAGTTTTCAAATGGTTTCTCAATACTACCGGACCTTGCAGCACACCAGTTCATCGTCTCCGGGGTTAAACTAAAGCTTGGACCTTCACTCTTCGCCTTTCTCAGGATAATTGCTTTCATTGTAACCAACCAGTCCTCTAGCTTCTCCTTAACAAGCTGAAGGTAAAGATGCCCACCTAGAACTATTTCATGCATCATCAAGCAATCAACGCCTTCGGTCACACATTTGTTCTGAACGTACGCAAAAAGTTTCTTAATCATGACGCAAATGACACTGTACTTCTCCTTGGGGTCGTCAGTGTGAATTGCGACACAGCGCATCATCAGCCAATCACAGATATCCATGTTAGTGTACCAGGCGGGCACGAAGTATCGAACCTTTTCCTTGAAGGATCTACCGATGTACTCCCTGACCTGGTCCCTGGAGAAGAGTCCTTCCTCCTGTAGTTCCCGAAGCATATTGATCGTTACACCGCTTCTATACGGATCATTGAATGCTCCAACCATGAGTTCTCTGTATATTTCGCTGTCCGTGACGTCCTTAAGACACTTGAGGATCATGATAACAGGGACGAAGAAAAGTTCCTTGTTGAAAGAGAACATGTACCTGGCCGTGCCACTGGTAACAAAATGAAGAACGTTCTTGGTGGTTGTGAGGTCCTTCTTCCCGCACTCCAACAAGACTCCCATGTCACTGAATCCCTTTCCTCGGGACTTCCAACCGTTACGTTTCATGGCAATAGGATAATTTCTCCTAAGTAAAAAAATACTTTGAACTCTCTTGATACAAAGACAAGTAAAAGAAAAATAGCGTTAAACACACTAACATTTAACTTTTTTTTAAATCTTTACCTTGTGGTTTGCAACATTCGTATCAACCGTTCATGACCTCCAATTACAAAATAACCACCCCACTCCTAACCATCATCAATAAATAAACAAAATTATTTATTTCATGATACCAAACTTAATATTGATAATGAAAAAGGGTTTACCGACGATCTAATAAATCAAAATCGACAAACATTTCAAACTTTGTTATTGAGGTTGGGTCTAGAGAAAGGAAACGAAAGGCTTTCAGGAAAAATTATGTATACAATGATCGCAGAAATATTATTTTAACTACGGCAAAAATGATTTGATAATTATTGTGGTTCCTGTTCATGTTCCCCGTGCTTAACGAGATCCGCTGGACTGAGCCCGGCAAGGTTGCAGGCTTTTGATCTGAGCATTATGGGGATGTTTCCGAGGATTTTCTCCTGGGTGGGCCGGGATATCCCGTTGATAGAATATCCACATCTTATCGTCAGGCGACCCTAAACATATTATTATTAATTCAGATTGATTATCTTTTCAGGGTGTGAAACACAAGGAAGACTACATTTAAGCAATCTTCTTTGTGTTTGATGTTGTTATATCGCAAAAATATTTCCTTTTCCCCACTGTTATGGATTTCACTGTATCCAGTCGTTCAAAATATGCTATTAACAAAATATACTCTCTAGTTTTTTATTTCTAATCTTGCATAGAGAAGTTATTTTTGTTTTTATGATGTAATACAAAGTATTTGAATTATTAAGTTCGTAATTAACTTAATTTAGTGTAATTATTCTACCCCATGAGAAAATCCGAAATCCCAGATTTAATATTCGGTGTTGATGCAAGATCCACACCGAGTTAACTCCACTAAGTTTGAAAATGCCTTTTCCTAATCAATTAAAAAATCCCTGGGACGGGATCTAATGAATTTTATCCAAGTCTCGAGACAGAATTACAGAGAATAATTTGAATCGACGGTAGGTAGTTTAGTCACATAGCTCAAATTGATCGAATTAGGTTCTTAGTATAACAAGGAAAACCAACCTTGTATGAGCCTCCTCGTTGTCTGTATTCTGTTGGATAAGTTTGACGATTTTTGGTGAGGATTTTTCCAGGTACTACAGTGGGCTTGCTCACATTCACATCCGCAATCCATATAGAGATACGGGCTTCTGTAATATATTGTAAAATATTGATTACAGTTCTAAAGATCAGTTAAGTTTTATATTTCAATTTATTTTCCGATTTATACAAAATGCTTTTAAATATTTATATAACATTAAATTTTAAGATGACCTGAGACTAAGTTAAACCTATTTTTAGTTCCACGAAATAATCTGATTACAGAGCCTGGTTACGGGTTTGTTAAAATTGTAATTGATCCATTTAACATTTTGGAAACTACTTTTAAACCGACACACAGGCCAGGTAAAAAATAAAAATTCTTAACCCAAAAGAAGTTAAGTAAAGTTAAATGACTCTAGAGTAATACTCAATCGATATCAGTATTTTGAGTAATACTTTCCAGGAAACATTTTAACCGACTATATGTGCCGATGGCGAAGAAGTCGGGTAAATAATTCTGGACTTTATATGTTCGATATCGGTTTGTCGGAGACTGAATGAATGCAGGGTTTCGTTTCTCAGCAATCAAAAACAATTTTCTGCACATAATAAAATACTTAAATTCATCCAAGCCTAGTTTCTGAATTATAAGGGAAATTTTTATATTGTAAACTCTTTTTTTCATTTCAGAGCTCAGACGATTTAATTCCCTTTCGAAATTTCAATGAATTTATTTCTCCGATTTAAGAAGTTTAACCTTAATTCGAAAGTTTATGCAGTGTAAATTGAGTTCAGTTGCTAAAACTAAGCGATATCCTGTACATAAGTTGCTATCTTTAATTGTGTAAACCCCCCCCCCAAAAAAAAAAAACTTACTGGATGATGGTATTTCGAACTCAACAGGTTTGAGATCTCCTACAGCAAACTTTAATCCCTCATCAAGCATAAAGTTGAAGGACTCAACATGAGGACGTCCTGAAACAAAAGTGAGGTTTAAAGTTAAATTTCAACTATTTCAAATACACATGGCACCCTAAATATTATTTTTTTTAAAATAAAATTTTGGGGTCTGTCCTAGAGAACGATTTTTGGACCCCCCCTCTCCTATCAATTTTGTACATACTTTTTTAAACAAAAAAATATTTATTTAGTATTATTTCAGGGTAAGGTTAGGTTTGGACAATTTCTAGACCGAGCGCTGCGGCCGGAACATGTGATATGAAATGCATGAATAAAATTGATAAGAAGAGGGGGGGGGGGGGGTCCAAAATATTTCTCTAGAAAATTACCCATTTTTGTATATCTCAACGATGATCATGTTCATTAGCGCGACAATGTCCAAGTCTTATTAGAACTGAGTAGTGAGAAGCTGTAGAACTAGGCACGGATATTTGATGAATTTAAAACAGGGGCATGTACATGAGTATCAATGGGGGTTTACTGCATATTTCTCCAAGATTTTGATAAAAATCTGACCTAAATGTTGTAAAGATTCTAACTGTTTGACTGGTGCAGGGCCGTAGTTTCTGTTAATATACTTTAACGATGGTTTAGTTGGATAATCTAACGGTGGCAAAACTTCAGGCATTTTGTTTACATAATTCTGAATCTGAAAAAATGTCTGAATTAAATCTTCAAAGCATCCATACCATCAACTTTAAAGGTCACGAGGGTTTAGCTTAAGGTAAGATACAGTTTTTGAATAATCTGAAAATAATGAACGTACTAATACCGCGTTCGATTATATTTACCCCATGTGATCGGCGTCTTCCACATGTTTGATAGATTGAGATTTAAAAAATAAAACTTCTGTAGTAGATTCAAATATAAATGCACAGGTTTATTATCACATTATCTAATTAAATCACATAACATACATTTTTTCAGGTTATAGGGTCAAAGCGTTGGGTTTCCATTTTTGTACTTCTTTTCATGAGCATGCATGGTACTTCTATTTCATAGATTTGTTTTCTTTTAGTTTACTTAATTTCGAGGCAAGTTTGCTCTTCTTGGCTGATGGTTCCTGTGATACCTAAACATTTCAAATTTTTAAAAATTATTTCTTAAAAGTCGAGATATAAACTTTATTAGCATTACCGATTCACAACGGTTCACTTTGATTGATCAATAAAATGTGGTATCCTTCCGATTCTGTTTCAAAAATAAATAATTTTCAATTGTGCTCATTATTAAAAAGGGACTTGCTAGAACAATGAGCGAAGTAATAATAGAATTTAATTTTTTATCAATAAAAACGACGTCGACATTATCACTCATATCACCACTTTGAATCAGACTTGATACTTTGAAAGTGGAGTGTCAAAAGAAATTAATGATTTTAAACTCACGCTTACTGTATTTACTGCGTTCACTGCGTATACATTATACAATAAGAAAGAGTAAATACTAGTTCATTTAAAAGTAAGAGTAGTTTACCCACCAACTTGCAGTCAGCAGCTTAGGGTAAAATTTTATTAAAATGAAAGTGAAGTGTTTCAAATTTTTGTTCATGATTCAATCATAAAAATAATGGTAATAGCAATCGTTTGCAACGCATGCGATGCTTAAAATTTTACCTTAAAAATTCGAATTCTGGTGAGCCAATAGCCATGGGTAGTTAAATTAAAATTATGAGATAAAAATGAACAAAACTAAGCCAGTCAAGTTTTATCAAAATTGTATTCATCATTCAAGCATTAACATCATGATCAAACCAATTGTTCAGTGATATCAGTATACGTTAAAAATTAACAAACCAAAATATTATAGATGAGATATATTAGGTTAAGTTATGAATATCCTAGAATTATAAAATACCTGGGAATGCGATCTGTTCTGTACACTGAGAACAGATCCCTGGGATTGATCCTGAGAACTGACTGTTGTCTGATTCCTGGAGTTTTCAGCGTCATCTCCGCTCTCATCCTCACTCTCTTCCTCGGACTCATCATCATTCAGTTCACGCAAATGCTCCTCAGTCAACTTAATCCTGATTGTTCAAGAATATTAAGATTAAAGGGACTGTAAGCGTAGTTTAAAGTGACCCTCCATGCAAAGCCTGATTTACAACGGTACCATTGAAACCTTGATCTGATCAAAAATGTGAAGGATAACGTCGTTTTTCTGACTGAAAAAATGTTTATTTCTGTGAATTTCTCCATTGTTTCTTAAAAGCAAAAATGCTGAAGTCATTTTTGCAGAGAAACCACAAAAAAATAAACCAAAAAACATGGATATCTCATTCATACTTGAAAAGACAAAGCTTTAAAGGGTACTTTCGTAAATCGTACATTGCCATCTTTGCATGGAGGGTTCTTAAATCTGATAATGGATTTTTTTCAGGGGTACACACCGCAACATTAATCCTGGTCCAATCCTGTCAATCAAAGAATGAAAATATTCTCTAATGCAGGGTTGATTGCAGTTATAGAAGTATTATGAAATCAAATCAAATCGAATCAAATCAAATCAAATCAAATCAAATCAATCAAATCAATCAAATCAAATCAAATCAAATTAAATCAAACCAAACCAAAGGAAATCAAACCAAACCCAACCAAACCAAATCAAACCAAACCAAATCAAATCCAATCCAATTATTATTATTAATATTATGGTTAGTTACTCAAACAAGAATAGTTTAAAAAAAGGAAGTATTTCGAACCTGAAGTCCCTAGATGTCGGGAGTTTGAAATCAAACTTCTCATTTATTCTTTTCCCGACCTTTGCCATATTCTTCTCAAATGTTTCGATCTGGAAGATAAGGTTCGGTATCTCCCTGCAAATACAAACTATCAATCATCTTCGTCACAAAGGGAGTGTTTCCGTATTTCTAGATGGAAGTACAAGTAATAATCGAGCCCTATTTAGATTTTGGTACTAATTCATTTTTTTGGATGCTTTATAACTATTATTATTATCATTCAGCCTTTAGTCAAAGTATCATGTCTTGTAGGTTACTTAGGTATAACAAAGATTTACAAGAAATTAAGAAAATTAAGAGAAAACACAGCGGTTCCCTAGGGGCTGGCAGTGCTAATCATCCGGATCCGTTGGATCCGCAAGATTTTGGCTTCCTGGATCCGGATCCGGTTAGGCAAAAAAATGCGGATCCAAGGATCCGGATCCAAGCGGCAAAATATAAACCAAAAACTAAAAAAAATTCCTGATCTCTGAATGGTTCATCAAGTTTTAGTATAAAAAGAAGGAAAATAATATAGACAATTCTGCTTTTAAAAAAAAATCAGTAAATCTTAAAGAAATGTTCATGACCTGGATCCGGGTCCATTGTTTTCCAGTGCGGATCCAGGATCCGGAGCCGTATCAAAATTAAATGGATCCTAAGCAATGCCTGTGCCTGCTGGAACAGGATGGCATCATTATGCTTGCTATACACTTGCAGAGTAGGAAGATAATATTTAAGATTCGTTGCGGAAATAATAAAAAAACACAAAAACCAACTAAATCTTGAAGCGTTTTTATTTGTATTAAGAAAAATTCAAATACGAATCACTTTCTTATTCTAACTGAAGTATTTATATCAAGAAATCATCTTTTTATTTATATGTCCGATTAAAACTCATGAAACCCTACACTGATTTGCCTCGAATTTTAATTGTGGAACTCTATAGAGTCATTGGAATTGTCTTAGCTTGGAAAATCTTAGTTTACATTCAAAGCTGGGTTCCCAGGCTATTAACTATTTAACAGTAAAAATCTTACTTTGTTTCTCTGAGAACCTTTGCTCTTGCTAGGTTTGGATCCAAAACCTTCTTCTTCCTTACTCTCGCTGCTTTAGCCTCATCTTCCTGTGAAAGATGTATTAAAAAAAAAATCTAGTTAGCATTCAAAGATAAAATCAAATCAATGAAACGTCTCAGTTTCACAAACTAATCTTGAAGAATAAGGCATAAAATAGTCTACAGTAATGCCCATAAAACTGTAAAATAGGAAAACGTCTCTTTGACTTAACCTTTGATTTTAAATATTCTAATGAACATTAAATACAACGAATGTGCACTGTACACTCTCCACATACCAATTTACTTTTTTTAGTTGATTTTTTAACTACTGATAAAACTATATGCTTTAAAACAACATTGAATACACATGAATAAGATTACTCAGAAGTCGTCTTTATATTCCACAGTTTAAACGTTTGTGCAGTATGTGTAACCATTCATTTTAAATTTTGAAAAACAATAAAAAAAATCCACCAATTAATGATCGAAGAAATGAAGAGGAATAACCTGTTCTTTGAATTTCCTCTGAATGTATGTGATAAGGGAGTAAACGTTAGGACTGAGTTGAGTTCCGACCATCCTCAGCAGTTTATCAAACTTACTTCCAACCACACTGCCCCGACTGTAACGGGCCCGTAGAAAGAAGTAGTTCGCAAGGTTTCCTGGAATAAAAACCCTATTGAGATAAAAACAACAAAAATAATTACGGTCAACTCTTATCCTTGGGATTTGGCATGGGCTCAGGTAAATATTTATATGCTAAAGAAACTGAACTAGAGGAAACCGATCTAAAGGGTATACAAACTAATTATAGAGTACGTCGGTCACTAAAATAATTTAATAACAAGCGCGAGTATTGAGCGGGATTTACTATGAGTTATATGAATTCAATAAAACAAGGGCAAGGGTACTCAAGCTAGTTTTCTAATTTCTTATATTGCTTGAATTTCGTTTAAGGCCAAAATATAAAAATAAACTTTAAAGACATTTTTCAAAAAGATAATATTTTGATGAATATCTGACCTAGGATTCTGTATAGTTTGATGAGAAACTTCAAGGTTATATCTGAGATAGAACCAACAGGAAGAGCAGTGTTCACCAACTCTAAACTCGGAGCAACCTGTGGTGAACATTTTGAAATAATAAATATTTTCATAACGCACTCAGTCGGTTCCAAGGAGTGTAAAATAGAAGGGAGATACAACTGACGCGGACCGCCCTACCATATGATTATACATGACTACCATACTGTACTGAGGTCTGAGATTATCTAGCTCAGTGATTGGATGTTCGTTCTCATTTTAGCACAATGAAGGAGCACATCTAAAAATGCTTGCCTATTAACTTCTAACTGGGATTAAGTTCTAACTGGGATTAAGTTCTAACTGGGATTAGGTTCTAACTGGGATTAAGTTCTAACTGGGATTAATTTCTAACTGGGATTAATTCTAACTGGGATTAATTTCTTTATATAGATAGGAATGCGACTTTAGTGATTTCTCATTGAGGGTGCTGTGCTAGAGTAATCATGGGAGAGTTTCTCCTTTTCCAGAAGGAGGGGGGGGGGGGTCCAGAAAACTAGGACAAATTTTAGGCTTTTATCTACATATATACACATATATCATGATATTTACCATCTTCGCCATATGCTCCGTAATAGAAAGTTCAACGGCAGGCTGGTTGACCTGCGCCGGCGCACTGCTAGCCAGCGACTTCAGCCAGGTAATCGCCTGGTCAACATACTCAATACTACAACAAACAACCAAAATTAAAAATTCAAATATTTTCTTGTTTTCGGGGTGGAAGAAAGGAAGAAAGTAATGAGGAAAATAGTATAAACCTGTTAATGTGCTTAATAGAAAAAAAACATGAAAGAAAGATCATAGTGTGAAGAAAAGAGGATGTGATCTAGAAAAATTTAAAATTTGCATTTTGTAGTCAATAGTTTTTCTTACTTTTGATCCATGTGGTCTACTAGAAGGGGAAGAATTATGTCTGCAGTTTCCTCGTTCAAAAAACTCATGTTCTTGCTTGCCTCAACCTCTCTACAATATTATATAAAAGAAATTGAGCCTTTGCCACAAACTCAGATTTTCTAAACCAGGTATATCGTTGCAACCAAATGTTTTAGACCCGAGATATTTCAAACTATGAATTCTGTTCGATCTAATAATCTAAGTTTGAAATATCAAGGTATACATCAGGTTACAAAAATATACAGTGATAACCAGAAAACTCTGAAATAGATGAATTTTAGACTCCAGTTATGTATTTAACTACACCAAAAAGCATGCAGCACAGCAATTGTGCAGTTTACACAGACCCATTTCACATAATTAATGATTTATTAAGTGTTTTTGTAAAACTATTTGCTTTGTAACAACATCAAACACGCTTAAGTTTTGCTGTTTCAGAGTTTTCCATAGCAAAATCATCTAATACAGAATAATAACCAGAAAACTCTATAATAGGAAGACGACTTTTTAAATCAAGTTATTACTTTAAAAAGTCCAATGAGCATGAGGCACAGAAATTGGGCAGTGTAAACCTAATTCACTAAATTTTATTGGATAAGTGTCTAGGAAACTTCAAATACACTTGAATTCTGGTTTTATAATGTAGTCTTCCTATTCCATTGTTTTTATTGGTTCACTATATCGTATTACGACCATACTGAATTGAACTTTTTATCGTTATATCAAAAGAGTTTCATGTCGTCATTTATGTCTCATTCTTTCTGGATTGTATCTTCTCAAAAATTAAAAAAATAAAAGAAAGCAGCTCAATGATTTAATTTTTTTCTCGTTATTTTTCTTAAACTTGACGATACAACTCAGCTCTAGGGTTGAAAGAATTAGTGACCTTGTAGTATCAAGGTCCCCGTAGATACAGTGTAGCTGTCCAGCAGTTCTACGACACAACACACCAGAGAACTTAACACAAATTAATCATTGCGATTTAATGAAATCTGCTTCAGAGCATGCTAAAATTATACACTATATACAGTGAATCCCAAATATATGAATACATAGCAAGAGTTTTTTATAATGTCGTCTTACATATTTAAGATCAAATGCCGCGGAAAAATGAGTTCAATATTATTATACCAATTGCATTCATATTTCAGGGATTTCATATATCTGGAATTCACTGTATAACACGGACAGAAAAAACTTTCCATTCTTAATTACATAAAGAATCTGTATTTAAAATATTTAAAATATCTGTATTACCCGAATATTTAAAATATCTGTATTACCCGAAACTTTAAAAAATCTGTTATTACCCGAATATTTAAAATATCTGTTATTACCCGAATATTTAAAAAATCTGTATTACCCGAATATTTAAAATCTGTATTACCCGAATATTTAAGAAATCTGTATTACCCGAATATTCAAAATATCTGTATTACCCGAATATTTAAAAATCTGTTATTACCCGAATATTTAAAATATCTGTTATTACCCGAATATTTAAAATATCTGTATTACCCGAATATTTAAATATCTGTTTTACCCGAATATTTTTAAGGGGTGTGTGTGTTCGCGAGAAAAAAAAGTTGAATAAAGTAACTATGAAATTCAATTTGACTCCACCACTCTTCTTGGACTTAATTCACTACATTACAACCCCTCTACATTCTGTTATAACCAGGGACCGAATTTTATGAATTTGAACTGCCTACTGTCGGTTTAAATTTGAATCACCAATTCAAATCATTCCTTAATCTTTAACTTTAAATCGGTGGTTGAAATCTGAACCGAAAGTAGATAGTTCAGCGACGTAGCTCAAATTGAATAAATTCTATCCCTGAGTCCGAATTTAATGAACTTGAGCCGCGTCTCAAATCCGCCAAAACCCGGTTTTATTTGGGCTTCGGCTTAAATCTTGAAACATTGAATACAATTTTTAGTGGAACCAACCATATTTGAGCAACGACTCAAATTTAAGCCGCGGCTACAATTCTTTAAATTCGGCCTCTGGTTACGTAGTCGCCAAACCTGAAGCCTGAGGTTTATGAGGAATATGAGCTTGACAACATGTTTAGACAAGGACGTATCCTCGCTGCTGAACCCTTCGGAGAACTTCTTCATCCACTCACAGGGACCTTCAGCACTCTATAACATCAAGGATTCAATACCTGGACCTCGAAGTAATATAGCTCACAGGCCACGATACTGTGATTGTAGCAGTGTGGGTTAAATGAAAATAATAATAATAATAATTAAACCTTTTAGGACTTTTAGAAGGATTTGATTTTCAAATAAAGTGAAACATGTAATGAGACAGAGTTAAGAAGTTTTAAGGGAATATTAGGAATTAGTTAAAAGAATTATTGATGTTTACCATTAAAAAATGGCGGGAGGGGGGGGGGAGATGTCCGTCCTCAAGATTTTTTTTTGGACGGCTTATCATGACTTTTCTTGGAAACAGTGCTTAGGATCCATTTGATTTTAATGCGGACAAGGATTCTGGATCCGCACTGAAAAAAATAGACCCTGATCCGGATCCCGGTTATTGCTTTAATATTTACTTTTTTAATAGCAGAATTTTCAAATTTTGTCTTATTTTTTCGCTTATTCTAATGCTAAAACTGATGAACCATTCAGAAATCAGGAATTTTTATAATCTCTCTTTGTTTCAACAGTTCAGATTTGGGTTTTGACTTTTGAGAGTAATTTTTTTTGGGGTTGATATTTTGCCTCTTGGATCTGAATCCGTGGATCCGCATATTTTTGAGTAATCGGATCCAGGAAGCAAAAATCTTGCGGATCCATCGGATCCGGATCCTGATCCTAAGCACTACTTGGAAAGATTTCATTTTTAAAAATTTGACAACTACTCACCTCTCCCTCCTTGAGTTCTTGCATGAGGATACTATAAACTCCAAGAATAGGAGGAAGCATCTTGCCAGCAGTATCATTCTCATTCAACTCATCCCTACTCAATACTCAAACATTCTCATTCAACTCATCCCTACTCAATACTCAAACATTATCATCCAACTCATTCCTACTCAATACTTAAACATAATCATTCAACTCATCCCTACTCAATACTCAAACATTCTCATCCACCTATCCCTACTCAATACTTAAACATTCTCATCCACCTATCCCTACTCAATACTCAAACATTCTCATCCAACCCATCCTTACTCAATACTTAAACATTTACATCCAACTCATCTCTACTCAATACTCAAACATTCTCATCCAACTCATCCCTACTTGATACTCCTGGACTTAACTCAAACATTTTCATTAAACTCATTCCTAGACTTAATGCTCAAACATTCTCATCCAACTAATCCCTAGACTTAATTCAACTCATCCCTACTCAATACTCAAACATTATCATCCAACTCATCCCTACTCAATACTCAAACATTCTCATCCAACCCATCATTACTCAATACTCAAACATTCTCATCCAACCCATCCTTACTCAATACTTAAACATTCTCATCCAACCCATCCCTACTCAATACTTAAACATTCTCATCCAGCTATCCCTACTCAATACTCAAACATTCTTACCCAACTCATCCGTACTCAATACTTAAACATTCTCATCCAACCCATCCTTACTCAATGCTTAAACATTCTCATCCAACCCATCCCTACTCAATACTTAAACATTCTCATCCAACCCATCCTTACTCAATACTTAAACAGTCTCATCCAACCCATCCCTACTCAATACTTAAACATTCTCATCCAACCCATCCCTACTCAATACTTAAATATTCTCCTCCACCTATCCCTACTTATTACTCACGTACTTTTTTGTTTGATTTATATTCCTAATTCGCGATATTTTCTTCATGACAAGTCGGAGAGCAGGAACCAAGGCAGGGTTCAAATCTATAAATCATTAGAAATTATATTTTCTAGATATCGTAGAACAAGGTTCTTGACATTTTATTTATTTATTTATTTGTTTGCTGAAAACCCAAACTGTAATGTAAACTGATCAATCGCCACAAACTATAATTTTCTCTAGGCCCTTTATCTTTGCAAGATAATGTTGTTAGTTAACCTATGATATTTCAAACTTTAACTATTTGATCAAGTAGGATCAATATTTTGAAATATCAGAGATCTACAATGGTTGTAAGAAGTGGATTTTAATGCGACTTTAAGCATAATTTCACATAGCACATTGCACAGTGTTTTCTGATCAAGTATGATGAATAAGCTATAAATGTTTATAATTCTTCCATACGAAGGTTTCAATAGTACTGATGTGAATCGACAATTGACATCTTTGCATGGACAGTCAATTTAAAGTATGCTTACCGTTCCTTTAAGGCAAGTAATTAGTTTCCTTACCTGTCTCTGATGCCTTGCCAGGGTTTGAATCTGTGAGAGAGTTGATGATTGCGAGCTTCCTAGTTGGGAACTGGGTGAGCAGGAGCTGCAGTCCTGACACAAGCAGTTCCAACCCAGATTGCATAAACTCGAGGATAGGTTCAGGACTCATCATGGTGTGCCTAGAGCAATCAAGATTGATCATTAAATGCGCGAAATATTTGTTTTTGAATTCAATTAGGCCCTACATCATACATTGATGTAAAATGAATCGGCACTACTTTTATTTCTACCCAATGTTTCTGTTAATTGTTTCTGACATAGTACTATCACCAGTGCTTAGGATCCGGATCCGGATCCGCTGGATCCGCATTATTTTGGCTCTTTGGATCCGGATCCGCAAAAAAATGCGGATCCACGGATCCGGATCCAAGCACAATTTTATTTTTTAAAATGTGCAAAACAGCTTTAATTTTCCTTAAAAATATCCTATTTTGAATTGTTTAACAGATTTTAAAAATTTTCTCAGGGTCTCAGGTTTCTATCTTGCTCAAATCTTAACTCAGACCTCCACCGTGCACCCCTCCCCCCACCCCCATTAATAACTAGAGAGGGGGGGGGGAGAAGTCTCCCTTTTCCCCATTGCAACTAAGCAAATTTAGTCTTCACAAATTAAGGTGTAAGGATGTGTAAGAGTTAGGGGGAAAAGGGATGGGGCGCACATATGCTAAAAAGATACAGATGATAAGGAACATCTTGTGTTCCCAGTATAAAGAGACTGTTCTCTGCCCTGAAGATATTCAAATCAGACCTAAGGAGTTGCCTGAAGGCAGATATTCCAAACGCCCTCCTTCTACTAAAAGCTAATATGAATTAGACCTGTTTTTTTTTCATCCAATAAAGTAAAAAAAATCATTATCATTTTGTGCAAACTAATAGAAAAATAGTATAAAAAAATGTTAAAATGTTAAACATTTTTTTTAGGTATGAAAAGACATTTGAACTAAAATTAAATTTTTTTTTGATCAATGACCTGGATCCGGATCCGGATCCGGATCCGCATCAAAATTAAATGGATCCTAAGCACTGACTATCACATATTGATAAATTGTAACTCTTATTCATCTTTATTTTGATAACCATTCCCTTTCGATTTTATTTCTGTTTAAGTTTTCAGTTTTAACTTCTGATCCTTCTTGACATGATCTAACCTGAACAATGTTGATGTTATGTTGAGAATATATCTGAATATATTGTCTGAATGAACACCTTCATCTCCTGTAACCGCCATTGAGCTACTGTATCTGGTCAAACATAACATTTTACATCAAATAATAATTAGTATTAGAAGGTTTACATAAACAATATCATTTAATTAACAATGGATTAGAAACAGATTCCTCAATTTTGTATAGAACTAAGCTTTTGAAAGTGTGCAAACAATTTTTCAAGCTTTTAAATGACGTCTTTTTCTTTTCCGAGTGAATAATCTAAATTCATTTTCAAAATTGTAAAAAACAATAGTCAAAAAATGTTTGATTTGCCTAGTGAGTAGAGCAGAGAGTATAGTTTGTATATATGCCAGAAACTCATCGTTCTCCCGGAGCTTACGGAGAGCAGTCTGTGTATCCGGAGTACGGTTCTCTAGCAGAGAGTGGAGCAGGACGGATAAACTTCTCAGGGAGAATGCGTGAGGAAGCATTGTGAACTCATCAGGATCCGTTCCATCTCTTTTTCTTTTCATTCCTTTCTCCTTTTCCTTCTCTTTCTCTTTCTCTCCGTCATTCGTCTCATTTCCGTCCTCCTTCTCTTCCTTCTTTGCCTTGTCTCCTTTTTTCCCTCCCTTCTTTGGTTTAGGTGCATTAAGAAGATTCCTGAGAGTAAGATGGTTCTGATGAAGTTGAAGGAGAAGGGTTGCCTTCCCTTCTACTTTATCTGCACCATGAGTCATGACAAACTCCATCATTGCCTCGTACATAGTCATCAAGATATCAATCTTCAGACAGCGCTTCTTCCCATCCGGGGTCTTACGATCCAAATTATCCGTGAGATCAAACCCAAGATCTGCAATCTCACACTCACTATACCTCTCGCATAGTCTTTCCATAAACCCTGAGAGTTTATCTAGAACCTGGGAGTCTCCGGCATCCATTATCTGCTCTGCCTTGCTAACCACGGTCTGGAGACAGTGAAGGAACCAACCAGCAGGTTCAGATATACTCCAGCTTCCGTTCTTTTCTACCAAGGTTTTATTCAGGTCAAGCTCAGGCAGGGTTTCTGTGTTTCCTACACCAAATAGTTCAAGAATATGAAGATGCAGTAATTCTAGGAATCCTTCGCTCAGCTCTGGGTTCTTAGAGACAACCTCGTTCATTCCCTGATAGAACACGATCTTTACGCTGGGTTGAAGGGAAAAACATCGTCTAAGAACTCCCAATAGCTCAGTGCAGAGGGCATCATTAGAGGCAACACCTCCTCTATGAATGTCGATTGACATCTGCGAAAGGCTGCCACTAGATTGAGAAAGCTGACTGGAGACCATGTTGGTCGAGATCTTAAAGGTTTTAAGTAGAGTAAAAACTCCGCTGACCCCAACTTGACGTGTATGTATGTTACGAGAAAACAAGGCTTTTCTGAGAACCAATATCAAAGGATTCCTTAGAGAGCGATTGATCTTCATCAATGGAATAAGAGCAGCGAGAGTTCTTCGACCAGCTGTGTATGAAAGCCGATGAATGTTCTCAATGAGATTAGTGATCACAACCCCGTTACCATCCTCTAGGAGGTAGGTGGTCGCCTCCCTGATTATATGCATCAGAGCGTAAGTGTACTGCTGGGATTTAGCATTCACAATTATCCTGTTTGTTATCTTAGGTATTATTATCTGAGCGGAGCTGGAGTGTTTCTTGATAACTTTAGCCAGGATAGCAGCTCCAAGGTTGTGCATGGCCCTAGTCTTACTGTTCATCTTTCCTAGAGGAGGCTGGGTGTCCAACATCATCAAACTCAGGTCAACCAACCCTTGTCCAATCAGATCCCAACCACCGAACCTTACACTCTGAGAGATTAGAAGAGAGAATAATCCAGCAACATCAGGCATACCCGGAGTCTGAGTTCTGAACCAGACACTAGCCTCTCTGCTTCCTTCCAACGTAAACCCCTTGGAGATTGTGAGCTTGAGGTTGTCGAGGATGGCGTCACTGTACTGCTTAACGGAGGTTAAAGCTAGACAGTTAAACAGGCTAAAGGGGTTCATCAAGGAGACTGGGAAACTACTGGCGCTCCTGGCGATCTTAACAATCTCCTTGGCGGCAGGGTGTCCCATCTTTGCTGCTTGTGCAGTATAGTAAATAATAATCCCCTCAGTCTGCTGTATCTCCTCGGCGCTGTAGTCTGTCTGAATGAGCTCCATCGAGTCCATCGTAGGCTGGCTCTCCTCAACCCTCCGGGCTAGGGTCATCTTGGAGGTAAAGTATTGTGTTATACTAGTGATTAGTTTACCAGAACACACAGAACTGGTTCGAACTAGTTTCAGCAGTTGATGGAACAACGGAGCTACGTCTTTAATATCTGATCTTTGTAAACATTGGTTCATCTTGACCCAAACCTCTTCTAGTTCAGCTGTTGATAGCTTGGCTTGCTGAAACATCAGACACATGGAGATACTTGCACAATGGTTCCATCTCATATCACAGAGAGATGATATCAGTCTTCTTCTATACTCAGCTCCAGTTACTAAATTAAAATATACAGTGCATACAATATGTATTCAAAAGTTCTTCTAAAATCGTCTGATTTCACCGCTATGTGAGGAATGCTTTCGAGGAGATCAATATTTTAAAAATTATTTTTTGGCACAAGCGGATAAACATTAAAGGTTCCAAAAAGTGGATAAACTTGGCAGTTTAATTTGTTACCTGTAAACCGTAAAACCTGCATCTACACCTAAATATTACGTTATAAAGAGGAAGGGAATTTATTACTTACTTTCCACTAGCGTGTCTCTGGGAGTGATGAACTCCTTCTCCTTGATCTCGGAGAACAGGGTTGAAAATATCTGAATCCAGGACAAATCCTTCTCTTCTTCTTCCCCTCCACCTTTATCCACCTCTTCCAAACATCTGAACCAGGAAATTTACATTAGCCTCTTCCCTTATTCTTTGTAATAGGAAGAAATATTAATAACAAAACAATTATAAAGGGAAAGTTAACAGAAGAGCAAATCAAAATAAACTTTTTGTGTGCAAGTGGATAATGGATATCAAACGTAGTGGATGAGCGCGGTTTCACACAATAGTTTTTCACTAGAACTTGATTGGATTTCGTCATTTTTCAGTATGGATCAGGATCCGTACTTTATATATATATCCTAGACACCGTTTTTACCTAATTAGCAGTTCCACAAGAACGGATAGGCTTTCACTTCCAAGGTTCCGGATTGCAGACTGAAATCAATTTTCATGATTAAAACCAAATAAATATTATTAAGTTTCCGGTTCTGTCAAATCAAATCATATCAAACGACGTTTCCTTCCACATGAATCAGATAAAGGTTCCAAGGTTACAGCTGTGAATCGGTCATGCCCCTCGTTAGATGAATTATTGCTTTAAATTTCAGTCCCTTTAGGCAACTTGTATGCTTGGGTAATGGGTATTTCAGTATTAAACTGTACAGGGGTATATATTTTTCAGAATTACACCCCCNGACATCAAAGTAAGTTTTTAATACTTTTTGATATTTCAAAATAATTTATTTCCCCAAACTGAGCTAAGAAAACCCTGAAAAAAACTTGTTCCGCACCGCACTAGTATATTTCACATTTGGAATAAAAAGTTTTCTGAAGAGGGGGAGAGGAAATGATTTTTTTTGGGAAAATAAACACCCATTTAAGTTGTAGAAAACAATCATGACTGATTTACAGGGTTACCCATAAAGGATGAGACTTTAGAAACGACTGAATGGAGTTTGTTTCGTCCCTTTTCTTACATTTTTGTATTCCTTGCAGGTTCACTAACACTGGCTTTTTTGTATGCATTAATTTGTTAAACCATTAAAATTCTGATTTAAAGCCAGAAACCAAAAATCAAGGTTCAAATGGTCATATTTAGGTGTTTCAGGTCGTCTTTAGAGTCTAATCCTTTGTGGGTAACCCTGTAATTTTAAAATATTCAATTCACATTTACAAATTGCAAAATCTATATTTCCAGGATATGATTGTATGACGATGATGAAAATTATGTTAATTTTACCTCAACCTCCTCCGTGATTGTTTTTGCTGTGGAGGACTGAATACAGATATTTCGAATGAGTTCTTGTAATGTCGTCTTAATAAGGGACAATCGATTTCTAAAATTAAGGACGGATTTAGAAATTATTTCTATCCCTGGTATAGAAGATTTTGTCAAGGACTTATTTAAAGTTTTTTGAGTTTAATAAAACTTACTTCTCCAGCTCTGGTCCTACTCCAATACCCTGCCGAGTATAGAGAAACATTGCAGGACCATCAATACTAGTTAACGATCTTCGAACAATCTCAACCAATCCATCCATATCCTGTAGATAGATAAATAAATATATAAATATATAGGAAGGTAGGTATAAAGATAAGTAAAAAGTATATAGATAGATAGATAAATGTATAGATGGATAGACAGATGCTCTCCGAACAATCACGGCCAATCCATCCATATCTATCAACGATCTTCACTTGCTAAACCATTCCATTCAGATCCTGTTAATAGATAGATAGATAAAAGATCTCCGAACCATCTTAACCAATCCATCCATATTCTGTAACAGGTAGATAATCTCCAAGCCAACTCCACCATTCCATTCATATACTGTTAATAGATATTCATTCATTCATATCCTGGAAATAGGTGGACTGGATAGATAGATAGATGATCTCAAAGCCAACCACACCATTCCATTCATATCCTGTTAGTAGATATCCATTCATGTCCTGGAAATTGATAGATAGATAAATGGTCTCTGAACCATCAAAACCATTTTGTTCATATCATGTGAATATACAGATTGATGATCTTCAAGCAATCTCAATTAATCCAATGATAACCTGTTATTAGATGGAAAGATAGATAGAAGATCTCCAAACTATCTCGTTCCATCAATATCTTGTAAATAGATAGATGTATGATCTTTGAGCCATCTTAACTAATCCATGCTAAATGCTAATAGATATAATAGATATAATAGACATAAATCTATATCTAAGTTCCTTTAGAATGAGTTTTCCTATCTGCCTAACCAAACAATAGAAAGTGTCTTCCATGGAATAATATGTCTAAATAAACAATATACCTGATTCTGAACTAGTTTAGTCAATTCCTCTGTTTTTCCTGCCCGGCCTAAGGTCAATAACTTTTCTTTTATTCCAGACATTTTTTCTGGGACAAAAAAATTTATTCATCAAAAAAATGATTGTATACAATTTTTTATATTTTGTTTCGAAAGAACCCGTGTCAAGTAAGACATTTTGTAATATCTCTTTCAATATTAATAGCAGCCGGTTCTATTTTTGAATGTAGACTCATATAATTTGTTAGGAGCAGGATATGAAGTCAGATTGTCGATATCTCTTTCCGGAGTCTTGGAACCTCTGAAAAGTGACCTCCGTCGGCTCCGATNACAATCTGACTTCATATCCTGCTCCTAACAAATTATATGAGTCTACATTCAAAAATAGAACCGGCTGCTATTAATATTGAAAGAGATATTACAAAATGTCTTACTTGACACGGGTTCTTTTATTTACAATAACATAAATATATATTTTTGTATATATAGATTTACAAATCTACTTTTTTTTCTAGCAATAGGTTCATTAATCTAATTATGGGTGTATTCTTCGACCGGTTTAAAGACTCCTTTGCAGATTATCAAAGAGCTTGACGAGCTCAGTGGCAACCCTGCTCTTGGCGGAGCTGCTGAGGTGAAGCTTCCTGGACTTGTCCGGCTCCTTCCAGTCCTCATACCTGGCACACACATGACATTAAAGGGATTGTAAACGAAGTTTTGAGAGACTCTTCAAACCCGTTAATTCTGTGAGGAATTCAGAACATTTTGGGATATTTTCGTTAATAAAAGAGTCGCATGTTTTCAGTATTCATATTCATTCATATTTTTACTCAACTACTGATTGGTTGGCCCATTACGAATTGTAAATAAATAGATGGATGTACACTGTACAGTGTACATTTTAAACAAAACAATGATTATAAATCATGAATAAGGTAAGGAGGGGGTGAAAAAGTATAAGGGAAAGGGTGGGTACTCAGCGGAAGGGTTTTAACAGAGGGTAACATACAATATTAGAATCATGTTTATGAATTACAGGGTGAAGAAGATAGCAAAGACTAAGTTTATCCACATAAAAAACAGTTATTTTTTTTACAGATATAACTTCCATAACTATCTAAATAGTTTTTGAAGATTTTTCTTTTAAACAGTTTTGCAGATTTAGTTTCTTTAAGCTCTAATTCAATCGAATTCCAAAATTTTGGAAATAAAGCAGAAGGAAAATATTCTAGCGTTTTAAAAAAAACCCGCTCAATTTTATATGATTTTGTTCTATTTGGTTCAAACATAAAAACAATCAAAACAGAGAGAGAATAATTGACATAAATACAAATAAAATCGTGGACTTGTGAAAAAAACCTACTTATGAACTAATGGCTCCCTGTTTGGGTTCCCCTTGACTCCGTAGAGGTGAAGGTTTAGCTGCTCTCCGGTCTCCTTCTTGTTAAACTCTTCAATCCAGGCGTTAACCTTCCTCACCTTAACAGTTTTTAGTTAGCTCACGCGTCATGTGTTCAAATTAAGTGATCAAAGCTGAAAACTTTAGAATTGTGGATATCGAGATCAATGCTTGATCTCCTCTTTTTATTAATCTGCAGATTAATTTGATCTTACATTGATATCAAGGAAAGTGTATAAACTGCAACGAGCGGGGTAAGGCAGGCGGCCTTAAGCCACAACATTTTCCCCTCCCATGCCTCATATCATCTTTTTTGTTTTCTTGCAGCCAAGAGCCACAATCGTACGGCGGGTTTTCCATGCCACAGCATTTGAGTCTTCCAGCTGTTATTACGTTTTTAAATGATAAACTTAGGGCATCGAAACAGCAATTTTTAAAAATCCTGTTTCATTTCGCGAAAGATGATACTTTTAAGAAATTTCCGAAGTTTATTAAAGATCATTGAATTGTGTGTTCAGTTTATAAACTGCTTTACATTTTACACAGAAAATTTGACATCATTTACGCATTGTGGGGACCGAGACAAATTCTTTGTGGTAGGCTGAAGAGTAAGAAAAGATGAAAGCTATCACAAAATTAACTGTCATTACCTAAGCGGTACAGATTTCCACCAAAAAATTCTATTTTGCAATTTTCTCGTTAAATAGTAAACATTTTCGGTTATAGGCGCCCTTAGAACTTTAAGAGTATGGAGCATCATTTTTAATGTTCAAAATGTTTTCAAAAGTAAGCCTTTTCAGAGAAAATATTGAATTTATTTTTGGGGAAAATAAGTTTAGCAGTTTATGATAAAAGGAATCGAGTATTTCAATTTAAAACTTAAATATAAAGTTCTTTGTCTTTCGCATAACGTCGCTGGATTTAAAAAATTACAATTATAATGCCCTAAATTTATTATTTAAAAACGTAATAACTGCCGGAAGACTCAAATGCTGTGGCATGGAAGACCGTACGATTGTGGCTCATGGCTACCGGAAGACAAAAAAGATAATATGTGGCATGGAAGGGGAAAATGTTGTGGCTTATAGTCCCCCGCTCCTGCCACCAGTGCAGTGCAGAGTGTCGGTGGCAGAACAACCAATCATAAGCCAGCAATTTTGGAATTTAGCGCAACTGAGAGAGATTTTATCAACACAAACATGGTTATTAAGTATGAAGTATCAATCAGAATTTGGAAATTATGTTTTATTGTCTCTTAATATGTAATTATTAGATTTAAGTGGATTGGTGTAAAATATACCTTTTCTAGTTTATTCTGGAATGGTCTGAGAGAGCTATCACAATACTTCGGAGCATATAGAATAGAGGATATCACTATTCGACTAGGAACCCTAAAATGTAAATATTTACATATCTTTTATTTAATGCTCTATATAAATACAATGGCATCAAGCCATCTTTTAGTGTTAATTAATTTAAGAATTTTAATATATAAATCAAAATATTACATTTCTTATTTTTGAGAATCCCGATTCTTACAATAAGTTACACGTTAGAACATGTTGCATCTATTACCCGGGCTACCCCTTAATCAAATAACATGGGAATGGGATCGGTAATAAGGAGATAAACCCGCCCCCCGTTTTAATGAGGAAATATGTTTTTCCTAAATAATACTTGTGATTGTTGCGCAGACTATGATTTCGAACCGATTGTATGAATGCCTTGAAGTCGATAATGACCCTCTCAGCGCTCTCTGAGGAGGAGATGTTGTTGACTCCGCAGGCGAGCAGGATGTCCATAGGGTTGGTTATTTTGTCATACTGACGGAGGAAGGACTCATGCACGTCGTGGATTTGTCCTCCTGAACATCTTTGGATTTTTAATATTTTGTCATGTTGATTTATAAGCAGGAGTAAACATGTTTTTTAACAGTTCCCACATCCTTGCATTTTACAACAATCAAAACTTAATTAAAAAAATATAAATAAAAATTTTAACGTAAAAAATGTTGGAATGTATAATTTATCCAAAGACTTAACTACATATTACCTATGATGCAATCAAAGTCTATGTGTGAATTGGGTTTATATGTTCTTTCTTTCCAAAGGTTGTGAAGTGTACTGCTCCCCAGGACAATATTGATTCTTCCGTTGTCTACAATACAATCATTTTTTTAGGGGGAAGGGGGGGAGGGGGGCATTAAAGGCATTTTTACTATTAGATTAAAAACATACCTCTGTTATTATTGAGATGACGCTTGTTACACATGGGGCAATCATACTCACGAGAATCATACCTAAACAGACACACTAAAATTAATCTAATACAAGGGAGTGGGCATAGTGATAAGCGACTGTTTAGGTAACAATCTATTATGTCTTTCTGAAATTTCGTCACTGATTGTACAAAAAATTTCGTCATTCAATGGAAGCATAATTCAAATACATTAGAACCCATAACTTTAACATCTACATAGGACATTTTGTAGATTTTTAAAGAAATGTTAAGACGTCCGATCCTTAAACGGATCTTTTAGCATTTTGTCCCAAATTCAGTTGAAAGACATCAATGATTTTCAAATGTCCATGATATTCATCACTCACTCAATCAATCGATTTGACTGGGGGGGAAGAGAGAGGGGGGGGGCATGGGGAGGACCTCATTATTATTTGCTGTGATGATATGTGAGGATGTCGAACTTCAAATATTTCATTGCTACAAATCTTACACTCTGCACAGTCCTGAAAAAAAGATTAAAAAAAAAATACAGAAAAACTATTATTAAAAAATGCACTTAAAACTTAAAAGTTTAATAAATCTATTTCACTCTATTCTATAAAACACCGGAGTTCATTTTTTTTAATAGTTACACTATAATTTATGGTTAATATATTTAATTCTACGATTCAAAACCGCGTGTTTATAATTCGATTCTGACTCAGCCTCATATATCTAGATAAATCCTAAACCTTAATCTATAGTAAATTGTTAAAAACAATAATAAACGTAATTTGAAGTGACCCCAATATGCTCAGATGGCATTGCCCGATGTACAACAGTATCTTTAGACGCTTCGTCCAATCAAGAATGAATTAGATATACATTTATTTTTTCCATTAAATGGTTTATTTTCATTTGTGGTTTCTCAGCATAACTTGCGCATTCTTGCTAAAAGAAACAATAGATAAATTATCAGAAATAAACTCTTTTAGAGTAAAACAACGACGTTGTATTCCACATTTTGATCAAATTAACGTTAAAATTACGCTTACAGTCCATTAAAGAAAAACTTTTTTGATGTCAATTTCGTAGATTCCTTAAATTCATGAAAGTGGGTGTATACCTTAGTTTTAAATAGTAATCTGGGCGAGGGCGTAGAACCGTCTGCGTTCGTACGTCCTAACGGCGATGGGAATGGCGGTGTATAAGAACTTCCGGTACTTCGTCGGCTGTACATGGCCCTCTTCGGCGGCGGGGTTGAGAGATCAGGAAGCGTGAATGTATCCACTGATGATTTTCCGTCCCTTGGCGGGGAGATGGGTCGTATCTTTTTGGCCGACTTGACGGGCGGTTCGAGAGAAGATCTCTTCTGTAATCCTAATGGTGCTATTCCTGAACGCTTCATCTCAAATCCCTGGAAACCGAAAGATTTACGCTTTTCCTCCATTTTCCTTTATTTCATATCTGAAAATTTATTTAATTCATAGGTGCCATATTACATTATTCCTCAGACTAATTCTTTATGTTGTAATTTATTTAGACATAACTCTAACACAGGAAGTATGAATTATTTGTATTAAATTAAGGAATCTAAGAACAAAAAATCAGTATTTCTTGCAAAGAAATTACATAATTTGATTTAAATCTTAAAATTATGTCAAACAAACAAGTTTAAGAAATTATTCATTGCGTTGAATTTTAACAATATTTTATTGAATCAGACATTGAAACAAAATTGGATCTATGCAATGATGACCGGCGTTGTTGTAGCTGTATCCTCGGTAAAACTCTTTTTGCTGATCCACATTAAGGTCATGAGGAGAGGAAGGTGAACCAGGGTGAATCGGAAAAGTTTTCGTGACGAACTACTGTCCGCTTTTTCGTAAAATCTAAAATATGTAATAGTTTGGTTCAATAAGGAGTAGCCCGAAAATGTATTTATTTGGAACTTAATGGTTGATTGTCAGCTGTTGAGTTGAGTTAGGTTACTATATTTATTTTATCCGTCTCAAAGAATGTTGCCTTTTAAAACCATGCTTACCTGAAGCTCCCTGTATGATTTTGCCAGTTCTTAAATTGCTGCTATTTTGGCACCGGTATTTTATTTTATTAATCTTTGCCGATATAGTTTATTGTTGTTTTCGTCTACACATTTATTAAAATCAGAAAATCAAAATGTACATATCGTTGATATATATATAAACTTTATTCTTAATGGTTCCTGCACTTTTTGATCAATAAATAGATTTGAATAATAATAATATTTATTTTATAAATAAAAGTGCTAGATGGTTAATTTTCCCCTAGAAAAGTTCTAGAACTAGACAGTGAATGAAATTAATAGCGAGTAAAAAGAAGACTATATAAAAGAGTGACTTGCAATTGCAACTAAGGATTGCACTCAAAGAGTAGTCAGGCATTTGTCCAGGGGGGCTCAATTTTTTTTTCTTCCCAGGGGGCTCAGCACCCATTGGGGCCAGAAAACCCCCTGAAATACAAAGATTTCACTGGTCCAGGGGTGGTTTAGCCAAAGACTTCACTGGTCCAATGTGGGCTTAGCTCCAATTGCCCCCCCCCCCTTGACTACGCCTCTGACTGAACTGAATAGTTACATTTAAGTCATTAAAAGTAAATAGATAGTTACTACTTGCTAGAACGAAACTAAGCAGTTAATTGTAAGTTAGAAATATACTAGATAGATAATGGTGTGTTAGAAATGTACTAAATAATTACTTGTAAGCTAGAAAGGTGAGATATAGGTTGAGGATTAGTGAATCAGCGGCAAAGGCCCACGTGGTGAGGTCCAGTAATGGCGCTGCAGTACAAATTCCGATACATGCCGCAGAGTAGCGCAGTGCAACACGCCGGCAGAGGTCAGGGTGAGTCACACTCATCATACGGTATCCTGGACAGCAGAATATCAGATGTCGGATAAAAAACACTGATCAGTGGTCCAAAACGTTCATTTTGTAATCCTTAATCTTTGCATTACATAATAGCAACCAACTTTAATATTCTAATCCTTGTCTCGTTGCAACCTGATTTTCTGATACTTATATCTTTGTAACCTGATCTAACTTTCTCATCCATTTCTTTCAACCAATTTTTAAGAATATATTTTCCTACCCGCTTTGGAGTAATCAGGCCGGAGGTTCCAGGATAGTGAGTTAAAATGTGGGAACTGCCACGCAAACAATATTCCAGCTAAAACAAACGCTCCAGGCTCCAACCCTCCTAAATATTGCTAAAATCCACAAAAAATACAACAACAAAAAATCAGTATGAAGAATTATAAAGACCCTTAAATTTTTTACAAAAAAAAATCTGACCTGTAGCCGCTGACCAGCCTATTAAGGGCGGGATAGCACCCACTACACTACCAACCCAGGTATTGATTATGCTGACCCTCTTAAGAGGAGTGTAAACACAGGTATAGAGAACCAGGTTAAACACAGACAGGGCAGCAGCTATTCCATTCACCTGATACAAATTCAAAATTATCATTCCGCTTTTTTTAGGAAATGAAATAAAATATATTTTGTTCATTTTTTCAACTTTTATAAAAAGGATTTTCAGGGATCATTCAGCTCTTGAGAACCCCCCCCCCCCCCCCCCGGGAAAAGAGCAATGAAAAAAAATCGTTCAGGATTTCCAAGAAACTTTTTTTTTGGTGGGGGGCAAAAAATATATACCTTTAATATGTAAGAGGGGGGGGAGGAATAATTACCTCGGACTAAAAAATTGCATTGACGTTTAAAAGAAATCTACATTTAGTTAATAAAATGCATAATAATCTTGATGAAAAAGTTAACAGTAAGATCTGAAATCAAAAAGAATAAAAATGTACAACTTCATTTTTAAACAAAGAAAAAAATACTGTCAACAATTCATCATCAGGTTGATCATAAAAGTATTTCTTTTCCATGGATTAGTAATTTTATTGCAATCCCCCCCCCCCCCACCGGGAGACCAAAATTTTAACTTAGCCAAAAATCAAACCATGTTACTACCTGAGAGTATAAGAGCACAGTGCCTACTCCGGCTGTTGCAAGAGCAAAGGAAAAAGCATGAAAAGAGCTAACACATCCTCGAACCAATACCCTAGGATAATACATCCTGATTTTATGTGTTTTTTTCATTATGCTTATGTTTAAACTATTCTCAGTGCTCCCAGTAGAGCATGTAAGAGAATTTCACACGAGGTCAATATGTACGAACTTCAAACAAATCATAATTTAAGTACATCTTTTTGGGGTCGACTTTTTTATCTTTTATTTTTTCTTGCTTTTGGCGTTTCTGTTTCCTTGTTTACAATATTTTTTTTTTTTGGTTGGTGCTCTTTTAGCCCCAAAGCCATTAAAAAAACATGGACATTAAAGGTTGGGCAGTTTTAAAATGGTCTCACCTATTTTTGGTTCTGTTCATTTGGCTGTCGAAGGGAACTTCTAATATTTGATTAATAGTGTTGGCGGCAGCACTGGCCATAGCAGTACCAATAGTTGCACACACTGCTGTATGAAAACTGAAAACACCGGGGGCCATGGCATATCCAGCCGTAGCGGTCATACACACCAACAGGGTTAACCTCGCCTGAAAACAAATTGAAAATTTGAAAATATCCCTTTGAGACAAAATTTTAAGTTTTGCAGGAGAAAAATTTGACATGAAATAGCAAAATTTATCTTCCCGTTTGATACTTTTTACCCAAAAGTTCTTTCTATTACTCATTCATCCAGTTTCCCCATTTAACGATAAAAACCCTGACATATTTTTGGCTCTGTGCGAAAAATTTTCTATATACGGGGGAAATTTTATATTTAAGGAGGGGGAGGAGCAGATTTGTCAAGAAACAAATAAATCCCTCCAGATATAAGTTTTTTATTATTTACCTTGGACAACATCAAATATTGATTTGGAAGAGAAGCTAATTCAAGCTTGGTCGGAGTCCACTCGAATTCAACTTCCGGTTTTTGTCGGAGGCCCTGCACACTTTCAACCCTAATATTCTCGAAATCTGAATCTGTAAACACTGATCTTTGCACCTCCCCCTCGGACACTTTTGCGGAAAGGATTGGATCGGGTTTCTTCTTAAAATTTAGTTTTAATGCTTCAAAGGTTTTACTATGTTTGATCGCATCCTGAATGTATTTTATCTTTTGCTGCGTCAATGTTTTCGGAGTTATGTCTCCACATTTCTCCAGGTCGTTCAATTCATCCGAGAAAACTATATCTGTAGTGTCTATAACCTGTTTGTACTTTTTAATAAAAAGTACTGGCGGCGTATCGAACTGAAGGTCGAAGACGACTCCCCGCACTGGATTAGCGACAGTGTTCCCGTTGTGATACGAGATTTGGAGTTTGTCGTCTTTACCGTTGGGACTCTGAACTTTGGGATTAGGATTGCTTCCATAGTGTCGACAGGAAATTGATGAAACTAATTTAGTAAACCCAGAACAACCCAGGGATAGGCGGGGCACTGACAGAGCAACTTCCGGTCTTTGAAGAACCGGAAGTAAACGGAGAACAGACATCACAATGGCATTCTTTCTAAAATTATATAAACTTAACAAATGTAAAATGATTTTATCAATTAGACTAAACTCCGACTAGACGAATACAAATAAATGCAATATGTTTCACATAAAATACAGAAGCACCATTAGTTTCACGAGTATAAATATCATATAAAAAATGAGTAGAAAAGTCCATATAAGAAAAATTATACTAAACAAAAAATAATAAATCCTAACTCAGGATTTGTACTCTGGAAGTTCAAATTCCGCTGGGAGGAATTGTTCTAATGACGGAATAACTTTAGTTACTCCGGTAGGAATATATTCCGGGGTAGAGAACATTCTGGAGTCTGGAACCATAACACATTTCATCCCAGCACCTTAAAAAGGTTTTAAATGTTTTTAGATTGGTTATTTATTTAGAACACAATGATAACATGCATTATACTTTAATATGAGAGAGAGAGAAAACAAGAAAATGTATACATTTTAAATCTAGAGGTCATTAAAATTTTCTTTAGATGTCTGAACTTACTGAGCGCTGCTTTGACCCCTGCCGGACTATCCTCGAATACAAGACAGTTCTCCAGGTGTAAAGGAGGACTGGAGAACCTTGAGGAACAGACCAGGAATATATCAGGACTAGGTTTACCATGCTTCACCTCAGGATCGTCGGATCCGTTCACAACATGGAGAAACTTTTTAAACAGCTCCTAAATAATAAATTCCTTTAAATAAACATCAATATTGATAATTAAAAAACTTAAATAATAAATATCCAATTACAGGGGACATAAAACCCAAACCGCGATTTAGACCATTTCTATCACACAGTGTTACAAATGAATAATAAACCCGACTTGGAACTAATGTCTCCTGAATAAGCGTTTGGTATAACTGATTGATAATTGTTTCGAAGTCTTAAATGGATCTTTAAAATAATTTTTTGTTCAACATAATATAAAAAGATAAAAAACTGAATTGAATCGTCATCTTTGATTATATAAAAAAAAGGAAACTACCTGGTGATTTCTAGTTTTAACTAAATAACTATCCCTAGGACTGGAAGTAGCAAGAGCAATTGGAACTCCTGATTCAGCCAGATGGTTTATCAATCTCTCAGCTCCTGGAAGAAGTTTCGCTCCAGGGAACAATGTTTCCTGTATCTCTACGGTCTCACGGATATACTGTTCTGGAGATATTGGCAGCTGAAGATCTGAGATAACTTTTCTCGCGAGATCCATTCTCGGTAAACCCATCTGCTGAACCTTGAGGTTCCATGTATACTCTACAGGGGATCCATGCTTCTCTGCAACCTGAACCCACGAGCATTATCAATGACTGAGAATAAAATCTAACAAACTAACAATCAAGCCTTGTTATCTAACAACACGTGTAAGCTAATAAGATATTTCCTTTGTAAAATCAAGATTATATAAGCCAGGAAAGTTATTTCAGAGGTTAACGCATCTTTTGTACTTAATTTAAAATTGTCAAAATTAAATGCTTTTATCCTCCTAGGATACTAAACAAACACTGATGCATCTATTCTTTTTTACAAATTCCGCACAGAGAGAACTAGTTTCAATATGTGTACAGAGTATACGCAACTGAAATTAACTTTCCTTGCATTATAACCTTGGGTAAAATCAAACTTTCATGTAATATAAATCATTTTGAAGAAAAAAACAATTATTTTGTAGAGGGATGCATAAAAAACGCATTTATGCTTAATACTTCATAATACAGCCCCCTTCAATCACAATGAAATGGGATAATGGGTCCTTATTTCTTGAACCAAAAATATATTTTGCATACACTCCAATAACTATGGTTGTGGTTCTTTGAGAATGGTAAAATAGATTTTTTTTTACAAGTTTTGAATATTAACCTGAACAGTTGCTGCGGTATACAGGGGTTCAGTGTCAAGGATGAGCCCGTCCATATCGAACAACACGTGACTGATGTACATCTTGCTGAAAAAATGTAAAATTTATTCATCCTCCTCATCCTCATCAACTTTAACCCCATTCTTGCCCTGTTCTCGTTCAACATTAGCCTTCGCTATGGCTAACGGCGACTGTCGACCGTCCTCCTCGAAATGTCGGGGTTCGAACTTATGCATCGGTAGAACCGCCATCCATTCGAACATGCTTTTTGTTTCAATCTCTGTTTGGAAAATGTCGGCAAAGACGATGTCCTGCTTGAAGGTCTCAACTTGATCCTCCACCTTCTCCCAGGAGAGGGTGTCGTGGATTCCGTCGGAACCGTACCTCTTGTTATACCTGGAAATAAATGCTAGTTTAGACAGAATATTTGATAATATAAATATCCCTCATCTAGTACTAAACCTAGACCTGGAGCACTAAGTATATATATTCTAGGCATATTTACCTATCATAGTGTACCTCCTCTAGTACTAAACCTAGACCTGGAGCACTAGGTATATATATTCTAGGTATATTTACCTATCATAGTGTACCTCCTCTAGTACTAAACCTAGACCTGGAGCACTAGGTATATATATTCTAGGCAGTGTACCTCCTCTAGTACTAAACCTAGACCTGGAGCACTAGGTATATATATTCTAGGTATATTTACCTATCATAGTGTACCTCCTCTAGTACTAGACCTAGACCTGGAGCTCTAGGTATATCTATTCTATCCATCCCCCAGGTCTGCTCAAGGGCTGCTAGGTCTGTATGCCCTCTGTTCAAGTCAACAAGTATAAAAAGTGAAATGTAGTTTTTTCATATAATCCCGCAAACAAATGTTTAATAATGAAATTCACAAAATAATGAATTCACAAAAATCCTAAACATTGAAAGAAGGTCAGGAGTCATAATTTAATTTAGTAAGAATTAACAATGATTGTTTTTATGATACATTTATACAAACAAAAGAAATAGTTTAAGACTGAGAGTTGGAGAAAATCAACATTTGAATGTCCTGTTATTCTTTTACTTTATTTCTAAAATTGGACTTTTTTGATAAAAAAGTAAAAGAGACTATAAGAAAAAAATATTTAATATGGGTTCAAAATAACAATATTAACAAGATCTAAACTAACTGTTTTTTATCACGTGCTCTGCGATTTTTATTATTTTATTGACATGCCTAACGATTCCCAAGGCCATCCCAATCATTTTCCTGATTTGGTGAAGCATAAAACTTTGTCCTTTCACACGGATTATACACCATTCATAACCTGAAACATGGAGGAAAAATCAGTCAAATTATAAACCAATAAAAGGCTGGTTACCCCCTCCCCCCACACAAAACCAAAATTATCTCAAAATAAATCTAATACTAACATCTTTATTTCAGTTTAAAATAAGAGAAGAAAAATTTTCCTTCCACGAAATATTATTGAAATATTGTAAAAATATTGAAAAAAATATTAAAAAGTTTTATTTAGAAAAATGACAAATAAGAGAAAAAAATAACCAAACAGAAAAGCAGGAAAATAATAGATTTTTTGTTCAATCACTGATTCGTCCTCAACTATTCTCTTTCAATCTTTAACAGAGATTTTTTTTTGTTTTAATTATTTTTAAAGTAAATCTGTTGAGAGAAACTTACCATCTTTTATAAAAGGTTCTCCACATTCAAACTCATGAATGAAGCGCTGTGATGAGGGTTCTAATGGTAGCTTCCCTAGATATTAAAACTTGAAAATATAATGGACATTCAATTTTGACATGAAAAGGGATTTTTACTGTTTGTGCCAAACCAAACTAAAATTATGGGTTCTTCGATATAGATTTGTGTTTATTTCCCAAAGAAACTTTACCAAGAGGCAATTTTAAGAATGTAAAGTTTTCAAATGTTAATTTAAGTTTAATGGTTGCGAGAGAAACTATTCCTGCATTGGAGTATGTGTTGTGACATGCACTGGACTGCGGCAACAGGTAAACGAGTGAAGTGCTCGCGTATTTGGGAAAGTTTCTCTTGGGAAGAAATGCACTTTGGAGGTTGCCACTAATTAATTTAATAAGAACATTGGCACTTAGTTAGTGTAGCCGTACCTGAAGTGTAATTATGAAAGTATCGAGATCCAATAAACTCTTTGAGAACTGAATTCACATTAGCGATTGTGTCAGGTTCACACCGCCAATCCTCACTGCAATCCCAAGCCGTTAAAAAACATTAAAGGTAAGATCTATCCATAAAACAGACCCTTGATGAACAGTCAAAAGTTGATGAACTATCAAGACTAAGTTAAACCAGTTCTATTAAACTTAAACCGGCGATTGAACCGATTTTATTAACTAAATCGAGGCAAATTTTTCAAAAAACATATTTATGCAAATTACAAATTCAGCAGGTGATTTTGTTTGCAAATTCATGAGTATAATTCGCAGATTTGTGACGGTAGGACCAAGATCGGGATAAAAAAATACTAACTCTGAAATAACAATATTAACGGTTTGAGATTTTTCCTGATAATCTCCGTGGCCGGAGAGAAGGCAAAGGTTGGAAGAACATAAAGGTAGGTTCGGGCATCAGCTGCAGATTTACAGTTGAAATTCTGAACTCAGCTCAATCTCATAATTTTATATAAATACATTTATTTTAATGCCTTAGATTCTGTTAGAGGGGGCTATGAGCGAAGTTTTAAAGGACTGCAGAAATGGCAATGCCCCATCCATAACGGCACCCTAAAAAATTCTTCTGACTGGAAATGTGAAAGATATTTAAAGGTTTACGAGTGTTTAATTTGATATTTCTTCTATGTTTTCCTGCAGTAGTAGATTTGCGAAAATTTCTTCAGACAAAGCTTTTAAGGGTACTGTTGTGAAATAGGCATTGTCATTTTTAAATGGCGGGTCACTTGGACTTACGCTTACAGTTCCTTTAGAAAAACAATAATTTTAAAAATAAGCTATTTATTTAAATGATTTGATGGGTTCCTTTGTGACTCGAACTACAGCTTGTAGCTTTATATCAGTGGGCAGCTCCGCGTTGACCTTCTCCACCATCCCCTCTTCCTCCGCCATTTTCAAGGACACAACCATCTTTAGTGCCGACACGCCCTTATCCGTCCTAGAGGCACGCTGGAAAAATCCTTTCTGCGGGATTTCCTCCCATTCAGGGTCTATAATCCCAGCTCGGGATAGAGCGGCCAGAAATTCACCTTCGATGGTTTTAAACCCTGCATTCCGTTGCATGCCTATATAATCCTTTCCGGAAAAGGAAATCATTGCCGCCATTTTCTTGGCTTTCTTCCATTTGTATTCCGGCCGTTTTTCACTCTCAGCTAGCCGACCGTTTGCCGTTTTAACGTTCTCCTCTTCAACTTTAGGAGTAGTCAAATTTATTTCACTCATTGTTGATAAATAAAACTGTAACTGGTTTCTCGATCTAATAAAACTAGTGTTTTGAAAAAGTGTCCGGATCATATCATTCTAATCTGAAATGTAAAAAATACTACCCGTTAAACAACTAGTCTTTCGATTTTATGTAAGAAAATAAGTATCAAGGTTTCATTTGATTGTAAGATTTGTCTCACAGCCATGTTGACTTACAAGCCATGAATGGCACATAGTATAAAAAATCATAGTTAATATGGAGAAGAGTGCTAATGCTACCCTGTGGACTAATATGCATGGTAAAAAATGCAATTCAAATGATTTCTGGTTTACACACAAGCTTGATTTAATATTTGTTTCTATTTTGTTGAGATTAAGGCTGATTTCAAGATTGTGTAAAGAATGTTGTTGGTTTGAGACGAGCTTGCCGCTTGAACTGGTCGGCGACCTTCTTGGAGAAGGTTAATGTTGGTTTGTTGAAGGTTAGAGGTATACTACCCAGGTCACCGGCATACCGGTTCTTTACAACCTTAACACAAACGAAGCTTATAACTTTTAAATTGACAGAAAAACTTCTAAATCAGTTCAAATCTCTGATTGGTCACATTTCCGAAACTTTGAAGCTTTTTTCAGCATGAAAAAAAATCATTAGGAGTGTTTTTAAACATAAAAAATTTTCAACTGTCAATTTTTCTTTTTTACACGCGTTCTGACACACCTCATTTCAATGATTCATTTGAAAAAGCTATTTTATCTTTTATTATGAATGATGTATTTGACAAATCATGTAAGCTTGATTATTGAATTCAGTAATATTTCACTGGTTACCTGAACAGATTTCTTTTTGAAAAAGGATTGTTGACTTTGTTCCTCCTACAAATTTAAAATTCAAGAATAATGTACTGAAACTCTAATTCAAGAATAATGTACTGAAACTCTAATTAATTCAAGAATAATGTACTGAAACTCTAATTCAAGAATAATGTACTGAAACTCTAATTTTCAAATAAAAACATTGCTTTTTAAAATTAACATTTTTATTTAAAATAAATTACTTAGAAGCACCAACATACAGTATTATTGTATTCTTGTTTCAAAACGGCAACAATTGTCACGTAAATATTTCTGATTTATTTAAATTAAACTTTTCCTGAAGCAGAAGAACGTTGTCCGCCTCCTGGGTAGCTTTAGCCCCGCCGAATATAGAGTTTGTGGTGAGCACCTCCTCATCCTCCTTCCGGGGGTGGATCACCAGGCTCACGTGACAGTTGTGCGCAGTCGCAAACCGTCTTATTAATAAAAATTTTAGTTAATTGATTATTTATAAAAACGAAAAAAAAATTGAATTGATAATCTTTGTTTAAACTAGAAATCTTAGTAATCTTTGACCCGAAGGTTTTAAAAAAAATAAATATGTCTTGTAAAGAACCAAATTGCATACCCTTTTTTTGTCTCCTCTGGGACAACACTGTGATAACATTTAACAAACATTGCACCCAAAAAATGCCGCAAAACAACATTTAGATAAACAAAATGTGTCACAAAGTGAAGTCTCACACCTGCCGAAAAATCGCAGAATGAGCCCCGTGTTTAAAAAGTGTCTGACCTAAAAAGCTCAACGGCTGAGTCCTGCGCTTGGAACCTGTCATATCCAGCTCCTGTCCCGAGCATGAACTGCATGTTGTCCACGATCACGTGGGAGATGTCGTGTACGTAAACAGCGTGAGACATCGCCTCGTTTACCCTCGTGATATCCTGGGACCCGTGGAAGTCTGTCAAGAAGAGTGGGAGCTTGCTGAACCTGTCTCCGACCTTGTTAAACTCTGAGATCTCTTCATCCAGGTTGATTAAGCTGAACTGCTTTAGCATCATCTTCAACAGCCTCGTGTTTTTAACCTCGAAGCTGCACCACAGCGTGTTCACTCCCTCCATGCAAAGATCAAGAGAATACTCGGATAAAAACGTGGTTTTCCCCGAACCCGTCCTACCAGAGAATATGGTTAACTCACCGCGACGGAACCCACCAAGGATCGAGTTCAACGGATCGAATCTTTTCCACTTTGTTCCCATCAGTTCGTCCGACTGGATGAACTCCAGGTATACACTATCCCTTAGGTTCTCAAAGTTTGTAAGGAACTGGTGATAAATACTCTTGGCCGAGCTCAATGCCTCGTCTACACACACTCTCTGTCTGACGGCATTAAATGGATTTGGGTATTCGCTCGATACCAAGCGACATTTTTTCTCGTCGATTTTCTGCGCGAAAAGTTTTGAGTTCTGCACGCCTTGAACATCATTGTTTAACCATATAAAGATCGTCTCGAACTCATCAAGGAAGGGAATATGATCAGGATACAGGTTGCTTGAGTCTGGAAGCGCTATTACGGGTATATCCGTCCTACTGGAGAGGATAACTGAGTCAAGGACGGAGCTGACTAGAATACAAGAACTACAGTTCTTAGTTTGAGGTACTCCATGTAGGAAAGGTATGATACTGTTTAGATGGGTGTGCGGAAGATGGGTTTCGACAACCTCCTTCTCCTCCAGGTGGACTTTACGAAGTCCGATAATATTTCCATCTGTAAATCTAATAATTAAATAATATTGTATATTTTTAATGATTAAATTTTTACAATTAAACAGGGAACTACTCATATTTTGTTGTAAAAATAGACATCACAGAACCATACGGTTCTTATTTGATGTATTTATATTTGTAATCAATGTTTCTTGCAGCGTTTCGGATCCGGATCCGGTCGGATCCGTATCATTTGGTCGGATCCGGATCCGGATCCGTATCAGGAAACGTTGATATGGATCCGGGTAGCGCCAAAAATTAACCAAAACCATGGAATAAATAAATCAAAATGGTTCGTAAATGTATTATTTACATGACGAAAATTTTTCAAAATTATCTTTAATAATTTAATGTTTACATTTATATAATAGTAATGACGACATTTTTAACTTTAGGATTACTATAGTTTATAAATTATAACCTTGCATAACATTTAATAGGGAAAATCCGATTCACAGAATCAAAAGTTACCTCGGATCCGGATCCGGATCCGTATCAGAGTCAGGATCCGGATCCATCATCACGGATGCGGATCCGCGGATCCGGATCCGAATCAAAATGATATGGATCCGAAACACTGGTTTCTTGGGATATTTTTTATGTCAGACCTTAGCACATTGATATTACCTTATTGGAAAATATATTTCAGTAAGATCTTCGTTCACTCGAGCATCAAACTTGGAGAAATCTTTGATTTCAAAATCTCGCCTCAGAAGTTTCAGATTTCTCAACAACTCTTTGAACTGTTGCGAACTAATATCCTGAATAGGGTTCAGGTTTTGGAGAAGGTTCTGACAGGATTGAGGTAGGGTTGGATTAATCCTCTGCAGTTTAGGATAGGGAAGTGAGAGATCAGATCGTTTGGTGTTTCTATTTTTTATCCAGGTAGTGATGAGATGTTCAAACTCTAACCAGGTCCCAGTTATTCCAAACCTTAAACAAGAAATTATATGAAAAAAATTTAAATTCAAAAGTTAAACGAAAGAAATTGATGACTCGTCTCAAACTCTAATTTACTTATCCTTATATTATACCAGCCTTATGTATATACCTATGTTAAAAAATCTTATTTTGTAAAATAAATATTCAAAGTTTGTAGATTAAGAAAATCCCGAATTCGAGGTTTGATCGACTTTTTATATGATTTTGTCAAAGAAATGGAACGAACGGATTGAGCTTGTAGTTTTACTGTCTCTAAAATATTTGTTTGCAACAAAAAACAAACAGTTAAAAATCAACAATTTGATCGCGTTTTTGTCTGGGTATGGCGGTCTGGGGGGTTCATAACGGGACCTCTTTTTCAGATTTCTTTTCTAATAGTTCTAATGGCATCATAATCCAGATCTCAGTAGCGGAATGTCGAGAAATAAATTTTGTAAAAGAATTTTAATCAATTTTTCACAAGACAGATTCAAAATCTGAATTAAAATGGATCCATTCACTTTATTATCAAGGGCGTATACAGGGGGAGATTATATGGTGATAATGATAATCTCTTCATACCGAACTATAAACCCTGATATCTCTCCTCATACCTAGGAATAACGAATCCTCCGGTCTTCTTATTAACGAACACCAAGCTAGTGGAGATATCCTCAGGTGGAACGGATTGCTTCAGGCTGTTTTCTAGTATTCTATTCGGAACCTGCACCTGGAGACATGCATGGGACTCCTGGTAGCTCAGCCCACGGAGTCTGAAGAACTTCTTAAAGTAAAACAAGTTCAGACCTGGCTCAGGGGGTATCTCTGCTTCCTACAAAAATGAGAAATTAAACAAGGTTTGGATTAAAAATTATATGTCTTACCTTTGTAAAAGATCTTCTATGATGGTTAGAACTGGATTTAATATTTAATAAATTTATCTGGTTCACTAGACTAGTCCTAAATACAAAATATGTTCAGTAAAATCTGGTTCACTAGACTAGTTCTAGATACAAAATATGTTAAATAAATTAATCTGGTTCACTAGACTAGTCCTAAATACAAAATATGATTAATAAATTTATCTGGTTCACTAGACTAGTTCTAGATACAAAATATGTTTAATAAATTAATCTGGTTCACTAGATTAGTCCTAAATACAAAATATGTTTAATAAATTTATCTGGTTCACTAGACTAGTCCTAAATACAAAATATGTTCAATAAAATCTGGTTCACTAGACTAGTTCTAGACACAAAATATGTTAAATAAATCTATCTGGTTCACTAGATTAGTCCTAAATACAAATGAAATTTTAAGATAATGGAATTTCAAGAAATGAGAATTTAAGATAATGGAATTTAAAGAAATAAGAATTTAAGATAATGGAATTTGAAGCAATCGGAATTTATGACAATGGAATTTAAAGAAATAAGAATTAAAGATAATAGAATTTAAAGAAATGAGAATTTAAGATAATGAAATTTAAAGAAATAAGAATTTCAGATAATGGAATTTGAAGCAATGGGAATTTACGAAAATGGAATTTAAAGAAATAAGAATTAAAGATAATGGAATTTTAAGCAATGAGAATTTAAGATAACGGAAATTAAAGAAATGAGAATTTAAGATAATGGAATTTAAAGAAACAAGAACTTCAGATAATGGAATTTAAAGAAATCAGAATTGAAGATAATAGAATTGTAAGAAATAAGAATTTAAGATAATGGAATTTAAAGAAACTCAATTGTAAATACCTTGAGTGATGTGAGCGTGGTGTCTCCCTGCCTTGAGGGGGACGTGTACATAATGAAAAAGTCCGTGTACATGATGGACGAGTGAGTGTACATGTTGAGTAAAAGATGTGTGTAACAAGGTTCAGGTTTGAATAGGTTGGAATTTGATTTCCAGGTTCCCGCATTCTTACTGGACTAGAACTCTTATTTCCTGAACGAAAAAAAGACTGTTAATGGTTTTGAGTCGGCAACAACAAGGAAAAAATTTCCTGACTAGCTAACCAAACATTTACATTATTTTTTGTTAAGTTTCCAAATTTATGCTAAAAAACCATCCTGAATCATATTGTGATTCAAATTTACTAATAAAACCATCCTGAATCATATTGTGATTCAAATTTACTGATAAAATATTATTAATTGATGCATGCAATTAACACCGATACCTGTAAATTTATTAGAAACTTGTGCAAGAAGCCGAGATGTTCTCATCGCAACATCATTGCTACGTATGACCTGAAACTTGAAAGTAGTAAAGTGCAGGGGATGTACACTACTAACCTTCATTAATGTGCAACTCAGATGGCGTAAATGAAAGAACGATATTTTTTATGTCAGACCTTAGCACATTGATAATTATATTGTAATTATATTATAACATTATTTTAACCACTGTATCTTAAAAGTTGTCACATTGGAAATCGAGACCAAAAGCTGTGGATTGACTAGCGCTGTTTCACGCTACAGTTTATAAGAACTTAAGCTAAAACACCAAAATAAATCTAAGAATCTTTAAATTCAACTGTGCAAACTTGGAACATCGACTGACAAGCTTTTAAATGAATGTCGAATAACGAGCAAAGTAACGACAAAATTTGTCCCATGGGTTTGGCGCAAATTTTAATGCCGCACTTCCTTTTCATTTTCAATTCTCCATGATTTTCCTGGCTCTAACCTAACAAGGAGACTAAAAATATTTTATTTTTATAAACTTAACTTTTTACAAAGTTTAAAGTCTTTTTATTTTCAAAAATTATTGTTAAAAATTACTGATATATCATTTAATTGTTTTAAAACTTTAAATAATGTAAATATATGCGTATTAAGTTACTTGGAGGAAATGTCCGGCCTCTTAAAAATAAAGCCCGACATCTGAGAGAGACACCAATTTCATTTGTATTTCTAAGTTTTCTGAGCTCTACGTTGGCGACGTAGAAGTTTTAAAAACATCTTAAATAATGTTATGGAAGAAAACTTAGCATTTATTTCAATTAATTTTATGTGTTATGTAACAATTCTTTTATTAAATAAACAAACCTGTAATTGCTGTAACTAAGCATAATATAATAATTGGGTTCGTCATGTTAAACGCTTTTTGACCACGCCCCCCTCATATCTTTGTACATGACCACTAATTTTCAATGCTGCGGCTTGGACAGGCTAGGGGCCAAGCGCTGCGGCTATGACAGGCTATTAGGCCAAGTGCCGCGGCTAGGACTGACGAGAGGGTCGGGCACTGCGGCCACATAACCAGTTATATCCTTGAGCTACGTATGAGATCCATGTACTAAATTGATAGGAGGGGGGGGGGTCCTAAAACCGTACTCTAGGAAATTACTTAATAATGGATATTTTCGCTGAAAATAAGTGTTTAGAGTGTTAAAGGTTTACAGTTATCTTTACATCGTTCACTAATCACATTGGATTTATTCCATCCAATTTTACCAAAATATGTAAATCGTTTTTACCAATCTACTAGAATATGTCTCATGCAGCAAGTAACCTTAATACTGCCTAAAAACGCCATGCCAAGGAGAAATCATTGTTTACAATATTACCAGGTTTTAGCGGCCTAAATTATTATTATTAAAATCTGTATTGGGTCTAATGCGAGACAAAGATTAGCAATAATGATCACAATTTAGTGCATTCGATTAAAAATTATTAAGTTCATATTCAGAAAAATGAGTTTGGTATTGCAATTAATTTCGACACAGAATTAACTAAAATGTTCGGAGTAGGTGTGAATGCGGCCCAAATGCTTCTTTCTTATTTTAAAACAATACTTATCCCCACACCATTTTAGTTCTTCCTCTTACTTACCTCCTTTCGGTAGTCAACAGATAAATATAATAAAAAACTTTGAACAATTATATTTTCAGCTAAAATGCCTATGCCCGCCGGATACGGAAACCAGCAGGGTCCAACCTGCTTTGACAAGGTCAAGATGGGGTTCATGATGGGTATGTGCGTTGGAATGGCCTCAGGAGCAATTTTTGGAGGATTTGGAGCTCTCAGATACGGACTCAGAGGGAAAGAATTAGTTCAACAGGTGTTTATTACCCCCCCCCCCCCTCGACTCATTAATTCCCTAGTGCTCGTGCTACATTTTTTGCTTTGATAAAGAATTTATATAATAATCTTACTTAAAATCGTGGCAATTTTGAACAGTGCGTGTCGTTAAAGTTTCATACGCGATATGTGCAAATTATGTATACAAGGAAAGTTAACTATTATTAAATCTATTTATTGATCAAAATGTACAATGACAGTAAAAATAATATATATATATATATATATCTGTTACATATGCTTATCTCGATTTAGAGTATATTTTTTTTATGACTAGATCTTTAAAAAAAAACTTCAAATATTTAGAACTGCACCATAAGTTCTGCACTTGCGTAATTAAATGACAAATTGACGATTTACAAGGAAAGATAATGATATATGTATGCACATAAAATCAAAATGCGATTGATGCTTTTTGCAAAACATAAGAAAGATTTTGTATTGCGGCCCATTTTGATAGATGCGTGTTATAATTGCCCCTACTGTAAACAATGCATGTGTTTTATCTTATCAATTTTATCTCAACAGTTTTATCTTAATAGTTTTATCTTATCAATTTTATAAAATATTTAATAAGTCGTTTCTTACTTTATGAAATCGTTAGTTTTTCCTCAGACATATAATCTTACGGGACGTTACTTGTAGGTCGGCAAAGTGATGGTTCAAGGCGGTGGAACTTTCGGAACATTTATGTCAATCGGTACAGGCATTAGATGCTGACTTCCAGGCAAGTTCGTGTACAATTATGAAATAGATCTCTTTGGTTGGCAATTTTTTTTATTTCATAATTAATGTATTTCCTTTTAAAGTCATTCTTTATTATTCACTAAAAATGATTTATTGCTTCAAAGAAAATGTTTTCCAATTTTTTTTCTTTCAGGATTTTCAGAGTTGGATTCGGAGTTCCTTCAGACAGATTTAATTGCATGTCTCCTCCTATCCATCATTGTATGGAGTTCATTCAGATATATTCGGACACAAAACCAACCTGGATCTAGTGACCCAGGCCGGGGTCTAGGGTTGAGGTCTGCTCCGGTAGTGACAAGTCAAGATATTGGCATTAGTGAAGTAAAGCCGAAGATTGTAACAGATCATAAAAAAGCGTTCTGCCAGATGATCAGGTTTTCAATCAGATTCAGGCGAAAACTTAACAAAATCCGGGAACGGAAACGTCTGGAACACGACAAGGGAACGCTGGAAATCCGGGAAACCTTCTGAAGGAAACCGCAACATGCATCTCCTTAGATCCGTAAAAAAATCCCACTATGTTTGCCATAAATTTCAATAGTCTCCTGTAGGATTATATATTTTCAGATGATGCATTGATGGAAAATGGCACAGTCTACGAATGAAGATATAAAAAAGTTGTTGGACTATCTTCAGTCTGACCTAAAGAATATCTCTTTAGGTAGTTACAGAACTTTTAGAGCAGACTTTTAAACTGATTTTGTTTTCTATTGGCATAATTTCTCAATTTTTTAGTTTTGCAAAAAAAAATGTTAAATGTTGAAAATGGTATTCAGAGTTTTTGTTTTATTCAAATTAGATTTAAAAACAATATAGCTGGCAGTATTAAGAGGGGGGAAGGTTAAACTACAAAATGATCTAAATTAATTAAAATTTTTGTAGAGACAAAGCGTCGACATCCTGGAGTCAAGGAAAGTGCGGAAGAAGCGATCGTCAAGGAATAGTTCATTAGAAAATTAATTTAAAAGCAAAGATATTGCTTTTAAAAATAATAATGTTGATGTTATTAAAAAAATTATTTTGTTATTAGTGTAAAATCTTGCTATTGGAATAATAATTACCTTGCTGCTAGTTATGATAATCTTATGATTAGAATCATATTCTTGTTATTAGTAATAATAATCTTGCTAAAAGTAAAAATAATCTTGTATTCATTAATAATTATTTTCCCACCAGAAATAACTTTGGTATTTGTAATAAACACCTTATTATCAGAAATAAGATCTTGCTATTACTATCTTACAATCTTACGATTAGAAACAAAAATCTTGCTAAAAGTAGTAACAATCTTGCTGTTACAAATGAACTTAATTAAATAGATTCGCAATGCTGCAGTTTCTTCCACTCCACTCACATATCTCTCAAACCAGGAATCCTCAGAGCTAGCATAAATTAACGTGTTTTTTTTTCTGAAGAAACTATCTTACAATTTTATTTCAAAATTGGAATTTTTTCTGGATTTTTTAAGACCTACAATCACCATATCGCCGTCAGGTTGTACTTCGATAAAATTTGGTTTTCACAAGAGAAAAAAAGTAAATTGAAAAAAAATCGTCCTGAGCTGGGAACTTAGAATGGTGGATATCGAGATCAATGCTTAATCCTCTCTTTTTCTTTATCTCTAGACTAACCTAATCTTGTACTTGTATCCTGAAAAGTGTTTAAAATTCAATCGTTTAGAGTTGCGTATCAGAAGCTGGGAAATTAAAAATTTTGCGCTTCATTTATGATTAACAGAAACTGGAGGGACTCCCAAATTTTGAGAACGGGTTTTTGATTTTTCTGTTTATATCCCTAAAAGAGTGGATAAAGCAAGAAATTAAAAGTGTCCACATTGGATGTTCGGATTTAGCAGTCGGGAGTAAAGGTATCCCATTCCCAGCTCTGGTTACTTATTATTATCTTGCGGCGGCAAAATGAAGTAAAATTATTATTACAGTCTGGGACCGAATTTAATGAATTTGATCTAGGTCGCTGGATTCAAATACTTATCTATAGTTTTGCTGTGTAGTTAGCATCTATAGGACATGGAGAAATCCTACCTATTCAAGATACGTGATTGAACTGTCTCTAGACCTGACTCAAATTCAATAAATCCGTTCCCTGGACGCATTGAAACTATACTTATTACTTAAATGCTAGATTTCTATTTTACCCCGGTGGTGGTCTTAATCCCTCAAACTAGGGGTTTTTAAAGATCAAACACGAAAAGTGATTGATTGATTGATTGATTTGTTACCCCTGAGATGTGGTTAGATCCTGTACCCCCTTGTCCAGGGGTGTGAGACCAAGGATACTAAAGTTGTAAACTTGAGCCTTCAGGTCATACAACGCCTTATCACTGCCCAGGTATAGTTCTATTAGGGGGTGGTGGAGAAAGATTTTTCTTCCCCCCCCCCCCCCCCCGACCCCACACTTTTTAGCCTCGAAAAAGTATAAATTTTATAACAACAAAAAACAGAAAAACGAACTCAAGTCTTTTAACAAAATTAGAGAAAGTAATAAATTTTTTTATGACTTTGCTTTAAAAAATGCATTTTAAACTATAACTAACTTTATTTTTTTTTTATTATTTTTGGTGCTCAAATTGTTTTCATTTTAATAAATACGGCTTAATTAACAAGCGAAATCGTTATTTCTAAGAAAATGTAATCCTTGATTAATTGATTGATTTCTTGTTAAGGTCCTGGATGCCAAGGGGGCCAAGTATGTTGTGGAAACAATGTGGATGCTCATGGAAGCTAATCTCGAGGAGGTCAGAAACTACACAGAAATTAAACCGCCAGTTTTTTAGAACATATTTGCTTAATGCATATGCTTTTACCATGATCTGTAAGACATATGGCGGCCTGTTGCAATTTATCTCAAAACAAGGTTTTATTGAAAATGTTAACAAATAGCCGGTTCGAACTAAACATTAAGTTCACTTATGTATGCACAATTTATCAAATTTGAGCCAGGTCGCTGAACAACCAACTGCCAGTTCAAATCTTGAATCATCGATTCAAAGTTAAAGATTCATGAAGAAGTGAATCGGTGAATCAGAATTTGAATCGGTAGTTCAGCGACCTCGCCAATTCATTTAATTCGACCCCCGGACCTTATCCGAGTAAATTATGGAATCATCTCCGGATCCCGGTCTGAATAGTGACTAGCAGCACAAGCGAAACCAGGGTTTCTTTAGTGGGTTGTAAGGAATTTACATTAAATTTTGAATTGAAAAAAAGAAAGTAAGAATAAATGTTGAAAATAAAATCCTGATAACAAAAGCCAGATGCTTATTGAATGAATAAATAATGATATGTTGCGCCCTGGTATGGGGTGTCCTTGAGACTCATCAATTGTCATTATTTTTGCCAGGTTCGCCTGCTACAAACCCTGACACTGTTGACCACAACTAACACTGTACTGCAAGGAGAAGCTCTGGCAAGATGTCTTGTTATATGTTTTAGGTAAACAGTGAACATTACAGTACAAATATTTTAGGTTAATGATATTATCATTTCTCACTATACTGCAAAGTCAGGGTATGGTACATATTTGTAAAAATATCCTTGCTCCAATCTTCAAAAATACTTTTTTTTCTAGATTAGCCTTTAGCAAGGATACTACAGTTAACACAACCGCCGGTGCGACAGTTCGTCATCTGGTATCGGCGGTGTATGACAGGGCAATGTCGGTGAAGGATACAGTCCCCGCCACGTCCAAAGGCGGGTTGGCTGATCTACCGCCGACGGTAACAGATGCTTATATGCTGTTCCAAGACCTAATTCAGTTGGTGAATGCTGACCAGCCCATCTGGCTACAGGTACAAATCGATTAACTATCTTTTAACAAATCTTTTAAAAATCTATTTCTAAATCAGAAAAACATATTTATCTTTTTTGATGCTTTAATTTCAAGACATTTGAATTCTTAAACTTTAGGTTGTAAACCAGCACTGTGGAATCAAGTTTTTTTTATCTCAAAGCGTCATTACACTATTTAGGGAATCGTAGAAATGACGCGAACCTTTGGTTTGGAGCTCTCAGAGTCAGTGTTGAGTAATTACAGTCTTGTGTTCTACAAATACCAGCCTTTTAGAATCCTTCTCAAGGTGATAGAATTTACAGAATATTTTTACAATTTTAATGACTTTTTTGGAATCATTAAGTGTCATGAATAAGATTCTTTTCTCCGCGGTTGAATTCTTTTATTCTATAAAATTATTTACATTATTGTTTTTTGGCTCTCTAGTATTTAAATTTATTTTGATTTTGATTTCATTGTATATATAAAAAAACGCGATTATGAGTGTTTACTGTAAGATTTTTGTAGGAGGCAGTTAATGTTAATGTTAATGTTAATGTTAATGTTAATGTTAATGTTAATTTAAAGGGGAATGTCCACATTCCATACACAATTCAGGACTGCATGCAAAAAATCAAAGAGAAATCTCAAGTAACAAAGTCAGAAGGCTTCAGACCTTTTGAAGGGGGAAATTGCGGGAAAGGAGGGGGAAGGGTATTAGGACTGGGGGAAATGCATTATAGAGTCCAGAATTGAGTTTCCCGACCCAATGTTGATGACTTTTGACACCCCATATGGACCTATTTAAACGTCCGGAAAATGCGGGAAATTATTTTTCCCCCACTTTGGTTTTTAATTCAAAAACTAGATCACAATTCAGGCCTGCATGCAAAAAATCAAAGAGAAATCTTTAAAAACGAAGTCAGAAGGCCTCCCCCCCCCACCCACACGCTTTGTGTGGAAATGTGGACATTCCCTTTTGAAATGGCGTAAAGAAAAACAGTATTGAAAATACTTGATTTTTGCTTTCAGGAGAAAGTTTGTTCTCTGGTGATCAAACTGTTTTCTCCCAACATTAAGTACCGCGGAGGCACAGGGAACCAGATTAATCTTAATCTTGATCTTAATCTTAATCTTAATCCTAATCTTAATCTTAATCTTAATCATAATCTTAATCTTAATCTTAATCTTAATCTTATTCTAATCATAATACCTTGATCTTGATCTTGATCCTGATCCTGATCCTGATCCTGATCCTGATCCTGATCCTGATCCTGATCCTGATCCTGATCCTGATCCTAATCCTAATCCTAGTCGTAATCTTTATCTTAATTCTAATCTTAATCCTAATCTTGATTTTAATCCTAATCTTAATGTTAATCTTAATCCTAATTTTTGTCTTCATTGTAATCTTAATCATAACGCTCTTCTTAATCTTAATCATTGTAAGGTTAACAACTGAAAACTACTATTTTTCCTTTCTTTATTATGATTTTAAGCTGGGTTTTCCATCTAACCTTATATTTCTATTTCTGTTAAAAATTGTTGTATTAAATGATTAAGAATGTTTGATGGAGCAGGAGGAGTAGGAGGTCAGCAAGCTGCTGCATTCGATAAACCTTATTATCACATCTCACTCAGACTTCTTAGAGTTGTCTCCGTTCTTGTAGAAAAATATTATAGGTTAGTTTTCTCTTGGTCATCAAAAAAATGCAAGGGGCGGGAAATATTAAGAAGTAGAAAATATGGTATGGATAAATAAGAAGCACAACTGGCTTCTGATTTGGATTTAAAGAAGAGGTTTTGGCGGGTTTTTTAATTTTCGATAAGTTTTATTAATTTTTCTTTAAAATAAAACGAATCCATTTTATGACTAATTTTTTATCTGAATAGTGAATACTTCTCTAGGTTGTTAGTGACTGAGTGTGAGATTTTTCTCTCTTTGATTGTCAAGTTTCTGGATCCGGATAAACCTGCTTGGCAGAGATCCTTGGCACTAGAGCTTATCCATAGGATGGTGGTTCAGCCTAGACTTCTCAGGTTAGTGGAGGTTGCAATATTCATAGATACTTGGCACTAGAGCTAATCCATTGAGGGGTATTTAACCTAGACTCCTCAGGTTAGCGGAGGTTGCAATATTCATAAATCCTTGACACTGAAGGTTATCCTAGAATTTGAAGTTTAGTGGAGGTTTTTGAAAAAATTATTTAAGTTTAAAAGAAATTTTTTTAGGGAATTTTGTCGATGGTATGACTGTAGACCACACGCTACAAACATATTTCAGGTAAGATAAAGTTTAAAAAACAAATCGGAAAAATCTTGATTTATTAACGGGTTTATTTTGAATCTAGGATATGGTGAATAGCCTGGGAGCTTATGTACAGAATGTATTTGTATCCAGCCAGCCAGCTGATCCACAGCCTCAGCAGCTGGCCTCCCCTGGACCTCCCAGCCTCCTAGCTGGCCTTCCTGTAGGTAGGTTTGCATCAAATTCACTTTTTTAGAATAGATCAAACAAATGGTATCTTTGAATAATGGATAGAAATCCAAATATTTTTTAATATTGGGTTTTTATTTTAGGCCCTGGTGTATCAATACAGCCCGGATTCTACTATAGAGGTGTATATCAACCACTTCTAATCTCCTGGATTGGTGGCACTGCTAAGTGCACCTACCTGGATATGACCGACCGACAGGAACCACCCCCGCTCCAGGACGGATACGGAGTATCCCTGGCTTTCAGCTGTCTCCTGGACATTATCAGATCCATCAGTTTAATCATAGATCATGATCAAACCAACCATGTTGTTTCTGATTCCGATGAACATGCTGGAGAAGAAGAGGTTGGTCTTGAAGCTGTCCGTGTCCAGCTGCTAGAATCCAGCTGGTGTGGACTGCTGTCAGCTCTAGCTCTGCTGCTTGATGCTGCTACTGAGGATTCAACAGCTGAGAATATTCTGAAATCTATGCAGCTGTTTGCCAGCCTGTCTGCTAGACTTGGGCTCAATAAACAACGAGATTCTTTTATAACAGCAGTCTGTAAAGCATCCTTACCCCCGCACTATACTCTTAGTGTCTTGAAAGCCACACCTAGCACTCAACTTGTCACAGGTTAGGACAGTAATCAAGTGTCTTTTTGAAAATTTATTTTATCAAAACAAATAAACCTTTATTCCTCCTCAATTAAAACCCTATTTTGAAGCTTTCTTTTCTAGGGGCGTCTATGCCTGGTCATCATGAAGACGGAGGATCAGTGTGGGATGGAGATTATCGTCATCAAGTAGTTGCTGTTGGAACACCCCTCCCTACTAGTTCCCTTCCACCTAGTGCACAGCAGGGACCTGTTATGCTAACTGCTAAGAACCTTCAGTGCATGCGCGCCATACTTTCCATTGCGCACTGTCACGGTGATCTACTCGGCCCGGCCTGGCATATTGTATTAACTACTCTTCAGCATCTAGTCTGGATTCTTGGTCTTAAACCCACGGCAGGGCAGGGGGGACATCTCAAGGCAGCAAAATCAAGCAGTGAGACAAATGCCGTGATAACCACAGCTGTTATGGCGGATCTGCCTGTCCTAGCGACCATGCTGTCCAATCTGTTCGAGTCCAGCAGTAACTTGAGCGAGGAGTCCCTTCACCACCTCGTCGACGCTCTCATAGTCATCAGTGGAGAGTCTCTCCAGCTAGCTTACAATAATAGGGAGCCCAGTCTCTTCGCTGTAGCCAAGCTGCTGGAGACTGGAGATGTAAACATGTGTAGGATTGAAACTATCTGGGTTAAGATCACATGTCATTTGTTGGAGGCATGTTCTCACCCTCATGGTAAAATGCGGGAGTGGGGCGGGGAGGCGTTATGTAACCTGATCCAGGCTTCATTGAAGTATCACCACAACCCTCCTCTTAACAGTAACCCCAGGCTGCAAACACTACTCTTGGGACCTTTGGTAGAACTCTCAGCTATCCCACATCCTGATATTAGAGCCAGACAGCTCGACTCAGTCATGCATATCCTTCATTCTAGTGGAGAGGTACTAACCCAAGGTTGGCCTCTCATAATCACTGTTATCGGAGCACTACGTCCGCATCATTCTGAAACCTTGGTAAGAACAGCGTTCCAAGCCCTTCAGCTAGTGCTAACAGATTTCCTTCCCCTTACACCTCACCACAGTTTGCCGCTAGCTGTAGATACTGCCGCCAAATTTGGATCTCAAACTCAAGATCTGAACATATCCCTTACAGCTGTTGGACTGTTGTGGAATCTAGCGGATTATTTTTTCCAGAACCAAGATCAGCTGAAGAATGCCATCATCGCAGAACCCAAGATTCTCCCTGACCTCCCAGGCTTCAAGGAGATGTGCGTCTTTGACAAGCTCTGGATGTGTTTGTTCTCCAGACTTGGAGACCTCTGTTTGGATAGTCGTCCTGCAACAAGGAAATCTGCAGGACAAACTCTTTTCTCCACAATAGCAGCTCATGGTTCCCTTCTCCAGACTCAAACATGGCAGGCAGTTCTTTGGCAGGTTCTCTTCCCTCTCTTGGACAAGGTCTCTATTGAGTCAGGTTTGGCGAGTACAAAGAAGGCCGGGGATAATCTTCTAATTCACCACAGCAGGAATACAGAGCAGAAACAGTGGTCTGAAACCCAAGTTCTGACAATCTCCGGGGTAGCAAGAGTGTTTGTGACCAAGCGAATTCTGCTCACTGCTCTCGGAGATTTTCTTAAGGCTTGGCGACTGCTACTTGAGCATATTGAGAAGCTTTCTCTTTCTACTACACAAGAAGTTAGTTTGGCAGCTCTCAAATCCTTTCATGAAATGGTGGTTTCAGGTTCACATTTTAATAATTTAAAAGAAGCTGAAAAATATTCTCAAATTTGTTATAGAAACATGAATTTTGTTTTTGAAAGATTTTTTTTGATTTACTATTTGTTTGAGGGGGGGGGGGTGACAGGTTCGTTATTTATCTTTTTAACCCCCCCCCCCCCAATTGGAGTTTTTAATAACTTTATTTTAATAAGTTGTAAAATAGATGAATTTTTTTAACCGAAAATACTTGAAATAACATATTTAGATTTAGGAGATAACAATTTTGAATGTTTTTATGGAAGGTGAGGAGAGTGGTAACCCCGACAAGAACCGTTGGAGCTCCGCCTGGTCCTCCTGGCTCTCTATAGGGAAGAAATCCACCTTGATGGATCTCAAGCTCTTGGAGACATCCTCGCCACCAACCGTCCCTAGCCAACCATTCCTAACCTCCATAGCTCATATTTTCCCCCTTCTCTTCCCCCACATACAGGCTAGCTTCTCCGTGAAGGACCTGGAGAACCTATCCTCTGTAATCCACTCCCTGGTAAGTATCCCGGTACTATCGGATACTGAGCTGGGATACATCCTCTCCGGGAACGATGATTCCCTTCTTCCTCTTCATATTTCTATATTCAAGGAAAACAAGGCTGAAGAACAATTATTTTGATTTTTATTTGGATTAATAATTTAAAGTTGTATTTACATAAGTCCTGTTTTCATATCAGCTATGTCATAGGGCATCCCTTAAAGTCTGATTGATTGATTTAAATTAATTTCATGTTCTTGAGTCTATGCATGACCTAGTGTGTTAGTGCTCTTGAAAATCATGCGCTTTCCTCTAATCCCTCTTTACTGCTAGGAGTATTTAGGTGAGTGGCATCATCATATAGATCAAACATGGCCACTGGCTCATAAGAAAAAGAATTTGGGGGAAAAAATTTGAATATTAAGATTTAATTTAAATCGAATGTATAACTAAATATTAAATAAGGTTCCTCTGCTAAACTTTAGTTGGCAAATGGCAATCAAATGGCTTTTTTACATTTCAACATGGTTCAAAATTGGTTGTTTACATTCTGATACATTCTGTTATAACACTGTTATAACAACTAAAAAAGTTTAGTCTGTAAAATCTAGAATTTGAAACTCCTAACTTAAACTTTGAATGAAACTTGGATAGAGTTTGAAGATAATATTGTTTTAGATTGTATGAGAAATTAAGTATGCTTGTTCACACTTGGCCCCAAGGAGCACACCTCTGCCAAGTCAAAGGAACAGATATCATTCATTTATTCATCTTGTCAACCATACTTAAATCCGTCCTTTCAACCATCCTTTCATCCATCCTTTTATCCATCCTTTTATTCACCTTTTCATCCATTCCATTATCCTTTGTGCTTCAATGTATCATTTTAAGTATCCTTTCATTTATGATTATTCATCCTTGAATTCATCCTTGAATTCATCCTTGAATTCATCCTTGAGTTCATCCTAGAATTAATCCTTGAATTCATCCTTGAATTCATCCTTGAGTTTATCCTAGAATTCATCCTTGAATTCATCCTTGAATTCATCCTTCAGTTCATCCTAGAATTCATCCTTGAATTCATCCTTGAATTCATCCTTGAATTCATCCTTGAATTCATCCTTAAATTCATCCTTGAATTCATCCTTGAATTCATCCTTGAATTCATCCTTGAATTCATTCTTAAATTCATTCTTAAATTCATCCTTGAATTCATCCTTGAATTCATCCTTGAATCCATCCTTGAATCCATCCTTTATTTCATCCTTAAATTCATTGTTGAATTCATCCTTGAATTTATCCTTGAATTCATCCTGGAATAGTGAATTCATCCTTTCATTCATTCGTCCTTTCATTAATCTTTTATTCATTTTTTTATCAATTCTTTCATTCAATATTCTACCTTTCGTCTTTCATAAACCCTTGCATTCCTCCTGTCAAAGGAGGAAAAGATCTAAGAAGTCCGGATTCAAGTTTAGAAATAGAACCAGTATCATTGTAAAGAAACAAAAGATATTACACTTTTAACACTGATCCCTAAGCATTCGATCTATCTTAAACCTCTCATTTTTCTTTTATTGAGTCACCAACAGCAGTCACTTGAATTTTATAATTATTCAACATGTTGGTTCGGTTATTTGATCATTTATAATTGATAACTTAAAGGACCTGCTTTCTCGCATCAAACTTTAAACTTCTAATCGCTATATTTTTACAAATATCAATAAGTCCAAGATTGAGATTTCAAAGCACACTTTCAGATTGAAATGATATAGGCCTGTAATCAAATCTCTTATGATAAAGTTTTTCATTTCATATTGATAATAAAATTATGAATGTATCGGTAATTATAGGATTGTATCCGTCTAAATTTGTTCTATTTGGTGAGAAAATGCTAATCTCCCTGGGTCGGCTTTATGAAAAGACTCTTTTTTTTCCCGTTTCTTTTTTTTTTTTTTTACCCCCCCCCCCCACATTGGAGTTTTTCATAACTTTATTTTAATAAGTTGTAAAATAGATGAATTTTTTTAACCGAAAATACTTGAAATAACATATTTAGATTGTCCAAGAGAGTAGTGTACTGCTGGATATTGTCAATACTGTTCGTGTACCCCTGAGTAAGAAGTATGCTTGTGCTAAACAGACCTCCTGGAGAATAGCCAAGGAGGTTAGTTCAATTTGTCTCAAGGTAGTTGGAAGGGGTAAGATTGATCGATAGCTAGAATATTTTCAAGCTTACTTCCCCATTCTAAGACCAGGGGGGGGGGTACTTTCCACGCTGTGGGCAAAACATTTTGGTAGGGATGGGCAGGGGTGGATACAGGGGGGGGGGGGCAGGACCTTCGCACCCCCCCCCCCCAATAGCACTTAAGGGAACGAAAAACTAGTGCAAAACAGGAAAAATGTCGATCTTAAAAAACATTTTGTACCTAAATCTGGATGTTTTTGTTCCGAAATAAATCTAGCACCCTCCTCACTTAAATCCTGTATCAGCCCCTGGATGAGGATATGATTTCCTAAGACATAAAAACATCTTATCACAAGTTATAGGAGGGCCATATACCAATCTTAATTTAGTAAATTCAGTTTAGGGTTGAGACGTGGTCTTCCTAAAATTCTGATTTGATTTGATTTGATTTGATTTGATTTGATTTGATTTGATTTGATTTGATTTGATTTGATTTGATTTGATTTGATTTGATTTGATTTGATTCGATTCGATTCGATTCGATTCGATTTGATTTGATTTGATTTGATTTGATACCCTGGAAAAAATATAATTCTTTATATATATATCTATCTAGATATGTTAAGGTTTTCTTATCTGTGATTGGAATAAGTTTAACGGATTCAACGGTGAATAAAGACGACCCTACCATGACCAAAGTGAATGAAAGTGAAACTGAGAGAGTTCAACGAGCTGAAGTTTGGGCAGCTGTTAGTGAAACCTTGGATAGTTTTCTTTTCCCAGAGTCTAAACCTCCACAGGTTAAAATAATTTTTTATATTATTATATTTGTACTCCTGCCCGGCTTGGACTCCAGGCTGCTATCTAAACGGTGGTGCATAGATCAGTGAAGACAGTCCGGGGGATCCGTTTCGGGTTCCTTTTCAGATTTAAACTTGATTGTTTAAGAATTGTTTGTTTTTGTTCAAGTTCTATAAAACAACCGGTTCTAAAATAAAAAAAAAACTAAAAATTTAGGGGAAATAACTTTTTTAACTTGTTTAATGAAGGGTCGGACCGCTGAGGATCTATGTGAAGATGAACTACTGGACTGTGATATTATTGAATTCCTGAAGGAGAAGGTGTGTACGACGTGGATATGCCCCTACCCGCTCCATTTCCCTTTTATTCCCCTATCCGCTCCATTTCCCTTTTATTCCCCTTCCCGCTCCATTTCCCTTTTATTCCCCTTCCCGCTCCATTTCCCTGTTATTCCCCTTCCCGCTTTATTTCCCTCCCCGCTCCATTTCCCTTTTATTCCCCTAAAGTTACGTTTGACCTTCTTTTTCATTCTGCATCCTAACCGAACATTTATTTAAATGCTTTGTTAAACGGTTGACTTGCAGCGCCCAACCCTTGATTCTTCTTTTCCTATTTTGTTTTTAATTCTTTCTTTTCTAGAAATTTTTTTTTCAGGTTCTTTCTCAGCCGTCCTTGTTCCCTCATGAATTCCTACTTTCCGTCATGGTTATTCTTAACAAGGTAATTTTTAAAAAAAAATTAATTAAAATTCAAAATAATTTTTTAAATTCTTTAGGGGAGTATACACAGTGCTTCACAGTCTTCGTTCAATTCTGATTTGAACCAGAACCTTGATGTTTATGTTTCTATCAGGTTTTATTATTTTATCATATTTTCATGTTTTAAGCAGAACCTTGATGTTTATGTTTCTATCAGGTTTTAGTATTTTATCATATTTTCATGTTTACATGTTTACAGCAATAAAATAAATTGTTTAGCAAAGGCCTTAATCTTCTCTTATGTTTTTCTAGAACTATTTTATGCCTATCTGTAATTATAAATTAGGAAACTCATTATACGATATTATTAATTGAATATGATTACTTGAACAAATATTGAAGTAACATTGACTTTTTATTTTCTCTCAATAATTGTGGATTCGGTTATTTATTAGCATTATCATTAGTATTATTTTTATTTTTTATTATTATAATTGTATTGCTACTGTTGTTATTGTTATTGTTATTATTGTTATTGTTATTATTGTTATTGTTATTGTTATTGTTATTGTTATTGTTATTGTTATTGTTATTTTTATTGTTATTGTTATTGTTATTGTTGTTATTGTTATTGTTATTGTTATTGTTATTGTTGTTGTTGTTGTTGTTGTTGTTGTTGTTGTTGTTGTTGTTGTTGTTGTAATATTGATATTGATATTGATATTGATATTGATATTGTTAATGGTGTTGGTGTGGGTGTTGGGTCTTCGGTGTTGGGTATTGTTTTTTTTGTTTTTGTTATTTTGTTTTGTATTTTTGTTATTTTTTTTTGTTTTTGTTATTTTTTTTTTTGTATTTTGAAAATTAAATAATATTATTTCAGGGAAGATTTTGCCCGGATATGTTTTGAAACCCTTCTTCAGTTCAGTTTACTAGAGGAATCAGAACAGGTGAATTAATATTGTTAGCAATAGGCCAAAGATGTTTTGAAACCCTTCTTCAGTTCAGTTTACTAGAGGAATCAGAACAGGTTCAAGAGGCCAAAAATGTTTTGAAACCCTTCTTCAGTTCAGTTTACTAGAGGAATCAGAGCAGGTAAATTAATATTGTTATCAAGAGGCCAAAAATGTTTTGAAACCCTTCTTCAGTTTAGTTTACTAGAGGAATCAGAACAGGTGAATTAATATTGTTAGCAAGAGGCCAAAAATGTTTTGAAACCCTTCTTCAGTTCAGTTTATTAGAGGAATCAGAACAGGTGAATTAATATTGTTAGCAAGAGGCCAAAAATGTTGTGCAAAAAGTGCAATGCTTGATTTCCATATCCATGGTGGCAACTTTTGAATTGTAAGATTACACAAGATACGGATAAATCCTCGAATTCGTGAATTCAAAACACACAAGTTCCGACAGCAGGTTTATCATCGTTTATCAAGGATTTTCAAATTGCTTTCTGTTGGACTTTGACTGCGAAATGTTACACTCCATTGTGTTACCCCTTACCAAATGAACTCATTTTTAGATCGGAACCTTTGTGAGGAGTTTCTTCAATCTTAAACGCTTGATCTTGATATCCAATATGGGCACTTTTAATTTGAGGATCAATTCCTGATCATTTTAGGTATCCCTCCAGGGGATATCATCCACGGGATATCGAAGATTAATCAAATTAATCTGTAGGTAAGCCTGCATAGGATGGAGATCAATGGTTGGATCCCGATTACTAAAGCCCTGACTTCTGTATTGTTAAGGTGAATGGGAACTCTGATGATAACCTGGTTCAAAGAAAGAAATTTAATCAATTCATTCTACGCGGAGATGATGAAAAGATAACAAATAAACTTGCAGTAACCTCCCTTCTTTATAGATTCAAGGTATGTTTACTCAGATTCAAACAAAAATAAAGGTTAAAAAAATTATCTAAAAGCTCAAAATCTTGTTGTAAAAGTTCTTAATTTAGTTTTTATTTCAAGGAAGTGCTAAAGAAGTATGTTGCTGATGAAGCACTTCATTCTCCTGTTCCCCTTCCAGCTCACAGGTTAGCAACACTTGCTTAAAGGGACTGTATACGTGATTTCAAGTTACCCTTGCACTTTCAATTCACAACTTTACCCTTTATTCCTCTATTTTAGTTTACCTATCTTAAAAAATGTAAGTTTATGACAAATGTTTCATTGTCTTAGGAACTTAAATCCGCAAGTTACTTCTAGAGAAACCACACCTGAAAGTAGACAATTTTCGGATAGAAAGGATATGTTGTCCATTCTAAAGCAGAGAAAGGTTTAAAGGGTGCCTTGGTCAATTAGACATACTGTCACTTCTAATCTATGTATGTCTTGAGTTCCTTTAAATCCTGGAATTAAATGACAACTAAAAGCATTTTAAACTGAATGCATTTCTATTTAAAACATTAACCAGGGTGTCTGAGATGTCCTTTGTCCTAAAAGCTGTCGCAACTCTAATCTCCAGCCTCAAGAAATCTTCCAACGAAGTTGACAGGAAAGCTCAAAACTCAACTTGAAATAGATTAGACCATTCCGGGATAATTTATCTTAATTCGAATTTTTCTTTTACGTTGAAACTTTTTTCATGCTTGATTGGCATCTCAATGGCCGAAAAGGGTATATATAGGGTTGAACTTATGTTTTATTTAACACGAATAAAATTTTTGATTTACTTTAAGGATATCGAGTAGTCAAGTAACTTTTTTCTATGGCAATTTAAAAATAAATCGATTTTTAAACTTTTTTTCCTCTGTGGAATCCCCTTCTACGAAAAAAGGGAACGATCACTTTTGACTGTTTGAGCCTCGGCAGAAGAACCTGGGTTCAGTTGATAGATCTGTATCCTGACCTCGTATCCGCTACAGCCTCCACAGCACCCTCAGTAGCCTCCAGCCTCAAGCAGGCGCTCCTTCAGTACGGTGACCTCCTGCAGCCTCCGGTCGCGGAGCAAAATAACGGGCTCCAAACCTCGAGTCACTGAACCTCACTTAGAGCTTAAAAACAAATTTTTAATGCGAAATAGAATTTAAAACAATCCAATTCGATACATTCCTGGACCCTGGTGTAACATCAATTGTTAGCGCATTAAATTATAAGAAAGATAAATTTTACAGATTTAAAAAAAATATTTTTTACACACATAATATGATTGCAATACATTATCATTGTTAAATGTATACAATATACATGATTAATATTATCTAAGGGAATTTCGGCTGTAGAAAATATTTTTATAAAACCTAAAAGTAATATGAATACTTTCATAAAAGTCGGTAGTCAACTAAATTGCATTTTGTTTAAATATTAATTTTAATTTTAAAATTGAAATCATGTTAATTGTTTAATGAATTTACCTTCAATCATACTAAGCTAGTTGCGTTGCATTTTGAATTCTTCATTGTTTATTTTTAAATGTTGCATTTTGATTTTTAGATTATGTTTTCAACAAGTTTATTTAAATCTTATATATTTGTGTTTGGATATAAAATTATTTAAAATTTGCCTATTTTTGGCATAAAAAGGTCCTAGAGAGTAAAGATAGAGATTATTTATTTAATTTTTTTGTAACTTTAGTTTAAAACGATTTTTTAATTTTTGCATATTTTCCCTGAAAAAAAGTATAAGGGAATGTTTTTGTTTTCTGTTCTCCGACTAATAATAGAATTGAGTGATATTTGTGAAATTTCAGGGAATAAAATGACGCTGGTCAATATGCCGTCGAATTCGGGATTTCGTAAGTTTTAAAAATCTACTTTTATCGTCAGTGACTGTTTTTTCTTCAACAGTCATGAGACATAGTGTAGCCATAAATCAACTTAACTGCCTAGGTTCTGCATGAAAAATGCCTTTTGAAGAGAAATCTGATAAAATCACGCCAATTTTTCAGTCAGTATCTCGGCAGTTAGGCAGTTGACTTCGGGCTTTGATTTCTTGGTACAACATGTTTCATGACTATTTCAGAAAAGTCACAAAATTTGGGAATCAAAACTTTTACGATTAAAAAATTTGCAAAAAACGCAGAATGAACTAAATAAATCCTTAAAACTACAGTTACGTTGACTTATAGGGGATTTTTTTATGTTACCCTACCAAAGGTGCCTGAATTGACAGAACTTAAAATGCTAAAAAAACTGAAATTGCTTTATGCGCACAGTGCAGTTGTTGTTAAATTTGGGAATTGGGTTAGCAAAATTTTACAAATAAAGCCGACAAATGATTTGTTTAAAACTTTAAATTAAATTGGGAACAGTTTTAGTCCATCGTCAGCAAAAGAAAAAGATTACATAAGGATTAAAAATAACCAAAATTATTGAAACGACTTGGAGTTTGGATTCCGATACTCAAATTTGTCTTCCAAATCGTATAGAATAGCGAGTTCAAATCAATTTTTAAGAGAGAAAATTAAAAAAAACTGAGAATTTAAAGTTTAAAATTTAAATAAAAAAATGTAATTTTGTACATGGACCCTAAAAATCTTTCTGGCTAGAATTTGTGGATGAATAAATCTTTAAAATAAGAAATTCCATGCCTTCTATGAATTAAGAGGGTAAAGAAAGTTATTAATGTTTAGAAAACGCGCCCGTTTGTAAAACTTTGGGTTTTGTTTTCGGAGGTCTTCATATCGCATCTTTTGTTCCATCTCTCCGAGGGATATTTAGAAAATTACTCGCAGGTAAAATAAAATATTTTGTTATTGTTTTATTTTTCCAAACTGTTAGTGTAGTAGTTATTAGGAAACAATTGTATATATTAATATATTTTTTTTGGGGGGGGGGGGGGCTTTTTTAAAGAAATATACCTTCGTTATCATTCTTCATTAGGGCTCTCACTGTTAGGAAAGTGGGGTTCGAAAAAATAACCCTGGTAACCATTTAGAATGTGAGAGGTTGTTTTCAAAATTACTATTTTAGCCTATCCATTGGTTATAGGGGGGAGGGGGGGGGGGGAATTCAGATAGATAAAATGCATGTTGCTTATTTAGCCCCTGATCCAATCAGGGTTCAGTCATGTGTTTGTTGTCCATTCTGAACCAAAAGAAATAGTATGGCGGACGGCGGTAACATCTATCTTTCTATCTAATTATCCAATTAGAGATATGAATCCTTCAATCGGCACTATCAGTAAATGGAAATATTTACTTCTACTGAAACTATAGTGGGGGCTTCAAATAAAAAACTTTTTTTTTTTATTTAGTCCCTGATATGCTAGATACGGTACTTCAGACAAATAAAAACCATGTTGCTTATTTAGTCCCTGACCGGCTGGATAGTGTGGAGAGTTTAATGCGTAGCCTGGGATCTAAACTATTGTTTACTGATACAAAGAGTGCTGTTCTAGCTTGTGTTATTATTTATATGTTTAGGTAAGCTTTAGTTTACGTAAATTAATGTATTTTGTAAAATTCCTGATTTTTTATTTTTGTTTTTAGTATTTTTGTTTTATGTTTTCAGAACTTGGCCTTTAAAGGACTGTAGATAAAATTTCATATGACTTTCCATTTATAAAGTGGTGTTCGTTTCACAACGTTATCCTTAACAGCTTTTTCTTATCAATAATGTACAAGATATCGTCTTTTTCTAATTCATGTTTTTTATTCTGACAATTTCTTTCAAATTGTTGCTGAAGCAGATTTGCGCTAGTCACTTTTCTAAGAAAATTATCAACTTTCAAAGAGAAGATGATTTGATTTGGTTAGATTTGATTGATATCTCGTGCATTATAGATTAGACAAATCGGCAATTCCACTCTTATTATTGTTATTATTACCAATCAACCAAAAGTCAAAGTATCATGTCCTATAGAAATATGTTCGTTTGGGTTTTAATGGATCATATATGGTTTGAATTTTTTAGGACTCCTTGTGTATGCCAGATATTTTAAGTGGCCTAGAATGCTTTAAAAAGCATTTTTGAAACTACTTATGTCTGTTTGAGAGAAATTAAAGTATTTTAAAAATCGTCCATTACACTAAATAAACGGAAAGCCGCTTAAAATTACGTCTAAAAAGTATATTTTTCTAGGGTTTTTGAAAGAAGATACGGATCTCTTAAATTTGCCAGTAATCTTATTCTCTCCTGGTTTATCTCAGTTAATTTAGAGGTGACTTGTTTTATAAATAACTTACCAGATGCTTATTCAAATAGAACTGGGATGTATGTGTTATGTGTATAGTAGTAACCCAAGGTTGTATGATAAGGTTTCTCACTTTCGATGCACTCCAATTTACGGAAACTGTCGTCTCCTTAGCATAGATATATTGAATCCGCATATGAAGTCACTCTCGCCTCTATAATGCGGATTCTATCTATCCATGCTTAGGAGACGACATACGTATATACCGTATATTATGAATGCTGAATTTAGGTTTTATGTGAATATATGTTTGGATATAGAAGTGTTGCGTCTATACCGTATATTATGAATGCTGAATTTAGGTTTTATGTGAATATATGTTTGGATATAGAAGTGTTGCGTCTATACCGTATATTATGAATGCTGAATTTAGGTTTTATGTGAATATATGTTTGGATATAGAAGTGTTGGTCCTCTTTCTCTTATCATTCCTCTTTATATACCCTGGTATTTTCAGGTAAATAGAAATCGTGTCCAAACCATAATTGATTTTATTCAACCTTTCAGGGGCGGATATAGGAATTTATAAGGGGTGTGCGAAACTTGTTTTTCTGCTTACCCCTAAAAACTTCTTGCTGACCCCTGGCTCAAAATTTAACAGTTTTCTCAAATCTGGAGTCTTTTAATATGTTTAACTAAATAGAATGTATTAAACCATTTGGATTTTAATATTTCTGAATTTTCTCACTATTTCCTTCAGCTCATTCCTAAAGCTTCACCCTAAGGTGTGGGAAATTTATCTTGAGGGTAAGGGGCCGCTCATGGTTCACCCCTGTATCCCGTTCCGCAACCTTTAAAGCCAAAAGTAGGACCAAAAACATTTAAGAAACCCGATTTTTTAAAATAAAAGTTTTGATAGTAGACATTGACAAAATAAGAAGAATTCATCAAGTAAAAGTAAAGTTTTCTCCTGTATGTGTAATGCATTGTGATTCATGTAATACAGTGCCCTTACTTAGTCATACTTACCCTTTAGCAGTGCTTAGGATCCGTATTTGGATCTATAGGATTCGCAACATTTTAGTACCTTGGTCTACGGACCCAAGTCGCGCATTTTCAACCAAACCATCGGAGAGATAAACTCTTTGCTCTCATATAACACATTTTTAGTTAAACCATTTTGATAGTGTTAAAACTTTCCTAATATTTATGTAAAGGAATTGAGTCTTTGCCACAAACTCTGATTTTCTAATCCCTATATCTTTGGATTCCAACGTCTTAAACCTTTGACATTTCAAACTATGACTTTTGTTAGATAATATAATATAAGTTTGAAATATCAAAGGTTTACGACATTGGGTTCCAAAGATATTGGGATTAGAAAATCAGAGTTTGTGGCAAAGACTCAATTCCTTTAAATGTACTCTGCGTGCGTACTCTGTGTCTGTATTATCTTTGCTGATCTTGATTTTAACACAAAATTCCACCAACCATGAAACATGTACAATTTTTTATTTTCAAATTTATTTTCTCTATTCATGCAAGTTAACTCAGTGAAAATATCCCTTCTGCAATTAAAAAAAATCATAGCTTCACCTTGTAAGGTCGCTTAAAAATACGGCAACTTTTTTAAGCGTCTTCATTATTATCCATTTTTTTAACCTTAAAATTTCATAATTTACCTAATTAATGATTTTCATAAAAGTTCTTAAGGGACCCTGGAAATTAAAGTGGAAATAGACTGAATTATAATTGAATTTTTTATCAATTGCTGTTCCCATTTTGATTCTGATGAGAAGTTTTATATAAAACGTTCCTCCGCTAAATTCGGAGAACCCCATTGAATCCAGAGGCCGAATTTAAAGAATTTGAGCCGCGGCTTAAATTTAAACCGGTTTTAGGAGGATTTGAGACACGGCTTAAATTCATTAAATTCGGACTCTGTAATACTTGGATTTATTTATGAATTATTGTTACAATTAAACAATTTGTAATTAAATACTACGTGTAGAGTCCTTTTAATTGCAGGGGAAGTTAGTTTTAAAACGCGATCTGGCTCATTTCTTACTCTCGGTGTCAGAAATGGGTCATTATTCTGTTTTGTAACTAATGTTCCCTGTATTGTAGATACCACTAGTCTCGGCCTCCAGGTACGGACCTATTACATTATCTTCCAAATCTTTAAACTATCTGCTGGGTCTTCAGCTGGTTCTAGCCTCTCAACAATCAATGGGTAGGATAATTTTTAACATCATTTATTAGTATCATTTTTGTCATCCTTAGTATCATTATTATCGTCATTATTCATTTTTATGTACGATTATTGGGATTATGATTATCTTTGTCATGGTTTTGAGTTAAACTGTTTTCAGTTGCATCTTTATGTGGGCTTGCTGCAGGAGTCCTGGTATACTGTACTCCTTTAAACAGGTGATTTTGATCCATTCCTTCCTTAATCCTTTGTTAATCCTTCCTTAATCCTGCTTTGTCAATTCTTAATCCATCCTCATTACTTCCTTATTCCACCCTTAATCCATCCTTAATCCATCCCTAATCCATCCTTCTTCCATTCTTAATCATGCATTGTTCTATCCTGAAATGTACCTAATTGTTTCATCCTTAGTCCATCCTCAATCCAACCCTGAAAGATCATGTATGTTTCCTTCATCCTTGTTCATTGATCTATCCTGTTTTCATCCTCCAACCATCTATGCTCCATCCTAAATCCATCATTGCTGAATCCTTGATCCATCTTTCTTGTTGTCATTCCGTGTTCCATATTTGTTTCTTGTTCCTTTACCCACCATTAATAGGTCCTTGGTCTGTCCTTGTTCCTTTATTCTCATTTGATCCATTTTTATTCAATCCTTGTTCAATCCTTTTTCCATCCATATGCAATCCTTTTTCCATCCTTTTTCCATCCTTTTTCCATCCTTGTTCAATCCTTGTTCAATCCTTGTTCAATCCTTGTTCAATCCTTGTTTAATCCTTGTTCAATACATGTTCTCAATCCTTGTTCAATCCTTGTTCTCAATCCTTGTTCAATCCTTGTTCAATCCTTGTTCAATCCTTGTT